TCTAGAGCCTGTGGAGGAAATTCAGTTTATTATAATGAGTTGTTTAATTTTGTTTTTGTTTTTTAAGTAGTTAAATTACTACTTCATGTTTGCCCTGTGGGGTCTACCTACATCTATGACTATAGTCCTCAAGAGTTTAGTTATGACCCAGAATATGAGTAGACCTTTATTAACATGGTGCAATGGGAATTGTTTAAAATTTATTTTTAGACCAGACTCTTATCTGAGCCTCCTGGGGTTTCCTGACTACACCTGGGACCATCTGTGGGCATCATCATTAATGCAGCTTAAATGCATCGCACACTGGCTCTCCTGATAAGCACAACTCCTTATGCGATTGAATAGCTTTATGTGTAGTTTTTCTTGTTTGTGTCTCATTCAATTTTGGATGCTGTCTCAAAGCCCAATTATTTCATATATTGAATCATTATCATCAAAGTCCAGTAAGGACACTAAAATCCATGCTAGGCAATATCACTGAAGAAATTTAATATGGGGAAATAATTAGTTACAAAAGTGTTGGAAGAGCTCAAAATAAGTGCTAATGTGGCTACTCAGAAAATAACTACAAAAAGCTACTTCCAATATGGGAATGGTAGTGAATGCCTATAACCCCAGCTAATTGGGAGCTGAGGCAGGAGGCCTCAGTTCAAGGCCATCCTGGGCAATTTAGTCGAACTCTGTATCCAAAAAAAAAATCAAAAGGACCAGGTATATAGCTTAGTAATTGAGTGCTTACCTATCATGTCTTTGCAAAGTCCTGGGTTTTCCCTGGTATAATAAATAAATAAGAAGTTACTGCCATCCAAGGAGACTGAGAGGTAGGGAAGAGATGATGTTTTCAGCATAGGGACCAGGGCTGTGCGGTGGAAGCTAGAACCATATAAAAGTACCACCCAAAAGAAGGCAGAGGCAGGACAGAGGTTTCTGGGTGGGAACTGGAGCACAAAGGGTAGGGCTTCCAGACAGGGGCCAGACCCTCAACCTCTGCAGGATATGCTCCCAAAGCAGAGGGGAAAGGAATACCCCCAGCTTCTCCCCTTCCCAAACTCCCATCTCCTGCCAGGAGCTCCCACTGGCTGCACCTAATCTGTAGGCAATGTAGGCAATGGGCAAGGGAGTCTGGGAAATGGAGACTCCCAAACTTCCAAAGCAGGAAAGGACAGGGAATGTATTTAACAGGAAAAGGGGCCAGAAAACAGGCAAATAAAATGTGGAGGAACAGGGAAAAGGAAAACAAATAACCAATAAACAGAAAAATTGTTCAACCAGGGAAATACAATTTAAAATGGGGCAACACAATTTTAAACCACAGATTTTATTTATTTATTTATTATTTTGTATCAGGATTGAACCCAGGGGTGCTTAACCATTAAGCCACATCTCCAGACTTTTCTATTTTTGATTTTGAGACAGGGTCTCACTAAGAGGTCTGAGACAGGTCTCACTTGCTGAGGCTACCTTTGAACTGGCAATCCTCCTGCCTCAGCCTCCCAAGCAGCTGGGATTACAGGTGTGCACCACCATTTCTGGCTAAACCACAGAAAATTTTAAATGCCATATGTTGATGAAGATGATTAGTAGTGAGAATATTTGTGCATACGAATACATTGGAAAATACATTTGCACTGTCTTATAATGTTGATGCCGAATATAACCTGGACTCCAGGAATTCCATTTCTAGAAACATACCCTTAGGATATATTTTATAATTAAAAGCATCACTACAGAGGCCCTTAAAGTTCACTTCCCTTCCTCCCTAGTTATCTTTTGAATGCAACTCACCCACGGACATCCAGTTCGGTGCTTGAAGATCTCCCTCTCACCCAAGCCCATTTCCCCCTCTTTTAAATGCCTACACTGTTGTCTATCCATTTATGAGACATCTGCTATTTATTTATTTATCCTTCCATCCAGCAAATGATGCCAAGTACTAGGAGCAGACAAATCAAAAGCAGACATAGTCACTGCCTTCACAGAGCCTGCAGCCTGGTGAGGCAGAGAGACAAAGGAGCAAGCACAGAAATCATCTAATCCAGTTGCTAGGTGCTAACAGGAAAAAATGTGGCATGCTTTGAGCACCTGTTACAAAGGAAGCTCACCTAGACTATTCAGTCCAGAAAGATAGATTTCTTTGAGACAGTAATATTCAAGGTGAGATCCGAGGGATGTTCTGAATACTACTTTCTATTGTCACCATTGACAATAAATAATTATTGAGGTTCTATAACCTAGATGGAGTATAAGCATACATGTCTCTAAAGAAAAACATTAGCAGGAGGGAATACATATTAAATGCCAAGTGAACAAAATGTAAAATATTATACAGATGTTTGGAGGAGGGATATTCCCTAAGGCCCTTTGGAGAAAGGTTTATATAAAAGGTGAAACCTGGGCTGGGGATGTGGCTCAAGCAGTAGCGCGCTCGCCTGGCATGCGTGCGGCCCAGGTTCGATCCTCAGCACCACATACAAACAAAGATGTTGTGTCCGCCGAAAACTAGAGAATAAAACATTAAAGAAAGTTCTCTCTCTCTCTCTCAAAAAAAAAAAAAAAGTGAAACCTGAGCAGAAACTCACAGGAAGGTAAAACTAAGACAAAGGGGGGCGGGAAGAAGAACTCTCGACATGAGTATCTGGCCAGAGGTAGGAAGAGGCAAGACAGTTTCAAACAGGTCACTGGAACCAAGGAATAATGTAGAAATGAAGTTAAAAAGTCATGGGTCAGATCATAGAGGGACTTGCTTTATCTTGGATGAAGTTTTCTTTTTGTATCATGGTTTGAGACTCTCAAGCCTAGAACCCCTACTCCTCAAAATAAAAAGTGCATTTATAAAGCTACATAGAACTTCAGGGGTCCACAATCCCCCTGAACTCCCAGTTGGGAACTCCTGCTGTAAACAAATAGCACTAAAAGGATTTGAGTAGAACAGTGGCATGTTGTAAAGTGTTTAGAGAGTCCCTTGCCAGAGAGGATAATGATTGTTGGCAGTGAGGTCAATTGAGAAACTATTGCAATATGAGATAATGCAAGCAGTAGCCCACATGGCCCCAGGCTAAGGTGGTGACTATAGGAATTGTTTCATTAATTAAACCAAAATTTAATGACAGCTTCCTCTTGACACCTTCTTCCCCTATTGTATTGGGGACATTATAATGAATAAGACATCACCACTCACTTCAAGGAGCTGAAAGCTTGGCAGGATCAGAAAGAAAAGCAAGCAACTATAATGTGTGTGGGGGGGGGTGGAGGCTGAATCTATGAAGATTCTCTCTTTTTTTTTTTGGCGGGGTGGAGAGGGTACCAGGAATTGAACTCAGGGGCACTTGACCACTGAGCCACATCCCCAGACTGATTTTAGAGACACAATCTCACTGAGTTGCTTCGTGCCTCACTTTTGCTGAGGCTGGCTTTGAAATCGTGATCCTCCTGCCTTAGCCTCCCAAGCCACTGAGATTACAGGTATGAGCCATGGTGCCCAGCCAGGTTCTCTTATGCAGAATTTTCCACTGTCTGTTTCTTAGAGAATAAAGTAAATAAAGGGACAGTCTTCAGTGTCATAATCAAGGCCTTTCACAAAACAGCCACAACTTGCCCTTCTGCTGTCTTTTCCAATTAGGCTGTCACCACAACAGCTTTCCTTCCTTCCTTTTTGTTCCCCCTTCTCTTTCTCATGACACACACACACACACACACACACTGCAAGGCAGCTGCACTAGACTCTTCATTGTCTTCTGATCCTGCTTCACATTTCCTGTCTCTGTTTTGTCACTCTTTTCCTCTCATCGACTGTACCTGATCAAATTCCTACCCATTCTTCAAGTCCCAGATAGACACGGTGCCTTTCTTGAAACCTGGTTTGATCTCCCCATGTATTTTGCCCTAAGTTACTGTATGGGCCTCATTCTCCCCCCAGTACTCAGTAAGCTCAATAGGAAACGGATGTTGTTTTCTCATCTTCCTATTTCATGATGTGCCCACGTTTCTGTAATGGTAAGTGTTTGCTATACCTACGAAACTAAAAGGCCAGAACTTGGGGAGAGGACAAAGCCAGAGTAGGTTTGAAACCTTGATAGCTAGAATCAGGAAAGGCAACCTAGACACATTCTTATAGAAACCTTTGGGGAACAGGGAAGGATACCATCCCATGAACATATCATATGCTCAGTAAACATGGGGTTTAAAAATACAAGACATTTACATCCAAGCATCTTAGGCAATTAGGCATTTTGCCTATTTAAGATAGCAGTGTCTACAGGGAGACAGTACATGGGACCTGAAATTTCAGATGCTGGGTGCCAGACTTTCACATTTCTATTGGATTACTGTGAGATTATTAAGAAAAGAGCTTGCTTGAAAGGCTAAGTATTTTAAAAAACCTAAATCATCCTTAGAAGTATTACAGAGTCACTGCGCTAACTTTTGCTTTTAATCAGCAATTGCAGGATCAAACTATAGTGTACGTTATCTCACCTTTGTTTGAACTATCAAAATACCCAAGACGTTGCCAAGGACTACTGAATTCTTTGGCTTGGCCACAGAGGCCACACGACGAGTGTGCGTTTTCCCCGTCTGGAGTGGGAGGGGATGTGCGTGCCTTTCAGCCCAGTCTTAGAATGAAGTCATCTCTGACTGCGGTGCGCTGGATGGAGGGCAAATTCCTAAATTGTTCCAACTCATTCTGCAGAACAGTGCCATTTCCCAGGGAGTGTGGCATCTCCCCAGTTTGCAGATGAAGAAGGACGAGCCTGGACCCCCTAACTCTGCGGCCGCGGTGCACCGGCTCTTTCCCTCAACGAGCACTTCCCGCCTTCTTGCGGTCGCAACCCCTCGCAGGTGTCAACAGCTGCCTCCTCGGAATCCTCCTCTCTCCCCGCCACACCCCGCCCGGCCGCGCCCCACCTGCCCCACCGCGCCCGGGACGGAGGAGACGCAGGTCTGATTGGCCGACAGCGGAGGGGGCGGGGCCTGTGCGCCCGGGTGGTTAGTGGCAACTTCACTGCCGAGGCAGGCTGGGCTCGCCAGGAGGAGTGGGTGCCGCGTGCCACCGAAGACCTAGTGGGACCGCTTGGGCCCGCTCAGGATGAGGACGCGCGGGGCGACCCCTCGCCACGCGGCGGGGCTCCTCATGCTGCTCCTCTGGTGCTTCGGGATGGCGGAGCCTTCTGACCCTGCAGGTAACCGCGGGCGCGTCCGCAAGTACCCCCGCTGGGGGCCTCGATGCTGCAGGTCTGCCGACTTTCCTCCGCCTGAGTCAGGCCGGAGCTCCCGAGTCAGGTCACCGTTGTTTTGCTTTGGGGTCTGGAACCGACGAGGAAGTGTGGCGGGGAAAACGCTCTATTGCCCTCGGGGGCCGGGAGGAGGGCGCGACTGGGCGTGAAAGGGCAAGGTCTTTCTGGTGTTGAGGGGACCTGGATTTACCGAGGGGAGGCTCAGTCTTTTCTGGGAGGTTTCTCTGCCCCTTTCTCGCCTACCTTTCTCTAAAATGTTGCTTCCCTGGGGTATGGAGCTCCCCATCTCCTACATGCTATCCCATCACTCTCTCGCCCCTTGGTCACCTTAGCCCCTCAGTGGCAAAGATGAGGTTCCGCCTCACCCCAAAGATTCTCACAAATTCCCTGACTTCCCTCCACCCACGGTGCACCTCAAAAAGGAAGTCAGGTTAAAACTTCTTTTCCCAAAGTGACCATGACCAAGAGTCAGTTGTGATGCTCTCTCCCATCGCCTGGAGCAGTGACCCTTTCTTCAAATTGGCTTATCAACACCAAATGATTCTCCCACGCCCACACAGGCCGAAGGCATCTAGCTAAAGCGCTTGGAAACCCACTGCCTCTCACTAGGTAACAGACTTTTGCCCATTGCTAATAATGCTAATAATGGTGCTAGCCTCACCATCTCCCTTGGTACCAACTTTACTTTGCTTTTACTTTCTCTTTGCCTTGGCAAAGGGTGTGCCTAGGACTTTGTTTCTTGGTTGGGCTGCATAATGGGCATTCTTTGGGCAGTCCCCACCCACAACTCCTACAGTCTTTCATGTATGAGGAAGGAAAAGATTATCAAGACAGTTTTTTAAAACCATGAAGTTGATTGTGCTTTTACTTTCTTTGCAGCTAAGTTACTATCTGGTTTAAACTTTATTCGAAGAGAGATGGTAAGAGGTTTCTCAGAATGGCATCATTCTGTCTACATCAAGGGCCTTTTAAATGGACCCTGATCTGACACTCTTTTCCATTCTCCTTTAGCCTTCTGTGCTGGGTCAGAAGAGCCATGAATAAGGCAATCCTTTATTGCTGTTAGAATTCTACTCTGCTTGCCCCACAATCCAAATCTAACTGCAGCAACTAACTGAAAACACTAACCTTTCAATTGCTCTCCTCTTGGCTTCTTTATATACCTGCCTTAGTTCTGTTTTGTCTCCTCCACAAAATTCAAGGTTTTCTTAATTCTCACCATATCTACAGTCCTTGTTCTATCTAAGCCACCCAAAACAAAGAGAACCCAGCTTAACTCTATTCTCCCTGAACTAGGTCCCCACAAATCTTTTTTTTCCCTGCGTCATTTCCTCACTCCTAGCCGCTGCTCTGGGTGGCTTTCTCTAACCTTCAGACCAGACTTGTGGTCTTATTAGGGGAAGCACTGGAATTTTGAACACTCAGCCATTTGGGTAGCTTGTTTGGCAGTGTGTCAGCTTCAGGATGCTAGTGATGGTATTCACCTCATTACATGTATATGGCTAGGCTTGGGCAGGTAGTCTTGGTCACCCAAATGTTGGAGGAGAACTCTATGTCCTTGAGGAGATTCCAAGAGCTTAGTTTACTTTTTTTTTTTTTGCCTCTTTGGAGAGCTAACAGCTTGCAGTAAACCAATCCTTCAGGGACTCCTGAGGTTCTCACCAGTCCACACCACAGAGTCTGGCCTTGATGACTTTTTGATGCCTAATATTTTGCCATGGACCAAAATGTTACTTCAGGACCTGTTTTTAAACTAAAACACCAAGACTTCTGATCCTTTCTTATTACACCTGTATGCTCTGCACACTTGGCAGAGACCACAAAATGTTTAACATTGAACCGAGAAAATTCCCTTGAAATTATCAATGCCATGATCTTTATCCTTTCTGCCATCCCAAGCCATTTCCCTCTCCATTGGTCTGCAGTTATAAAATGTTGTCATCCAGCTTCTCTGCCAAATTCTCAGAGCTCTTTGTTCTAGGGCCTGTAATTCAGGACTTACTTAGTGATCAAACAACAAGAAAATGCCAAGAAGAGATGGTTTTTCTTTGATGTATATAAAAATACTAAAAACTCACTGTCAATTTATGATAATGCTACTTATCCATTTTCTCTCAAATATCACTAGAGTATTTATATAAAATTATATAAAAAGCGAATCTAGGAGTGATCGGTCTTCTTTTCATCAATCTCTGCCTTTTAGATTTGCCCCAATTTTATATTTGGAGAGAAACATGAAAATTCCATTGAAGACTGATGTAAAGTTGTAAAGTGAACAAGATAAAATATAAGGCTATCAATAATTTGTTTTATAAATTGCTCTGTAATTACCTTTTCAAAGTGCAGTAGAGCACTTGCCTGGAATATGTGAGGCACTGGCTTCAATCCTCAGCACCACATATAATAAGTAAATTAAAAAAATAAAGGTACATTGACAACTAAAAAAATATTTTAAAAAAATTCTCTTCCAAAGAATTTTTATAAAGCAAAACTGTCATCAAACTGTACATGCCCAGTACAAGTGAAATTAGAATGACCCCAAGTACCACTAGCAGTAGTGTTACATAATAATATTGTGAGCATCTGTTCAAGAACAATATGTGGGCTGGGGATGTGGCTCAAGCGGTAGCGCGCTCGCCTGGCATGCGTGCGGCCCGGGTTCGATCCTCAGCACCACGTACAAACAAACATGTTGTGTCCGCCGAAAACTAAAAAATAAATATTAAAAAAAAAGAACAATATGTGATGAATTCAGCAAAGGCTAGTAAAACTTGCAAGGATGGGAATGTTGTTATCTGGTGGAAACATAGGATATTTGCTCTAGAAGTGGCTTAGATGTCTTATACTCCACTGCTTTCCTCTGATGTTTAGAGATATGAAGACCCTGGGAGACTAAGTGGTTTCAACAAGTTCTCCCATCTAACTGATAGTTTTAATCTAGGACTTCTAATTCCTTGTTCCACTGGCCTTTCCGCTATACTAAGACTTTTACCTAATCAATTGAATTCTACGAGGGCAGCTTGAAAAACACAGAACTCAAAAAGCAAAAGAAGGCAAAGCTGCCATTTGCCTAGATCACCTGTTTGGGGTCAAGTGTCATAGAGCAGAGTGCCCAGAAAAGAGGACAAGACTACAGGACAGATGAGAGAAAGTTTCCAACAAGGGTGGTGGCCATGCCTCCAGAGGAGCAGACTTCTTTTTTTGTGATACAATTTCTTATACTTTGGAACCCAGATTTATTTTGAAGAGGTGAGAGAAAATAGTTTGGAAAAAGGTAGATCAGGCATCTGCATAGCTGTTGAATATGTGGGAGAAGGACATTAGAGAAAGTATGAGTGGTCATATCAGAGGAGTACATTTTCCTTTTCTTGTTGACTATTCTCCCCCAACCTGTGACCATCAGAGAGAATGGCCGAGGGATGTCAAAAAAGAAAGAGCAAGAGAGAGATGCTGCTATAACGAGCATACCTAGTTGCAACCCTATGCAATGCTTTAAAATTCAAATTTGAAAGAAGAAATAATTAAAATATTTAAAGATTTTTTTGTTTTGTTTTGTTCCCCCACCACCCCGTGGTTGTTGTTCCTCTTACTGCTCTTATTTAGAACAAAAAAAAATTCCACCCAAAGTTAAAAATGTAATCAGATTTTAACTTTATAGTTATTATTTACATTGTGAAATTTCCCCTCAAGTTGCCAGCCCTAGATATGTGAATTTTTAACTCTAAAGCTTGATTTATTTCCAGAAATAGCATTTGGTGTTAGTAAAACCAGTGATTGTGAAGAAGGCATCAAAATGAAAGTGCCTTTTGAGAACCAAATTCTTCAGGTTCTTCTGCTGAATTATGGTCCATTGATAATGATTGTTGAAGCTTGTCTAAAACATTTCAGCTTTACTTTCATCAACATGATGATGAAAGTATTTGTGCTAAAACTTTAGTTTTTTTCTTTATGAAAGAACTAACCAAATTGTTCAATTATTGTTTATTATAACAGATGTGTATCTTGCCCCACAAACTCGGTGTGTAAAAAACGATGCGTTCCTATCTTATCAGGATAATCTAATTAAATTTTACTCTGTTCCCATTCTGCCAGGCTGTCAGAACTTTAATTGCTGTCATTGTTGGGGTCTTCTTCAGCTCATGATGGTCACCAGGGGAACATTCAGGAAGGCTAATGATTTGGTCTTCTGTTCCCACTGGTTACTTCTCAGTTTCCCTTTGTCCAAACATGCTGGAACTTGGTGGCTCAGGTCACTCCTGGAGCTCATGATCCAGTCTTCCCAGGTAATACACACAGTTAATCCCCCAATGTCTCCTCAGGACCCATAGGGCTGATCACACATTCCCCCATCCTCAGAACCCAGACCTCTTTTATTCCCTCCAGCTCCTTCACCCCACTATTCTGACCTCTTAGAAATCTCCTCTCTGAAACACCTCAATGAATCAGTCTTCCACAGAAGGCTCAAAGGGAAGTGGCCTTTAAGTAAAGACTCCTTTTGTGTGGCCTCACTATCTTGCCATAAAGAGGGGAGCACAGAGGCCTGACTTCATACTTAAACTGGGGAAAGAACTTAAAGTGAGAACAAAGCTTTGATTTCTCATCTACTAGTTTTACCTGCCGTGCTAGCAAAAGTGTAAAAAGACAGAGTTTGGGTCCCTAATAGACTCAGGATATTTTTCATAGACCACAGACTACCTGTCTAGGTAAGATGAAAACTAAGGAGCTTCTTTATCCTATTCAACAGGATCTGGGTGGGGGTGGGGGTTCTTTCACTGACTAGCAGGAACAAATACCCAAACTACTCTCGGCTTTACTTGTATTGATTCATTTTATCACATTCACAGTAGAAAATAGGTACTGTGTTACAAATGAGAAAACTGAAGTACTGGTTAAATAATGTGCCCTGATCTCATGGCTGATAAGTAGCAGTAGAGACAGAATATGAGCCCAGGCAGGCTGGTTCTACAGACTGGCTCTACTACACACTGAACTGCCTCTCCAGCCTTCTCTGTCCTTCTTCCTTGTGTTGGACATTACAGTTTATCAAGTTGGGAGGGTGGGAGCAGTCCAGTAGTGCTCAGAACTATCATCAGCAAGCAGGGAGCAAGACACATTGGCCACATAATTCCAAATCCTGAAATGTCTTTTTTCACTGCCTGTCTTAATCCAGGTAATCATCCATTCACCATCTTCAATGAAAACACAGGCAAGTGCATCAAGCCACTAGTTGGCTGGATAGTAGCAAAGGATTGTGATGGAAGTAAGGACATGTTATGGAAATGGGTATCCCAGCATCGGCTCTTTCATTTGCAATCCCAGAAGTGCCTTGGCCTAAATATTACCAAACCCACGGATTCCTTGAAAATGTTCAGCTGTGATTCCAATGCCATGCTGTGGTGGAAATGTGAGCACCACTCTCTGTATGGTGCTGCCCAGTACAGGTTGGCTCTAAAGGATGGCTATGCCATAGCCAGTACAAACACATCTGATGTCTGGAAGAAAGGAGGCTCTGAGGACAGACTTTGTGACCAGCCTTACCATGGTGAGTACTGGAGAGGGACTTGGAGCCATTTGCTGTTGTGCTTATTAACTGTGACACTGAATATGCACGGTCAAATAAAAATGAAGTCATATGCTGGTAAGGGCAGTGAGCAAGCTATTTGGGTCCAGGCACTGTGAGTTTCATTTTTACCACATACCTGTGAGGTCGGTGGTATCTGACCCACCCCTACCCCTTTATGGGCAAGGCTAGGAGAGGTCAAGTGCCTTTTCAGAGGTCACATAGCCATATTGTAATGAGCCTGGGATATGAAATCTATGTGATGCCTGACTCCTATGATGACATGCTGAACTCTAGGAGAAAGGAAATATTAGATTAATAGGAAACTCTTCCTGCTGATAAAAATGTAATAATGTTGATGTTATAAATGAAAAAAAGAAAAAGAAGTGTATTTTTCCTCGTCTACAGGTTTTGAGACAGTGGGAATTTTTTAAAGTCTCATGTGTGTTTTTCATTTTCATTTTTGGCATGGTTGTCATGTGTTGATGTTTTTATTTATGATTAAACTTTTTAAAAAAATATTTGTATTAGTTCTTGATGGATCTTTGTTTTATTTACTTATTTAGATATGGTGTTGAGAATCAAACCCAGTGTTTCACACATACTAGGCAAGCACTCTACCACTGAGCCACAACCCCAACCCTATGATTCAACATTTTAAGAGTAAACTTTTTCTTGGTTGCTTCCAAAAATAAGTATATGAATATTGCCATAGTCTTTGCTCTGAGTCTCAAAATGAATTTCTAAGTTTAGAAAAAATAAGTGGATGTATTTTTTAAACTACTAAATGTGACTAGCTATCACCCAAGCAAATCTTTTTTTATCATGTTGCTGTAAATTATTTGAATGTTGATGTACATATATAAATAATGTGTGTGTGTGTGTGTGTGTGTATATATATATATATATATATATATATATATATATATATATATACATAAATATATATAAAATCATCTAAATTCTATTATCTTACTCTTGTCCTACTTTTTAATTTCGATTATGATTATGATTATTTTGGTACCAGGAATTGAACCCAAGGGTTAAGAGTCACAAATTTGTAAGATGAGGTGTTTACATGGAAAACAAATTTCTTCAGTAATGTAAGATAAAATAGCTTCAGTGGTTAAAGAGGTTGGCAGGCTTCTGACAGTTGCTTAACCCACCCCTCTTTTATATTTTATTTAGAGACAGGGTTTTGCTGAGGCTGGCTTTGAACTTGAAATCCTTCTGTCTCCGCCTCCCGCAGCCCCTAGGATTACAGGCATGTGCCACTTTTTTTTTTTTTTTAAAGTCTCTTGTCCTTTTTAAAAAAACTTACATAGCTTTGCAGAGGTTTTCCCCTTCTCTAAAGCTCTTTTAAATTAAATTTGGCCACAGACTCAGGATAGCAGCTGAGTTCCCCTCTTTCTAGCTAAGGAACTTCTTTCTATTTTCTGGTGAGGATCTAGATATTCTGAGAAAGTCTGGTTCCACTATTAATGGAGAAATAATACAGACTTAGAGATTGGGGTTTTCTTTCTCTTCAATCCCCAGCCTTTGAGTAGTTGAACAAATCTGTTTCTGCTAGTCAGATTCCTCCTAAACTTAAAAGTGGTTACTTAAACTTAAAGCAATTATCAGCTGTAACCCTAGTGACTCTGGAGGCCTAGACAGGAGAATCACAAGTTCAAGGCCAGCCTCAGCAACTTAGCCCTAAGCAACTTAGTGAGACCCTGTCTCAAAATAAAAACCATTTTAAAAGGGGGCTGGGGAGTGTAGCTCAATGGTGAAGTGCCCCTGAGTTCAATCCCCAGTACCAAAAGCAAAACAGGATTTCATTTCCCAAATATAGTGTGTTTATTTCTCCCTTGGCTTTTGCAGTCTAAAAAGATTTTGCTTCTAATATATTAAGATTATTTATAATGTGTCTTAGGTTGCCTCTTCCTTCAACCCCTCTCCTGTTTGAGTTATGTTCATATCAGAGGAAGTTTTAGTGGTATAAAATTTTTGAGTAAACTGCTTTTGACTAGCACTTAGATATTAATTTACATCACAAGCTATCTTGACCTGATCATGTTTGGTGAATCATTCCAAAGAATGGACTTTTGGTGGAGAATTAGCTGTAGAACTGTGTGAACTATCTGAGCTTTTGAGCAACAGCCTGCCAACCTCTTTAACCATTGAAGCTATTTTATCTTACATTACTGAAGAAATTTGTTTTCCATGTAAACACCTCATCTTAGAAATTTGTGACTCTTAAACTAATAAGCTATTGTCTTAAGGATGCTATCACCCTAAAGTCACACATTCAGAGAAGACTCTTCTCAGGAAAGCCTGTCTTGCTAAGAAACCCCATGGATTCAAGAGTTCCCGCCATAGCAAAGTGTGTGGAAATCAAACTCTCAGTGAGCATCCTTTAACTGCCTCGGTGGTGGTGGTTTGCTTCTCCGAAGCATTTAGTGACTGGGAGCCCTTTTTTAATTTCTTTTTTAGTTGTATATAGACATAATACCTTTATTTTCTTTCTTTGTTTCTATGTGTGAGGCAAGTGCTCTACCGCTGAGCCACAATCCCAGCCCGTGACTTGGAGCTTTTTAATGAAGCTCAGCTTTGAGCTATACTATGTGACTTGAAACCTGAGAGGACAACCATTGGTATCAAAGTTTTGCTTGTATGTCTCTCTCATCAGAGAGCCCAGACTCATCCCCATTGCTCACAGCTGAGTGATTGGACATTTTACTTAACTATTCCACAAAAATGGGATTTCACAAACAAGCATAGTATTACATACTGATCTCTCGGGCTTATGGTAAAGAGCATTTAAAGAAATGATCTTTATTTAAATGTATATGAAAGAACTTTATATGACAGATATAAAGGTTTTAGAGAAAAAAAAACCCATATGCTCCTACAAGTCATAGTCATGGTGTTGGGGAACTGTCCTCTGGGTATTATAATAGAAAGGGAAACGAGTCATGCAATCCTGGGAGTTTTTGGTGTGGTCAGAAACAAACCATATAATAAGCAGACTCCTTATAAAACATAAGGTCAACATACTCTTTAACAGAAGGAACCAATTCAAAGCCATTTATATGATATAGGAAAACAAAACAATGATCCTTAAAAGATTTTTTTTTTTTGCAAAGAAAAGTGCCTAGTACTTTTATTATAATGCTGCTTAATACATTCCAAATTTAAAAAGTTTCACACTTTAGTCAGATGAACACTTGAGAATGATAGAACACTTGAGGATGATAAGGGATGTAGAATCAAATACCATCTTAAGCACACTTTTAAGCAAATCTGTGAGACATTTCAAGGGACCCTAATAGCTTGAGATTTGATGATTATGCTTTATTTAATAGTCTTTATTCGATCTGTTAATGACCAGGGTTTTAAACAAATTGAGAATATAGAAAAAGGTAACAGAAATAGATACAGGGTTAGGTGTCCTATAGAAATACTTTTTCAAGAGAAATATTATCGACCTAAGCATTAAGCACTTCCTGTAGCATTTCCAGGCATATTTGTGGTTGAAATCATTTTTTCAGTACTTCTCTGAGTATTAGGGAAAAATTATTAAAATATTAAGCTAGATCTGCTACCTTGTTGGCCACCAGTTGGTCTCATGACTTCCCTATTAAAGCCAGTTCTTCTTTCTTTTTTAACATAAGTTACTGTGCCTTGCTCTTCCCCAAGAATCTACTCAGGAACCCAGCAGTTCTTCCTTTATTTTCTGAGAACCACAGTCTCAATTCTATCAAGCAGTGGGTTGTTTGTCCATCTAACTTCATAAGTAGTTCCAAAGTCCATACACACCCTCTATGATGCTAAGATATTTTTCTGCTAAGATATTTACACTTAAGTAAAAAAAAAATGAAGGTGAATTTTATCTCAGTCATGGTACACTTTTGATAAAGTACTCTGCCACCCATAGTAGAGTGACCCTTAAGCCAGGATCTTTTAGTGCTTTGTCACACAAAAGAATCCTTACACAGATTATTTTACCAAATTCTGCATTTGTGAATGCAGAAACTAAGCTTACCCACAGTCATAGAGGGGACCCCAGTCTTCAAGCCCAAACGTGAACAGTCAGCATCATGCTCTTTCCTCTCTGTGCACCCCATTCAGATATTGTATTCCCATAAATGAAAACAGCCATCTCTTTAGAAACAATTGTAGGTATTAGCTAACTGAAAGTGATTATCCAGTTTTCAATTCTCCTTTCCTCAACTTCCTCCCCAACCCACAGAGGTATATACCAGAGATGGGAATTCCTATGGAAGACCTTGTGAATTTCCATTCCTAATTGATGGGACATGGCATCATGACTGCATTCTTGATGATGACCACAATGGACCATGGTGTGCCACCACTTTACATTATAAATATGACCAAAAGTGGGGCATCTGCTTAATACCAGGTATGTGTGGGCTGGTGAACTTTATGAATGGAAAGAAGAGTGCCATTTATATGAGGTAAAAAGGAGAAGCAAGATGTCAAGATGACTCAAAAGTGCAACAAATATTATCCTAGATAAGGAGTATATATTTATAAGAAAAAAGAGTAGTAAAATGTAGCTTTGAATTTACTTTCGGAAGCAGGTCAAGAAGAGAGCCAAGACAGCTTACAAAGTGAAAGATAACAGAGCAGGGAAGCATAGTTTTCAAGTTCCCGGTTAATGCTGATGATTTGACCTTGTGAACCGTACTTTAGAATTACTTACCTAGGTCAAGGCCCAGGCGTTTCAACACCAAGAATATACTGAAATATAAAAATCCAATATTTGCTCCAGTTGTAATTGATAACTAACTGTAGTTTAGGGAAGGAATTTCAAATGTTAAAGGTAGCTTAGAGGTTATCTAGTGCAAACCCCTATTTCTCAGGTGAGAGGCAGCAAGCCCAGGCTGAAGGAAGGGCCTGTCAGGGTCAGACCACATTCATGTGGAGCCTGGTGGAGAATTCAGGATTCCTAATCCTCATTCTCCAGCATATACACCCCACTCTATTTGATGCCTTGCCTGGGATGTGTCTCAGTGCCTTAGCCTGATGGGTCCCAAGGGTGGGAGGGGTTGTTATTGAATTTATATGCCTTCCAGAGCTACTTTTTATGAAAGAAGCAATACTGTGAGTTTTCTTAACCCCAAGGATTGCTAAGCCACAGAGGTGGTATTGCACGGCAAACACACTGCCACCCCACTGGCAGCATGTTCTAGATTTACAATCAGAGGGCTTCAGTGGCAATAATGAACCTTTAGACAATGTTCTTACAAATTTTTCCTATTTTGTTTTCACCAAATGTCACAACCTTTGTTGCTGTGGAGGTCATAGGAAAGTGTCTGAGGAGGCAAAGTGTGCCATTCAAAGAGCAACAAAAGGGATTGGTGCTTTGACTGCAGCTCTGCTACAAACATCTGTAGGTCTTTGTTCCCCTCTGAAATGAGGGCATCAAAAAGAGGATCTCAAGGGCCTTTTCAGCACATAGGTGCACAAGGCTGCCATCTGATGTATAATATGGGAAGCCCTTTGGAAAGCCCCCCAAGTGGAGCCTGGGATACACATCACACAGCCTACACTGTTTTTTCCCCTCTTGTTGGGAGCACATGAGAGACTCTAAGTATTTTTTCGAACTAGTTGTCTCAACACCTATATATTCTTTTTTTTTTTTAATATTTATTTTTAGTTTTCAGCAGACACAACATCTTTGTTCGTATGTGGTGCTGAGGATCGAACCTGGGCCGCACGCATGCCAGGCGAGCGCGCTACCGCTTGAGCCACATCCCCAGCCCTCAACACCTATATATTCATCCAGGAAACAGCTTGAAGTTTCTTTGTCTGAAAATATACATTACTTTATATATTTTTAAAAATATTTATTTATTTGTAGATGAACACACAGTATCTTTATTTATTTTTATGTGGTGCTGAGGATCGAACCCAATGCCTCACACATGCTAGGCAAGCACTTTACCACTGAGCTACAGCCCAAGCCCCTACTTTATATATTTACTAAAGAATATATGATGTATATTTAAAAAAGCACATACATATTTCTATACCTATATATGTAATATAAATGTGCATATATAAAGTGAATTATATGATATTGAATATTTCATATATAACAAATTACATAATATTAATTATTTCATATATAGTGAAACACATAATATTAGTTATATCATATATTCAACCATCTGCTAAAATATTAAGAACAATCTTGGACTTAGTTTCCAAAATAAGAGTCCATATTTATGGTCTGTGTTCCATATCTTAGCCATTTAAATGGCATGTCTGTGTATACACTTGAATACTCACTGGTTTCTCTATAGGTCGTGAGCAAACCCTCTACCATCTCCCACCATGTTCCAGTGAGCTTGTTTTCCCTTAGCTGAGCATTCCACACCTGTACACGTTAAGACTCCCACCTTCAAGCACAGGACAAGCAGGAGCACAGGTGAAAACATGGCATTGTAGCTGATAGGGGACAAAGGGACAGTGGCAGCTTTCATCAACCTGAATATTTGCTGTCCTCTGACTTCAATTTCATTATACCAAAAAATCAAAATATGGTCTAAACAAGCAATGGCAGCCTCCACTTTGGCACATCCTAAGAGTAAGCAAATTGAATTGCAGTATTGTAAGCAGACCAAGGAATAGAAAATGTTATGCCTTTACTTTATGATCACTAAGTAATCTTTTATCAACAGAAAATGGCTGTGAAGGTAATTGGCAAAAGAATGAGCAGATTGGAAGTTGCTACCAGTTTAATAATCAGGCAACTCTTTCTTGGAAAGAAGCTTACATTTCGTGTCAGAGTCAAGGAGCTGACTTACTGAGCATCAGCAGTGCAGCTGAATTAACTTACCTCCAAGGTAGGTTTGACTTGCATGTTGCAGAGAAAATTGTTGAAATTGTGAAGACACTTCCTCCTTCTACTTTCATATCCAGGCGTGTTGTTTTATGTGTATCTTTTCTGTCTTCTTTTGGGATTTAAACTTCAACACTGAAGTTGCCAAACTACTGAATGTAAACATATTCCATGTATTGAGAATACATGTTGAGATGGAGACTAAAGAGAGATTGATACTTAGAAAACAGGGTAGAAGATTAAACTGCTACCTTAACCTAAGCAAAAGGATTTGAAAAAGTGAACAATAAGCTCTTTGAACACTGAAAAGTAGAAAATTCAAGGAAGGTAAGCAGATGGTTGGATCCTACTATATGGCCTCAGTAAAAAATCCTCACATTCAAGTGGAGAAATACAGTCCTCGCAGTCCTCGAGGAGAAACAAAGAGAGTTTTAAGAAATCTTAAAGTGGATATAACACAGATGTATAGAATGGATAGAATTTTGTTTTGTTTATAGGATGGTAGTGGTAATTTTTGAATTTTTAATTATGAAAATTTAAATTATATAGGTAAGAACACAAAACTAAAAGAGATCATTTATTCTTTCATATGAATTTCAGGAACACCTTGTTAATTTCAGTGAAAACCCTATGAAGATTTTCCATTGGAATTGTGTTGAATCAGATTAATTAGGATTAGTCTGTCTCTATATGAAGTCTTCTCATTTATAAAAATGGCATTTCTTTTCTCTTTAGGTCTTCTTTTATGTACCCAGTAAGATTCTGTAAATTTTCCCATCATACTCTTGAAAGAAAAAGCTAATAAACAGAAAGTTTTACATTATTTTTTAAATCAGAAAAAATCTAAGTTTCTCAGTTTTAATAATTTATTCTCTGAATGAAAAAATAGTGATAACATATGATAACGATGTTCTAGAACATATTACTAAATTGTTTTCAGACATTATCTTATTTAATGCTGTATAGGAGCCCTAAGAGGCTAGTATTATTGCTATGCTCATTTTGCAGATGAGGAATGTGAGGATCATAAAGGAAGTGTATTTTGTTCAAAGTCACTTACAAATACATAGCACAACCTAAATTTGAATAGTCTCACTTGAAAACAAATTGTATTGGGTGTTCACCTTTTAGAAGACTGTAAGTTCTTTGTAAGCAGAGGTAGGTTATTGTTTTACTTTGGCACAAAACTATAAGCCTTACTGGCATATAGTAAACAAATATCTATTTACTAAGTATTTCAGGTGAATCCTGTCCCTGTGTTATAATGAATATAAATATTTGAATAAATGCTAACAATGAACAAGGCTTTTTCTCCAAAGAAGTTAATCATCAGTACACCCCAGCAAGTATCTTTATCATCAGATCAGGAAATTGATATTTAGAAAAAACATACCCAATATCACATAGCTAAGAAATATCAGAATTAGGATTTGAATGTCAACATATGGAACCACAGAGCCCTTAGTTTTTTGCTATAATACTTACACTATATATATATATATCTTTATTTTTTTTTAATCATTGAAAGTCTACTAGTCTTTTTTCATGCTTTTTGCCTAAACCTTTATCCAGACCTGCTTTCTTACTTAGAACTTTATCCTTTTCTTTTATTGTCTGGGAGTTGAATAATCAGAACTTTAGAATAAAAATCTGTCAAATAAGCCTAATCGGTCAGTGTTTGGCAGTGGAATTCTATTATAGACTTCACTAAAGCCTTACAAAAAATATCATTGAGAATCAAAAGGGCCACTAAAGTTAAGCCTCCTAGAGTATTGACTTTGGGAAAGTGATGACTTCAGTGAAGGAAGAAAGTATAAAGAGTGACTCTCACCATCCTACCAAACGTCTGATGATGCAGTTGGAACAAGGAATGTTGTGTTGAGTCTTTATGCATCACGTTTCTTTGCTAACTTGCACAGAAGTGCAGTAGTTCTGTGAAAAACCTTAATGTCCCCCAACCCAGCAGTTACTCCCCGTAGTTTATGGATATCAGTAAATTTATAAGTATATCTGTTTCTAATGTTCCAAGCTCCTCTTCTAGCAAGAGAGCTAAATAGCATATCAATAGGACTAATTATAATTGCTGGTTTCCCCAAGACCCTGGAAAAAGCTGGACTTTAACATCTAAATCTCAAGCATCCAAAGTAGTTTCTATTAAGAATCCCTTTAGGGCTGGGGTTGTGGCTCAGTGTTAGAGTGCTCGCCAGCACATGTGAGGGCCTGAGTTCAATCCTCAGCACTACATAAAAATAAACAAATAAAATAAAGGTATTGGTGTCCAACAACAACTAAAAAAAATAAACAAATAAATATTAAAAAAAAAAAAAAAGAATCCCTTTATAGGGAAGAAGGGAGGAAAAGGAAAGGTTCTGGAGAATGAGATTGATCAAATTATGTAATGTGCTTGTAGGAATATGGCCTAATGAATCCCACTAATATGTGTAATTTTAATACACTGATAAAAATAAGCTTAAAAAAAGAATCCCTTTATTGCACACAGTCGTTTGTTAACATTGAACTAGAAGTAATGAGGCCAACAAATGTGAATCAGAGATTCCGTAACCAAAGTGCTTGATCTACTTGCGGAGATAAGAGTTGTTGCTATGCAGAGCATATATAATGGAGTATGTTGTTCCCAAACAACTTTTGACTTTGGTAGATAATGGTGGGGTGAGACTAGGGAATCAACTGCCAGAAAAAAATGCAGAAGCACCCCTATTGAAGTTAAGTCTCATGCAGTCTAAAAGACTTTTCTTTTAGACTTAATTTTGTTTTGGTTTTATTTTATGAATACACATTCTCTGGGGATAATATATTTGGTTTCTTTGTGCTCATCGGATTTTGCTGGGACTCAGATTTTCCATATCTCTGGCCTTGCCAGGACCTGTAACCAACATATTTATGCTACTACGTAAGAGAACCCAAGAATCCCCAGAGCAGGAACAGCACACTTCCATTCTTCCTAATTTGCCTCCACCCCAGGGGTTATTCACCTTACACCACTTTGACCAGTGCCCCAATGCTAGGACACTTCTAGATTAGGGCCCCTGCTGGTTATAGCTTTTCTGATGCATTATAAGAGGTTTTTTGGCTCTTTTCAGACACATGACTATTATCAGGCCAGTCTCTCATTGTGGGAAAAGGAATAGAAGTGTACTCAGGTCTGAATAGGGGTCTCTGGAACAGTTAAGAAATAGCCACCTCATAATGTACAGATTGAGAAAAAAATTTTTCTCGCCTGCATCTTGCACAGGCAAGATAAACTGTGTTCTCCTGCATGTAGTGAGTTGGCTGCAAAATATTGCAAAAAAATCACATGACACAGAAATAATTTTGAGAGATCAAAGGCAGGACAGCTCTGCGACCTTAAGTGTTCTGCTTCCACACTGGAAGAAGAGAGAGTGAGCCTGTGTTTTTTATTTTTATATGAGGGATATACAAAGGCTTTTCCATAAAATATTCTTCACCAAATAAGGCAGGGGGTGGGCTGTCCAAGTCCAATGGGTAATGCTCAACTCCAGAGCTACAGAGAAGCCTCTATAGCCTAGTGAAGACTGAGGTCACGGTGCTTTGGGTAATAAGCCACAAAATGACTTGCAATGCCAGACCAAAATCTCCTTGGCTTCAAGGCTGAGTAGAGGCTATGCTAATAGCTCAGAGGTGGCCTCCCACCTATTTGCAAACTATATCTCAGAAAGGGTTAGTATCCATAACTTATAAGGAGTTTAAACAACTCAATAGCCAAAACAAACAAAAACCCAATAATTGATTAAAATGGGGTAAAGGACAGATACAGTGGCACATGCTTACAATCCCAGCGGCTCAGGAGACTGAGGCAGGAGGATCATGAGTTCACTGCCAGCCTCAGTAACTTAATGAGGTCCTAAGCAACTTAGCGAGACCCTGTCTTAAAATAAGAAATTTAAAATGCCTGCGATGTGGCTCACTGATTAAATGCCCCTGGTTTTAATCCCCGGCATGAAGAAAAAAAATGGGCTAAAGACCTAAACAGAGCCAGGCATGATGGTGCACGCCTGTAATCCCAGCAATTTGGGAGGCTGAGGCAAAGGATCATGAGTTCAAAACTAGCCTCCACAACTTAGCAAAGTCCTAAGCAGCTTAGCAATACCCTGTCACCAAAAAAATAGTCATCCACAAATGGCATACAGATAGCCAAAAGACATATATAAATGCTCAACATCACTAGCCATCAGGGAAATGCAAATCAAAACCAGAGTGAGACCTCACATCTGTTACAATGGCTATTATCAAAAAGACAAAGAAGGACAAATGCTGGTGAGGATGTAGAGAAAGGAGAATACACTATTAAGGATGTAAATTAGCATAGTCATTATGGTAAAAGGCATGGAGGTACCTGAAAATATTAAAAAATAGAACTCTCTAGCAATCCCACTGCTGAGTAGATAGCCAAAGGAAATGATATCAGTATGTCACAGAGAGATCTGCTCCCCTGTGCTGATCACAGCACTGTTCACAGTGGCCAAAACATGGAATCAACCTACATGTCTATCAGTGGATGAAATGGATAAAGGAAATGTGTTACTTATACACACTGAAATACTATTCAGTCACCAAAAGGATGGAGTCCTGTCATTGGTGACACTGTGGATGAGCCTGTAGGACATTTTGTTAAGTGCAGTAAGTCAGCCACAGAAAGCCAAATGCCACATGCTCTCACTCATATGTGCACTCTAAAAGAGTCTCTCATAGAAATAAAAAGTAGAATAGTGATTACTAAAGGCTAAAGAGAGCAGTGGGGAGGTAGGGAGATGGGGGACGGAAAGATTGGTCAATGGGTTCAAAGTTACAGTTAAGAGAGATAAGTTCTGGTGTTCTGTTGCACAGTAGGGTGACTGAAGTTGACAACTATGTATTGAATATATCCAACTAGGTAGAGGGGTCTGGCTAGGGGTTGTGGGTTGTGGCTCAGATAACTCCAAAGCCTTTCAGCCTTCTCCTCAAGCGCTTGTCTAGCATGCATGAGGCACTGGATTCAATCCCCAGCACCACATAAAAATAGAAAACAAACAAAATAAAGGTATTATGTCCGTCTACAACTAAAAAAATAAAAAATAAAAAAATAGGTAGAGAGGATTTGGAATGTTCTTATCACAGGAAAAGATAAATGTTTAAGGTTGTGATTATGCTATCTACCCTGATGGTATATTTACATGATACGTACATGTATCAAAATATCACATTGAGCCTGGCATGGTGGCACGCACCTGAAATCACAGTGACTTGAGAGGCTGAAGCTTGCAAGTTTGAGGCCAACCTCAGCAAATTAACTAGACCCTGTCTCAAAAATAAAATAAATATATGAATAAATAAAAAGGCTGGAGAATGTAGCTCAGTGGTAGATTGCCCCAGGTTCAATTCCGGTAACACACACACACACACACACACAGACATACACACACACACAAAATATGTACAACTAGTATATGTCAATTAAAAACAAATTAAAGGTCTGGGGTTGTGGCTCAGCAGTAGAGCACTCACCTAGCACGTGCGAGGCCCTGGGTTCAATTCTCAGTACCACATAAAAAAATAAATAAAATAAAGGTATTGTGTCCATCTACAACTAAAAAATGAATATTAAAAAAGAGAAAAAAATACCTACTTTAGTGGACACCCATTTGATTTAGGTATGAGATTTTATGCTAGCAATCTGTCTTTTAATGGCAAAGGTTCGGGTAGGTACAGTCTCAAGTTGATCAATGTCTTATCTGGACTGTGTGTGGAATAAAAACTCTAGCTTCAGATTGTCCAAGCCATATAATAAATCTCTATTCTTTATAATTACCCTACCAGTACTTTTAGAATTTATCCATTTCTCATTGTCATGCACAGAGCAATAGACACCTTAAGTAAATTTGTGTTTGCCAATACTATCACATTTTTAAAATCCTGATTCCAGTGAAGTCATCAGTACAAATCACCAAGACTACACTATATTGAAGCAGATCAGGAGCACATCTGTGTCACAAAATCCCATGATGTAAATGTGTACTTGCCATATGCAGATAAGTGAGAGGAGTGTTCAGAGGGAGCGACTGCTTCCTGTTGGAGGATATTGGAACAGACTTCGTGGAAGGCATGGAATTGAATTTGGGATGAATAGGAAGGATTTGTCCTCCATACTGTCCCCAGTAGAAACCAATGAAAGGAATTCAGAATACCAGGGTTGTGATTCAGTGTGGAGTACCAGAAATATGTCAGTTTCCAGAACCTCCGAGGAATGTTGGAAAATCTATTGCATTTATTAATAGGGAAAATTTTATATTAGATTAAATCTTCACAGTCTTTGTATGCCAGTGTGGGCAGCCCTTGCATATGCTTATAGAGAAGATTAAAGAGAAGGATAACTCCAAAGCTTTTCAGCCTTCTGCTCAAGGCATCTACCCCAGTATTCACCTTCTCCTTCCTTATTAGAATATCCTAACCATCTGCTTCTTTGAGAAAAGAGACAAACCTTTTTGCATTTCCCCATCCGATCTCACATTTGCTTCTCGGTAGAGCAATGATTAAGGCTCTGTCCTCACCATCATCTTCCCAGGCTCCTCCCATCACTTCAACCCAGCAATATCTGGGCTACTGCTCTTGGTCTCTTTGCTCTTTCTTCTCTATCCAGGAAATCTATTCCACTCTCTTGGTTTTAGTTCCAGGGAAGTCCTTCTTTAGGCATTAGGGTTCTGACGTCCTCAGCAAAGATTATGTGTAGTCAGCAGTGTCCTTGAAAGCCCTTAAAAGTGTGGATGGGTTTTCTATATGCAAATCACACAGAGTGTATGTGTGTGTGTATCATGAATATGATAACTATGTATGTGTATATATGTATAATATGTATATATAATACTTATCGCATATATTACAATATTATATATATATATATATATATATATATATATATATATATTGTGTATATCTATAATGCAGATATATCTATAACAAATCATACATAATTTCCTGGGAGTAATTAAAAACCACTAGCAAGTGTTTTACTGCTGAAAACAAATTCAAAAAATTTATAAAGATTTCAACCTTTATAAAGCTCTTCCTGTTGGTCAGCATCCTGTTTGTTATTGAGAGACCATTTCATCCATTGCTGTATCTCTTCTACTTGGCCTTCAATTTATTTTTTAGCCTTCTTTCATGTATTGATGAGATCTTGACAGGTTTCTGAATAATGCTGTTGGCTTCCTTGATAGTGGTGGAAATCCTTACAATCATTCACATGATCTTTTTCCAACACACAAGGACCCATACAAGCATGATTACATCTGTGTTTCATGGGTGTGTGCACGTTGAATGGCATATCAGCAATCAGCCTCACTATGCTTCTCTTTCTCTTTTTTGTTGATGATATCTGGTTGTCAAATAATAAATTTGAATGATGTAGTCTACTCTTGTACACACATGATTGTGTTTGTGTGTATGTGATCTGGTTGTCAAATAATAAATTTGAATAATGTATGTCCACTCTTGTGCACACATGGGTGTGTGTGTGTGTGTGTGTGTGTGTGTGTGTGTGTGTGACTCTTCTGTTTCTCTAGCCTAAACGTTCTCTTGGACTCCAGAGCCATATACTCGATACCCTGTGAAATATCTCCATACCCTGTGAAATACAATCCTATACATATTTCTGACCCACTCCAAAATGGTTCACCATGTGGAGGATCTGTATGTTTCCTTCTTTTAGATTAAAATTTTTATAAGGGAAATAATAGCTGGAAAATAATATGTACTTACTGAATCACACTATCAATCTAGAATGAAATCAGATCTTCAAAACCTAGATATACATGAGAAACTGCTTTTGATAAGTATTCTAAATCAGTACAAGAGAGTTAAAAATAGACTGTGAAACAGCTACTCTAAGAAGTCTGTTTTTACCTTAGAAGAAGGGAGTTGGACAAGATAACAGGAAGCAGAATTGAGGAACTTACCAGCCTTTGACCTTTTCCACGGTCTGAGGCTCTGTTGTCTATCAACATCACTCATCTTTGTTGCCTAGACATTCTCCTACCTGGATTACTGATACAATCAAAGCCTTCAGGAGGTTTGCTATTTATTGAAATCTAATCTGAGTTGGAGAATAATAACCCAAATAATTTTATCACTTTTTAAAATTATATAATTTTTACAGGACAAGAAGGCATTGCTAGAATGTTCTGGATTGGATTAAATCAGCTGTACTCAGCTAGAGGCTGGGAATGGTCAGATCACAAGCCATTAAGCTTTCTCAACTGGGACTCAGGTAATTGTTCTTCCCCCACCCATTTTGCCTATAGAGCAAAAGCTTCAGAAAACAAGGGCTTCTCACTCTCTGAGATCTTTTAAAAGTTTCAAGAACTGATAAATCTTGTGATTACTTCTCAGATTTTTTTTTCCCTAAACCAGAGTAGAATGAGAACCACCACTTGGCGAGGAACCATACTGGGTCCCTTAGGGGTCTTGACATGTCCATGACTTGCCCATGTTGTGTCCATCTACAACTTAACTCTAATGCAGAAATATTCCCTTATATTTCAAATCCTTGGGGTCTCCCCATTCTGGCACCCAAGTACTAATAGCATAATGGCTATAATTTATTATAAATAAATAACACAAGGAAAATTTTATAATGATTAAAACCCTGTTTAGCCAAAAAAATCTTTTTCCCCCAAAGGAAGAATGAGGTACCTTTTTAAAAATAAAATATGACAAATGAAAAACCTAAAAGTGAGGCAGACCTGCGACCGACCGGCGGAGCAGGCCCAGCGGCCCACCGGCGTGGTGGACACATCACCCCAATTGGAGGAGGGGCAGAGCATAGCCACCTCCCGAGCCTGCAAGGTAGGCAGACCTGCGACCGACCTGCAGAACAGGCCCAGCGGCCCGCCGGCATGGTAGACACATCACCCCAATTGGAGGAGAGGCAGAGCCGCCGCCCGCGCCTGCAAGGTAAGCAGACCTGCGACTGACCGGCAGAACAGGCCCAGGGACACATCACCCCAATTGGAGGAAGGGCCCAGCTGCCGCCCACAAGGTAGGCAGACTGCGCATCCCGGAGAAGGGGCCCAGCAGCCCGCCAGCCTAGTTGAAAGATCACCCCAATTGGAGGAGGGGCACAGCCGCCACCTGCGCCTGCAAGGTACGCAGACCTGCAACCTGGAGAACAGGCTCAGCGGCCCGCCAGCGTGGTAGACAGATCATCTCTATTGGAGGAGGGGTCCAGCCATTGCTCACAAGGTAGGCAGACCACGTGACCTGGAGAAGGGGCTCAGTGGCCTGCCGGTGTGATAGACAGATCACCCCAATTGGAGGAGGAGCACAGCTGCCGCCCGCCCCTGCAAGGGAGACTTTGCAACTATACAAGAGCAATATAAATATATAGGGGGAAAATTCAATAACACAACAGTTTCACCAAGCAGAAAGACACTCGAGCAGTATGGAAAGACAAGGAAAGAAAGGACCACAAGCAATGCAGTTCAACTCAACTTTAGAAGAGGTAATAGCTGCAGCAGATGGAATGTCAGATAAAGAATTCAGGATTTGCATGATTCAGATGATCTGGAGTCTCAAGGAAGACATTAGACAGCAAAATCAGATAATGAAAGATCATTTCGACAATGAGTTACATAAACAAATCCAAGAAGCAAAAGATCAACTATACAGAGAGATAGAGGTTATAAAAAACAAACAAACAGAAATCCTAGAAATGCAGGAAGCAATAAACCAACTTAAAAACTCAAATGAGAATACTACCAGCAGAGTAGAACACTTAGAAGATAGAACATCAGACAATGAAGACAAAGTATTTCAACTTGAAAAGAACATAGACAGCTCAGCGAGACTGTTAAGAAACCATGAGCAGAACATCCAAGAAATATGGGATAACATAAAGAGACCAAACTTAAGAGTCATTGGGATACAGGAAGGTATAGAGGTCCAAACCAAAGGAATGACAATCTGTTCAACGAAATAATACGAGAAAACTTCCCAGACTTGAGGAATGAGACAGAATCCCAAATCCTAGAAGCCTACAGGACGCCGAATGTGCAAAATCATAAGAGATCCACACCTAGACACATTATAATGAAGATGCCCAACATACAGAATAAGGAGAGAATTTTAAAAGCTTCAAGAGAAAGGAAGCAGATTACATTTAGGGGTAAACCAATCAGGATAACAGCTGATCTCTCAACACAGACTCTGAAAGCTAGAAGATCCTGGATCAAAATATTTCAAACGCTGAAAGAAAATGGGTTCCAACCAAGAATTGTGTATCCAGCAAAATTAAGCTTCAGGATGGAAGATGAATTTAAAACCTTCCACGATAAACAAAAGTTAAAAGAATTTGCAGCTAGAAAACCATCTCTTCAAAACATCCTCAGAAAAACACTACAGGAAGAAGAAATGGAAAATAACAATGAAAACCAACAGTGGGAGGTAGTACAGTAAAGGGAAAAAATAATGAAAGTGGAAAAACAAACTATGTTAAGTAAAATAAATAAACAAATATGGCTGGAAGAACAATCCATATCTCAATAATAACCCTAAATGTTAATGGCTTAAACTCACCAATTAAGAGACACAGGCTAGTAGAAAGGATCAAAAAAAAAAAAGATCCAACAATATGCTGCCTACAGGAGACGCATTTGATAGGAAAAGACATACATAGACTGAAGGTCAAAGGTTGGGAAAAATCATATCACTCATATGGACTTCGGAAACAAGCAGGAGTGTCCATACTCATATCAAATAAAATAGATGTCAAGCCAAAGTTAATCAAAAGGGATAAAGAGGGACACTACATACTGCTCAAGGGATCCATACACCATCAAGACATAACAATCATAAATATATATGGTCCAAACAATGGTGCAGCTATGTTCATCAAACAAACTCTTCTCAAGTTCAAGAGTCTAATAGACCACCATACAATAATTATGGGAGACTTCAACACACCTCTGTCACCACTGGACAAATCTTCCAAACAAAAGTTGAATAAAGAAACTATAGAACTCAATAATACAATTAATAACCTAGACTTAATTGACATATATAGATTATGCCACCCAACATCAAGCAGTTACACTTTTTTCTCAGCAGCACATGGATCCTTCTCAAAAATAGATCATATATTATGTCACAGGGCAACTCTTAGACATTATAAAGGAGTAGAGATAATACCATGCATGTTATCTGATCATAATGAAATGAAACTGGAAATCAACGATAAAAGAAGGAAGGAAAAATCATGCATCACTTGGAGAATGAACAATAGGTTACTGAATGATCAATGGGTTATAGAAGACATCAAGGAGGAAATTAAAAAATTCTTAGAGATAAATGAAAACACAGACACAACATATCGGAATCTGTGGGACACATTGAAAGCAGTTCTAAGAGGTCAATTCATTGCCTGGAGTTCATTCCTTAAAAAAAGAAAAAACCAACAAATAAATGATCTCACACTTCATCTCAAAATCCTAGAAAAAGAAGAGCAAAACAACAGCAAAAGAAGTAGAAGGCAAGAAATAATTAAAATCAGAGCTGAAATTAATGAAATCGAAACAAAAGAAACAATTGAAAAAATTGACAAAACTAAAAGTTGGTTCTTTGAAAAAATAAATAAGATTGACAGACCCTTAGCGATGCTAGCGAAGAGAAGAAGAGAGAGAACTCAAATTACTAGCATACGGGATGAAAAAGGCAATATCACAACAGACACTTCAGAAATACAGAAGATAATTAGAAATTATTTTGAATCCTTATACTCCAATAAAATAGAAGATAGTGAAGGCATCGATAAATTTCTTAAGTCATATGATCTACCCAGATTGAGTCAGGAGGATATAGACAACCTAAACAGACCAATATCAATTGAGGAAATAGAAGAAGCCAGCAAAAGACTACCAACTAAGAAAAGCCCAGGACCAGATGGGTATACAGCAGAGTTTTACAATATCTTTAAAGAAGAACTAATACCAATACTTTGCAAGCTATTCCAGGAAATAGAGAAAGAGGGAGAACTTCCAAATTCATTCTACGAGGCCAACATCACCCTGATTCCTAAACCAGGCAAAGACACTTCAAAGAAAGAAAACTACAGACCAATATCTGTAATGAATCTAGATGCAAAAATCGTCAATAAAATTCTGGTGAATCAGATTCAAAAACATATCAAAAAAATTGTGCACCATGATCAAGTAGGATTCATCCCTGGGATGCAAGGCTGGTTCAATATACGGAAATCAATTAATGTTATTCACCACATCAATAGACTTAAAGATAAGAACCATATGATCATCTCGATAGATGCAGAAAAAGCATTCGACAAAGTACAGCATCCCTTCATGTTCAAAACTCTAGAAAAACTAGGGATAACAGGAACATACCTCAATATTGTAAAAGCTATCTATGCTAAGCCTCAGGCTAGCATCATTCTGAATGGAGAAAAATTGAAGGCATTCCCTCTAAAATCTGGAACAAGACAGGGATGCCCTCTCTCATCACTTCTGTTCAACATAGTTCTCAAAACACTGGCCAGAGCAATTAGACAGATCAAAGAAATTAAAGGCATAAAAATAGGAAAAGAAGAACTTAAATTATCACTATTTGCAGAAGACATGATTCTATACCTAGCAGACCCAAAAGGGTCTACAAAGAAATTATTAGAGCTAATAAATGAATTCAGCAAAGTGGCAGGATATAAAATCAACACGCATAAATCAAAGGCATTCCTGTATATCAGCGACAAATCCTCTGAAATGGAAATGACGACAACCACTCCATTCACAATACCCTCAAAAAAAATAAAATACTTGGGAATCAACCTAACAAAAGAGGTGAAAGACTTATACGATGAAAACTACAGAACCCTATAGAGAGAAATAGAAGAAGATCTTAGAAGATGGAAAAATATACCCTGTTCATGGATAGGCAGAACTAACATCATCAAAATGGCGATATTACCAAAATTTCTCTATAGGTTTAATGCAATGCCAATCAAAATCCCAATGGCATTTCTTGTAGAAATAGATAAAGCAATCGTGAAATTCATATGGAAAAATAAAAGACCCAGAATAGCAAAAACAACTCTAAGCAGGAAGTGTGAATCAGGCGGTATAGCAATACCAGACTTCAAACTATACTACAGAGCAATAGTAACAAAAACAGCATGGTACTGGTACCAAAACAGGCAGGTGGACCAATGGTACAGAATAGAGGACACAGAAACCAATCCACAAAATTACAACTATCTTATATTTGATAAAGGGGCTAAAAGCATGCAATGGAGGAAGGATAACATCTTCAACAAATGGTGCTGGGAAAACTGGAAATCCATATGCAACAAAATGAAACTGAATCCCTTTCTCTCGCCATGCACAAAAGTTAACTCAAAATGGATCAAGGAGCTTGATATCAAATCAGAGACACTGCGTCTGATAGAAGAAAAAGTTGGCTACGATCTACATACTGTGGGGTTAGGCTCCAAATTCCTTAATAGGACACCCATAGCACAAGAGTTAATAACTAGAATCAACAAATGGGACTTACTCAAACTAAAAAGTTTTTTCTCAGCAAAAGAAACAATATGAGAGGTAAATAGGGAGCCTACATCCTGGGAACAAATCTTTACTCCTCACACTTCAGATAGAGCCCTAATATCCAGAGTATACAAAGAACTCAAAATATTAAACAATAAGAAAACAAATAACCCAATCAACAAATGGGCCAAGGACCTGAACAGACACTTCTCAGAGGAGGACATACAATCAATCAACAAGTACATGAAAAAATGCTCACCATCCCTAGCAGTCAGAGAAATGCAAATCAAAACCACCCTAAGATACCATCTCACTCCAGTAAGATTGGCAGCCATTATGAAGTCAAACAACAACAAGTGCTGGCTAGGATGTGGGGAAAAGTGTACACTTGTACATTGCTCTGTGGGACTGCAAATTGTTGTGGCCAATTTGGAAAGCAGTATGGAGATTTCTTGGAAAGCTGGGAATGGAACCATCATTTGACCCAGCTATGCCCCTTCTTGGTCTATTCCCTAAAGACCTAAAAAGAGCATACTACAGGGACACTGCTACATCGATGTTCATAGCAGCACAGTTCACAATAGCAAGACTGTGGAACCAACCTAGATGCCCTCCAATAGACGAATGGATAAAATAATGTGGCATTTATACACAATGGAGTGTTACTCTGCATTAAAAAATGACAAAATCATAGAATTTGCAGGGAAATGGATGGCATTAGAGCAGATTATGCTAAGTGAAGCTAGCCAATCCCTAAAAAACAAATGCCAAATGTCTTCTTTGATATAAGGAGAGTAACTAAGAACAGAGTAGGGAGGAAGAGCATGAGAAGAAGATTAACATTAAACAGGGATGAGAGGTAGGAGGGAAAGGGAGAGAGAAGGGAAATTGCATGGAAATGGAAGGAGACCCTCAGGGTTATACAAAATTACAAACAAGAGGAAGTGAGGGGAAAGGGAAAAAAAAAAACAAGGGGGAGAAATGAATTACAGTAGATGGGGTAGAGAGAGAAGAGGGGAGGGGAGGGGAGGGGAGGAGAGGGGGGATAGTAGAGGATAGGAAAGGCAGCAGAATACAACAGACACTAGTATGGCAATATGTAAATCAGTGGATATGTAACCAATGTGATTCTGCAATCTGTATACAGGGTAAAAATGGGAGTTCATAACCCACTTGAATCAAAGTGTGAAATATGATATGTCAAGAACTATGTAATGTTTTGAACAACCAACAATAAAAATTTAAAAAAAAGAAAAGGAAAACCTAAAGGTTAACATTAATTTCAGTACAAAACATTCTGTTCATATATAAGGAAAATGGGTTAAGTACTTAAGTGTCACTTTAGTTAACTAAATTTTCTCATTTCTAATGAATTAACAACCTATTGTCTTTAAGTATAATTTAATCTTTTTAAATAATATATATATATATATATTTATTTATAATAAATAAATTAGTAGTGGCACTAATGATCAAACCTAGGGTCTTGCATATGCTAGGCAAGCATTCTATCATTGAGTTACACCCAATCCTTAATTTATTTTTTTAAATTTTTAATTTAAGGTCTTAAAGGCATTACAAAATCATAGATTAATATTTTCATCATATAATAAATATAGATTAGCAATAAATATTTATTAGAGATTATCAGCCACAAGATATATGGCAAAAATTTTTATTCTTAGTGACAAGTTTGGTTTTTATTTTTGTGTTTTAAATTAGCTATAATATGTTAGAATATCCACCCCCTCACTTGTATTTTAAAAGAAAGAAAAGTTGTATATATTAATATCCATTTTATACAATTCAATTTAATTAAAATTTTAACTAAATGATGAATTCTCATAAAGGCAAAAAATGTAATGTGAAATATTTTTTCTAACCACCACCCTGATTCTAACCTTGTTCTTCTAACTCTTTGAAAATCCTACTTTTTAAGATATGCCAAAGGCACTAATAATAGGTGGATCAAGCTGTGCTGGAATGGATGCCGAGTCTGGTCTGTGGCAGAGTATTTCCTGTGAAGCTCAACTATCATACGTCTGCAAGAAACCATTAAATAATACTGTGGAGTTAACAGGTATCTTCCTCAGTTGCTCTTACAAATAAATCTTAAAGCTGCAATTTTGTGAGGTCAAGTGAAATCCATCTCAGATACTTATCTCCACCTTTCCTTCATCTGATACTGCCAATATAGGAAAGTATTTAATTTTTGACCCTATCATTAGATATTACCAACTGCATATGAAAAAATCTGTAGTTGAGGCAATGAAGAATATCAGGTAAAAATATGTATATGCCCATTAGATGGCAGAGGTATTTATTTTTATTTTTTGGTACTGGGGATTGAACTCAGGGGCACTCTACCACTGAGACATATTCCCAGCCCTATTTTGTATTTTATTTAGAGAACAGGGTCTCTGAGTTGCTCAGCACCTTGCCATTGCTGAGTCTGGCTTTAAACTCAAGATTCTCCTGTCTCAGTCTCCTGAGCCTCTGGGATTACAGGTATGCTTGTCACCACACCCAGCTGGGATATTCTTGATAGGAAGTGTATTTCTGCTCACGGATCACTCTTGTTCCTCTAGAGCAGTAGTTCTCAAATGTGGTGACCAGACCAAGCACAGTGGCATCACCTGTGCCATTAGAAATACAGATTGCAGGGCTTACCCAGATTTACTGAATCAGAAACTGTAGGCATGGTGTCTAGGAATCTATGTTCTTGTTTTGTTTTGTTTTTAAATATTTTTTAGTTTTAGTTGGACACAATATCTTTATTTATCTTTATGTGGTGCTGAGGATTGAACCCAGGACCTCACCCATGCTAGGCAAGCGCTCTACCACTGAGCCATAACCCCAGCCCCTAGGAATCTGTGTTTTAAGAAGCCCTCCAGGTGACCCTGCATGCTCAAGTCTGAGAGCCACTGCTATGAGGACAGGCCTTATATATTGCATGCCTTTGTGAAAAATCAAGACCTGTGGACACAGGATACCCCCAGGCTCTCCCAGCCCCTGCCCCACAACACCCAGACCTCCTCTATCCTTTTATGCCAGGCTGGTTCTTTAGGTCTTTGAATTGAAAGAACCCAGTAAAATGAGAAGTGCAGGACAAAGTATCTACAATGAGGAGATTGTTCAGGGAAGTGTGAGGAAAGAGACAGGAGACCAGCTGAAGTTTTTGAGGAATGGAGGTTTGAGGAGTATTTACAAGAATAAAGAAGAGTACCTTGGATTGTTGAGCACCAGGCCCAGTGTATACCTGAAATTTGATTAATTCTTCACTGAATGAGAAAAACTCAGATTCATAACTGGGAGGGGGAAAAGGGAATTTTTAAATGTCCTGCTTTAAGGAATTATGTGGGAAGTGAAAAAAATCAATCAAATTTCTTGTCATCCAAAAAGGAGCATTGAGCTATTTTTTTTTTTTTTTTTGAGGGAAAAAAAATACACTTCCTATCAAGAATATCCCAGCTGGGTGTGGTGGCAAGCCTACCTGTAGTCCCAGAGGCTCAGGAGACTGAGACAGGAGAATCTTGAGTTTAAAGCCAGACTCAGCAACGGCAAGGTGCTGAGCAACTCAGTGAGACCCTGTTCTCTAAATAAAAGACAAAATAGGGCTGGGAATATGTCTCAGTGGTAGAGTGCCCCTGAGTTCAATCCCTAGTACCAAAAAAGAAATAAAGAATATAGGAAAATGTTTTAAGATAATAAGGGGAATGAATATTTATCTTCCAAGTTAATATAAGCCAAATATAATCCATACAACAAAAAGCATAATAGAGAAGCCAGCACAAATGAAAATAAGCTAGAGCAACTGATGTTAGATTAAGTAAATATCTCAAAGTAGCAATTATTAAGTAAATCATGATGTTTTCACATGATTGAATAATATGCATTTATTATAACTGTGCCAGCAGGAAATAGAAAAAGCAGAACAAAATGATATGCCTACTTATCATTTTAATCTTGTAAAAATATGTATTCATAGAGACAAAGACTAGAATATGAAAATGATTGTTTTAAGTTCAATTATGTGTGATTTTTCCATCTGTTCTTTTATAGTAACTGTAAAACACAGTAGTAATAAATGAACGCTATTCAGAACCTTAAAGTTAATTGAGTTATCTTGTAATTATGAGAGGCTAGTTGAACCTGAATTTTTATCCTTTAGTAAAAAACAAACCTCTTAAGATGCTGTGTTTTCTTGCAGTAAACCTTCCAAGTGGAAGGTGAAGTCTGAGTAACCAGCTACTTTCTAGTTTTGTTAACAAGGATAGAAGTATTTTGTATGGCTTTATACCTGACTCTTTTTCTCCAGAAAGACTAGACCTTTACTTGTGAGTTTTAGCACGGGCAAAACAAAGAATCACATTCTATAAGGACCATCGGTCTAGCAGAGGGAGGAAAGAAGAGGTCCAGAGATGTCATTTGCTCTTTCCTTCCATTGCTACTGTCTCTTGGGTGTGAAGTGAGCCCATGTCTCATTCTGTTCCTGAAATCTCTGCCTGTCCTTTGGTTAAAAGTGAGCTTTAATGCATATTCCCTTACTAAGCTGGCCATACAAGAAAAGAAGGCTTGAGCTCATGCTAATCTTTACAACAGCAGAGACTGGAAGGGAACCTAACAAATCCCAGAACCAGAAAAAGATTCAAGCAACTGGCTTAACCTACATCTTTCTTCTTTTAGGACTAAGGGCAATATCTCCCTTGATTGTGTCTATACCCTTAAATAATCTATCCCCAGCCACACAGCATATTTCTGTCACATTACAGTCACATCATGTAATGATAATAATGATTCATTATCTGAATCCCTGCAGGAATTCTTATGACACCAGGTATATATTAGGTACAACATAAATTCATATTACTCAAGGATCTGTCATCAGATTGCCCAATTTTCCAGAAGCCTCATGATTCAAAACAGAAAATTTTGTAATGTTGTTGATTCAAAATAGATATAGCTTTCCTGGAATATAAATTGCTGCTTTTCTCCCAGATGTTTGGACATATTCACATACCCGCTGTGAAGAAGGCTGGCTGCCAAATAATGGATTTTGCTATCTGCTGGTAAATGAAACTGGTTCCTGGGATGAGGCACATAAGAAATGCAATGCCTTCAGTAGTGACCTAATCAGCATTCATTCTTTAGCAGATGTGGAGGTGGTTGTCACAAAATTCCATAATAGGGGTAAGTTGTTTTTTTTTTTTTTTTTAATACCCCATTTTAGAGGCTTAAACATTATAAAATATCCCTGCTTTCAGACTCTTGGTGGGAATGAAATCTTACAACGACCCTGTCCACAGGCTTTTCTGTTGGATGGAACTATGTTGTAGTCTGCGCTGTCCAATACACTGGCCACCATCCAACATGGCTTTTGAGCACTTGAAATGTAGCTAGAGAAACTGAGGAACTGAATTATTCTTTTTATTTAATTTTATTACATTTTGGTTTATATAGTCACATATGCCCTAGTGGCTACTAATTTGGCAGTAAAAGGTTGATTGAATAATCTGTCTCTTCTCATAAGCTAAATTCTATTTCATTTCCTCCAAAAACCTAAGTGATGATTATTTTACTTTTGTAATTTTTTGGAAGCTAATTTTCTGGTAGACACAGCTATAACAGACTGCTATTACCATACCTTCTGCCTAGGATTCTCTAATAATAGTAGCTAGTAGGGCTGAGTTGTAGCTCAGTGGTAGAGCACTTGCCTCACACTGTGAGGTACTGGGTTCAATCCTCAGCAACACATAAAAATAAATAAAAGATATTGTGTTCATCTACCTGCCTCATTGAAATTTTTAAAAAATATCTAATTTTTTAGTTATAGTTGGACACAATATCTTTATTTTATTTACTTATTTTTATGTGGTGCTGAGGATGGAACCCAGGGCACGTGCTAGGCGACCGCTCTACCAGTGATCCACAATCCCAGCCCTGCCTCATTGAAATTTTAATAGGCTATTTAACAGTACCATAAAGGCTCTTAAAACTTATATCAGAATATAAAAATCAGTAACAATATACATATTCAAGAATGTAGTCTAGTAAAGCCAAACAAAGCATTTTTTTTTTAGATGCCAAAGAAGAAATATGGACGGGACTTAGGAACATCAATAGACCAACTTTGTTTCAGTGGTCAGATGGTACTGAAGTAACTCTAACATACTGGAATGAGAATGAGCCAAACATACCCTATAATAAGACTCCCAACTGTGTTTCCTGTTTAGGAAAGGTAGGAGACCTCTGTGGTGTCTTTATTGTCTTACTGTTATATGTAATAATAATATTAAGATTCCTTTGATTATGGTATTTATGTTTAAGCTAAGAAAATAAAAGGTGAGAAGTTTATAGACTATCTTTCTTGGGAAATAAAAGCAGTTACTAAATAAGCAGTCAGTCCACTTTCTGACAGTGTCTGTTCTGACTGAAGCAGATCTAGAGACTCTGTGTAACTCAGATTCTGTGCCAGAGTGGCTCTCATAACCCGCTGTCTCCCAGATCAGGGTCTCCATCAGCCTTTCTGCCATCAGTGTCATATTTGGCAGGTAGCCACAATTTAACCCGAAAAGCCCCATCTTTTTGTGTTCAGATCAAATTTCATATCAATTCTAGTTTGAGGATGGCATTAAAAACACTTTTTTAATATTTTAATTTTAAGTAAAAATTCAAAAACTCATTCATAAAAACACCTTACTCCTGTGGATTGCCTAAATATTTATTGAACATACTTTAGTTAAGCACCTAAAACAGACTGTGACTTCAGAAAGGATATACGTACCTCTGCATTTTTGTTTATATCACTTTCCTGCAGAAAACTGTAATTGATTATGACGTGTCACCCAGCCATCTAGAGAGACTTAAGTGGAAGCAATAAATGCTTTGTTCAGAAGTGTTTTAGTAGTAAAGATATATTTGGAAAGATGTCACATCTGGTATACTCTATTTTAAAGAATATCCAAGATGTCTTTACAAGAGTATCAAAAATGGAAGTGAGGTGGCATTAGCAAAAGTGAACAGAAGGCATACCTAGACAGCATTCTGGTGTTCAAAACCAGTCCTCAGCACAACTCATCTGTTAAAGTCTAACTTCAAGAAAGCAAAGTAACTTGCTCAATTAGGCAAAATTAATTTTAGGTGGCATACTTTAAAGAGACAATGTTGAAGTGTAGACTGAAGTAGACTTGAAAGAAACTTTTGATTCTAGAATTCTTGAAGACTAGCTCTTGGACCACCATCATTATGTATCTGAGGAAACTGAGTCTGGGACTTAGCCGATGTGCCACGCAAATTGAACCTTGCACAGACTTTAGCCATGTCATAGGAAGGAAGAATAGAGTGCTTGAACTGTTTGTGGAGAAGTTCTTCTCACTTTTACTTCTAGGCCAAGTGTCCTTTGGTGGTTTTATTGTTAGGCCTTTAGGAAAATGAAACTCATCCACACTGTGACCAGGAGACAATGCTGAGAGATAAAAGGCTGAGAGCCAAACCTTCTCTCTGTGGACTCAGTTCTAAATGTGTGGCAAATAATTTCTTTCATGAGCAAATATATTTATCTCTCTCTTTGATTTTAAAAGCTAGGTTACTGGAAAGTCCAATCATGTGAAGAGAAACTTAAATATATATGTAAGAAAAAAGGACAAAAAATGAATGACTCAAGATCTGATAAGATGTGTCCTCCAGATGAGGTATGTAAAATCCCTTAATTTTGCTTAAGCAGAATTACAACTTCTTGGTTAGAGATGGTAGTTGAGACCTTAACAATTTGGATTTGCAAAACAGAAGAGACAGTAGCTTCTGTTCATTTACATTACAGCAAGCCAGAAGACAGGAGTCATAACATACTGGTGTTCTCACACAATGAAACAAGACATGCTTTTGTGGATTTCTATAAAAATGTGAACAATTAGGGATATAGCTCTGTTGGTAGAGTGCTTGCCTCTAATGCCCAAGGCACTGGGTTCAATCCCCAATGCCACACACACACAAAAAGTGAATGATTACTATCCTTCATATTAATATCCTGGGCTGGGGCTGAGTGGCAGAGCAGCTGCCTAGCATGTGTGAGGCACTGGGTTCAAGCCTTAGTACCACATAAAAATAAACAAATAAAATAAAGGCATTCTGTCTATCTATAACTACAATTTTAAAAAAAAAAAAAATACTGATATCCTTACTTCCTCTACTGATATTATTCCTGTTGAAAAATGATTCAACTGCTGGGTGGTTGGCACACACCTCTAATCCCTGGAGGCTGAAGCAGGAAGATTGCGAGTTCAAAGCCAGCCTCAGCAAAAGTGAGGTGATAAGTAACTCAGTGAGACCCTGTCTCTAAATAAAATACAAAGTAAAACTGGGGATGTGGTGCCCTTAAATTCAAAAATAATAATAATCCAACCAACAATTTTTTTTTCTGTTTTGCCCTCTCTCCTACAGAGAGATGGCCTTTATTGGTCAGCTCTAACAAATGAACTGGTCTCCGTCTTTCATTTCTTGTTTACCCGTCTCTCGTTCCTTGCTTTCCCTTCAGTAACAGTGTCCACTTTATGCTGAGTATAGCCCTTGCTGTTCTGCCACTGAGACTTATTTTTAAAAATCCAACAATTGTTTTATGGTAGGCCAGGCCCTAGGGGTAAAGAGGATTATGCCACACCTTCTGTTTGGCACAGTCTTACAGAGGTCATTTATGAAGTTGCAAGCCACCCTCATCATGTATGACTTCACTGGCCATGTCCTCAGTTTGCACAACTTGTAAATGTTATCAATGTAGCAGAACTTGATTGTCAGAGGGGGACACCATCAAGTGCAGGAAACAATGTGATGCTATTTCTACTCTGATTTAGGGCTGGAAGAGACATGGAGAAACCTGTTACAAGATTTACAAGGATGAGGTCCCTTTTGGAACAAACTGCAATTTGACCATCACTAACAGGTGTGACCATCAGTAAACCTGTACTAGTAAACTTTTAACTCTGAGTTCTTATACTAAACAATCTGCCTGAGAAAATGGGGCATCTTTAATTCAGTGATTGTGAAACATTTGCCAAAGTGGTTCTTCTTTTATAGATTTGAGCAAGAATACCTAAATGATATGATGAAAAAGTATGACAAGTCTCTCAGAAAATACTTCTGGACTGGCCTGAGAGATGCAGACTCCCGTGGAGAATACAGTTGGGCAACTGCTGGTGGAATAAAGCAAGCTGTGACATTTTCCAACTGGAATTTTTTTGAACCAGGTAAGTGTCTGAGCCTGAAAAGGAGTAGAATTAGTGAGTAGTGAAATAGCATCCCTCCCAAGTGTTCTTCATTTGTGTTTGGAACGTGAGGGGATTGATGATCTCAGAACCGGCGACTATGAAATGATCCAATGAAAGAAGTAAGAAAACTCAGGTCTCCAAAACCATCATCTAACAACTCAGAGATAGAACCACCAGTGTGAGGGTTTTGTTTTTGTTTTATCTTTTTCTATGTAAGATTCAAACAGAATCTAGAAGCATCATTGTGAAGCACTTCACATTTTCATCTATTTGCTTAACTTCACTCTCCAAAACTGAATGTTTATTTCTGTTATTCTTAGAGAGTAAGAATAAAGAAGAGACTATTTTGTACATAGTTTTAATTTATTTTTTTAATTCTAATTTGTTGTATATAACAGCAGAACACATAACAACTCATACTACACATATAGATCATAATTTTTCTTATCTCTGGTTGTATACAACGTATATTCAAATCATTCATGTCTTCATACATGTACTTAAGGTAATGATTACCATCACATTCCACCATCTTTTTTACACCCCTTGCCCCCTCCCTTTCCCTCCCTCCCCTTTGCCTTTTCTAGAGTTTGTCTAATCTTCCCATACTTCCCCTCCCAACCCGACTATGAATTAGCCTCCTTATATCAGAGAAAATATTCGGCTTTTGTTTTTTGGGGATTGGTTAACTTCTCTTAGCATAATATTCTCCAACTCCATCCATTTACCTGCAAATGCCATGATTTTATTCTCTTTTATTGCTGAGTAATATTCCATTGTGTATGTATATATGTATGTATGTGTGTGTGTGTGTGTGTGTGTGTGTGTGTATATATATATATATATATATATATATATATATATCACATTTTTTTTAATCCATTCATCTACCAATGGGCATCTAGGTTGGTTCCACAGTTTAGCTATTGTGAATTGTGCTGCAATAAACACTGACGTAGCTATGTCCCTGTAGTATGCTGTTTTTGAGTAGATCAAGGAGTGGGATAGCTGGGTCAAATGGTGGTTCTAAGTTTTTCAAGGAATCTCCATACTGCTTTCCATATTGGCTGCACCATTTTGTAGTCCCATCAGCAATATATGAATGTGCCTTTTTCTCCACATCCTAACCAACACTTATTATTGTTTGTATTCTTAAAAGCTGCCATTCTGACTGGAGTGAAATGAAATCTCAGAGAAGTTTTCATTTGCATTTCTCTAATAGCTAGAGATGTTGAACATTTTTTCATATATTTGTTGATTTATTGTATATCACATTCTGAGAAGTGTCTGTTCAATAACCCACTTATTGATTGGGTTATTTATTTTTTTGGTGTTTAGCTTTTTGAGTTCTTCATATACCCTAGAGATTAGTGCTCTGTCTGTGTGCAAGTGGTAAAAATTTGCTCCCAAGATATAGGCTCTCTATTCACCTCACTGATTTTTTTTTTCTGAGAAGAAGATTTTAGTTTGATTCCATCCCATTTATTAATTTTTTATTTTAATTCTTGCACTATAGGAGTCTTATTAAGGAAGTAGGGGCCTAATCTGATATGATGGAGATTGGGGCCTACTTTTTCTTCTGTTAGATGCCAGATCTCTGGTTTAATTCCTAGGTCCTTGATCCACTTTGAGTTGAGTTTTGTACATGGTGAGAGAGAAGGGTTTAATTTCATTTTGTTGCATATATATTTCCAGTTCTCCCAGCACCATTTGTTGAAGAGGCTATCTTTTCTACAATGTATGTTTTTGGCACCTTTGTCTAATATAAGATAACTGTAATGATGTGGGTTAGTCTCTGTGTCCTCTATTCTGTACCATTTATCTACCAGTCTGTTTTGGTGCCAATACCATGCAATATTTGTTACTATTGCTTTGTAATATAGTTTAAGGTCTGGTATAGTGATGCCACCTGCTTCACTCTTTCTGCTAAGGATTGCTTTAGTTATTCTGGGTCTCTTATTTTTCCAGATGAATTTTATGACTGCTCTTTCTATTTCTATTAGGAATATCATTGAGATTTTGATTAGAATTGCATTAAATCTGTATAGTGCTTTTGGTAGTATGGTCATTTTGATAATATTAATTCTGCCTATCCAAGACCAAGGAAGATCTTTTCATCTTCTAAGGTCTTCTTTAATTTCTTTCTTTAGTGTTCTGTACTTTTTGTTCTAGAGATCTTTCAATTCTTACTCCAAAAAAAAAAAAAAAATTGAAAATATTTAAGGCATTGGCAAATTTCTAGAGCCATATGATTTGCCCAGATCAAATCAGGATGATATAGACAATTTAAACAGTTGAATTTCAAGTGATGAAATTAAAGATGCCCTCTACCAACCTAGAGAAGCCCAGGACCAGATGGGTACACAGCCGAGTTCTATAAGACCTTTAAAGAAGAACTAATTCCAATACTCTTCAATTTATTTCAGGAAATAGAAAAAGAGGTAGCACTTCCAAACTCATTCTATAAGGCCAATATCACCCTGATTCCAAAACCAGGAAAAGACACATCAAAGAAAGAAAACTTCAGACCAATATCTCTAATGAACATAGATGCAAAAATTCCTCAATAAAATTCTGGCAAATCTCACACAAAAACATATCAAAAAGATAGTGTACCACGATCAAGTGGGGTTCATCCGAGGATGCAAGGTTTGTTCAACATAAAGAAATCAATAAATGTAATTCATCACCTGAATAGACTTAAAGAGAAGAACCATATGATCATCTCAATAGATTCAGAAAAAGCATTTGACAAAATACAGCACCCCTTCATGTTTAAAACACTAGAAAAACTAGAGTTAACAGGAACATATCTTAACATTATAAAAGCTGTCTATGCTAAGCCCCAGGCCAACAGCATTCTAAATGGAGAAAAATTGAAAGCATTTCTTCTAAAAACTAGAACAAGACAGGGATGTTCTCTTTCACCACTTCTGTTTAACATAGTTCTTGAAACACTGGCCAGAGCAATTAGACAGATGAAAGAAATTAAAGGTATACAAATAGGTAAAGAAGAACTCAAACTATCACTGTTTGCTGATGACATGATTTTATATCTAGAAGATCCAAAAAATTCCACCAGAAAACTTCTAGATCTAATAAATGAATTCAACAAAGTAGCAGGATATAAAATCAACACCCATAAATCAAACTCATTCCTATACATCAGTGATGAATCCACTGAAAGAGAAATTAGGAAAACTACTCCATTTACAATAGCCTCAAAAAATATAAAATACCTGGGAATCAATCTAACAAAAGAGGTGAAAGACTCATACAATGAAAACTACAGAACAGTAAAGAAAGAAATTGAAGAAAACCTCAGAAAATTGAAAGGTCTCCCATGCTCCCGGATAGGCAGAATTTATAGTCAAAATGGCCATACTACCAAAAGCATTATACAGATTTAATGCAATTCCTATTAAAATCCCAATGAGACCATTTTTTCATAATCAGGAAACTGGAGCATGGAGAACTCCCACAAAATTTGTGACACATGGTCATGACCATCAATGTGAGTATTGTTAATATTAACAAAATCATTTATTTACTTACAAAAGTCAGAGGATACAGACATCAAACTTGGTTAAATCTCACTTAAATCAGAAATATTCTAGCAGGTAAAACATAGATTTCTTTAATATAGACTCGGCCATTTTAGAATAAATGTCACATCCATCCTTGATAAGCTTCAGTGGTTTGAGAGGGCTCAAGAAGTAGCCACCACCATGGTGTCCTTCGCTGTGTGGTCAGAAAAACTTCCATTAGGTAGATAGGTGGGCAGAACAGGGAAGACGCAGCACACCCATCCTGGGTGGTGTGGCGTTATTTTTCTGAGTTCCTTGTTCCTCTTGTTGCCTATAGGTAAATATGAGACCATATAGCTTCTCTGTTTGGTGGGATAGAAGTCATTCTTGTTCCTTTCAGTGTATGTGACTCTTCTTGTATTCTGTTCATTTCAGGCAGAATTATAATTAAACTATTTTTCACAACATTGAAATTGGATCATGTAAGCTTATAATTAAAATAATACTTGAAATTGGGACTGCCCTCAAAATTGGTGACACATGGTCATGACTACCAATATCATGCTATAATGGAAAGGAAGTATAGCATAACTTTTTGCCAGACAAATCTGAGTTCAAATGTCAACTTTTCCTCTCATTTACTATGACTAGGGTTAAGTAATTTAGTCTTCATTCGAAAAGTAGATCTGAGGGCTGGGAATGTGGCTCAGTGGTAGGGCAAGTGTCTAGCATGTGCAAGGCCCTGGGTTCAAGCCTTAGTACCACACACACACACACACACACACACACACACACAAAATCTGGTAATTCAAACTACCTTTTTAAAAAAATTTTTTTAAATTTGTTCTAATTAGTTACACTCGACAGTAGAATGTATTTTGATAAGTCATACATAAATGGAGTATTAACTGCTCATTCATCTGATTGTACATAATGTAGAGTTACACAGGTCATGTAATCATAAATGCACATAGGGTAATAATGTCTAATTCATTCCACTATCATTCGTATCCCTATGCCCCCCCACACTTCCCTCTGTCTAGTCCACCCATGACTGTCTCCTTACTATGAATAAGCTGTGCTTATCAGAGAAAACATTCAACCTTTGGTTCTTTGGAATTGGCTTTTTTTGCTTAGCATAATGTTCTCCAGTTCCATCCATTTACAAATAATAACAATTAATACCAATATTATGGCATTAATACCATAATACCATAATTTCATTTTTATTTATGGCCAAGTAATATTCCATTGTGTATATATGCCATGGTTTCTTTATCCATTCATCTTTTGAAGGGCACCTAGGTTGGTTCCATAGTTTAGCAATTGTGAATCGAGCTGCTGTAAACATTGATGTGGCTGCACCACTTTAGTATGCTGATTTTAAATCCTTTGGGAGTGGGTCAAATGACTAGGTCAAATGGTGGTTCCATTCCAAATAAACTATCTTTTAATGTTGTTATGAACAAATAAAATTATGACTGTCATAAGATAAATACTAAACAAATATGTTTTCACATACCTCCTTCTGTCTTTATTGTCCTCACCCTTCCTTTGGATCTGAATCTGACAGGGTTTTATTTTGAAGTGAACTGAATTGCTTAGAAACTGCTCAAAGTTTTTTAAGCGAATTGGAACCATTTCCCTGCAGCATAGTGGTTTGGGATACCACCTTGGAAGCAGATTGCTTTGGGCCAGCTGCTTACTAATAGAGTGACCTTGGACAGGTTACTTCATCCTCACTTACCTCAGTTGTGGCTAGAATCCACCCTCTGGTTTGTTGTCAGAGTTAATTAGGCTGGGTGCAGTGGTGCAGGCGTGTAATACCAGCAGCTTGGAAGGCCGAGGCAGGAGGATCGCAAGTTCAAAGCCATCTTCAGCAATGGTAAGGTGCTAAGCAACTCAGTGAGACCCTGTCTCTAAATAAAATACAAAATAGGCCTCAAGATGTGGGTCAGTGGCCAAGTGCCCCTGAGTTTTCAATCCCCAGTAACAAAAAAAAAAAAAAGAATTAATGAGCTTAATCCCTAGAGTGGTATCTGATTGGGAGTCAATACTTCTCTATAATACCTACCACCACCATCATCATCCATCATAATCATTATTCTGAACAATATCTTTCTTTCCTCTTTTTCTTCCATTGTTTTTTCTTATTTTTTCTCCCTACTTTGTCTCAAATAAAGAGAAGAAATTCATGATAGAAAATGTTTGGACTTTAAAATTTTAATTAAACTTTCCCATTCAACCCTAGCGTCTCCAGGTGGGTGCGTGGCTATGTCAACTGGAAAGTTTCTTGGCAAGTGGGTGGTGAAGGACTGCAGAAGCTTCAGAGCACTTTCAATTTGCAAGAAAATAACTGGACCCCTGGAGCCTGAAAAAGCAGCCCCCAAGCCTGATGGCCCTTGTCCTGAAGGCTGGCATGGTTTCCCCTCCGGTGTTTCTTGTTACAAGGTAAAGCGGCATTCTCACCCAGTCCTTCAGTGATATCGTCTCTGCACTATCCTAGTTCATGTCTTTGTACAAATTATGTTCCTTGCCATAGACATATAACCTAAAAAAGTGTTTGGGAGCATAGAGTCCTTGGCAGGACATCTGGAAACTTTGGTGTCAGGTGTTTCAATCCCACACTCTGCACATGTCCTCCCCCAAAGAGTAGGGCCAGAGCCAGAACTGGCCCTCTGCCTGGCTTCTCTCCTCCTGAGAGTTGGTGGGCTGCCACCATGCTGATGCAATGCTTGTGATTCTCGTATCCCTCTACTTCTTGTCAAATAAAGAGGTTCATCCCTTCTCATTATGGGAAAAAAATGGGTCATTCAGTCAGTCAGTCCCACAAACCAACCATTAGATACTACCCCAAATCTTAGTAGCAATGACAGTGTTTAGTCTCAGGCTCATAAATCTTGGGGTCAGCTAGGGTTTGACTGATCTAGTTTGAATGGTCAACTCTATTTCCAGCTGCAGGTCAGCTATGTGGGACTCCCTATGATGACTTGGGGCCTATTGCTCTTTCTTCACTCTAGGGCTCAAGCCGAATGGGCAGCCTCTCTCAGGAGACTGTTTCTTGTGGCAAATCACTGGAGCCCAAGAAGGCAAGCCTAAACACATAAGCACATCTCAGGCCTCTGCTCACTTTAGCTACACTAGTATCCCATTAATCACAGAAAGGTACATCGCCAAACCCCACATCAAAGTACAGAGAAGTCTACTCCACCCCAAAGAGGCCATGACAAGAATGTGTCATCATATCATAGGGAACAGAAGAATTGGGACCAATAATTGGCCTACCAGTGCATTTTCTCTTCTTTTTTGAAATCATGATTTCTTTGACCTAAAATTAATCATTACACAACAAGGAAACAGTCCACAATGGCAGGTTTTGTTTTGTTGCCTTCTGTGAAAGTTCACACATCAGTACAGACTTTTATTTGCTACTTCCTGATCTGAAAATAGTCCTCTTCTTATGTAGGTATTAGTGGCTTGCATTCGAAATTATATTGTTAGCATACTTCTTTGCAGAATTCTTCTCCCAGAGCTTCCTTATGTACCCTTTACAGCCTTGACTACTGGTTCATTTTCTCTTTCAAAGTCCTGGGAATGCATTAGAACATGGTATCTTGTTGGAGCAGTTTACCAGCCTGACTGAGGTAGTTCATACATCTGACAATAGTGATCATCTTTATAGGCCTTTAGTTGACACTTAGAGCATGAAGGGTCCTTGACTCATTGTACACAGATTTTCCTGTGCCTTCATTATGAGGATCAGTTTCAGGTCCCATAATATTTTGACTATAATTGACTTTAAAACTATGAATACTTCATGATTATGCCAGAAAACAAATTAACATTATACTTTGTCAAGGCATTCCATGCAGAAAGAATTGTGAGAAAGAGGAACTGGGAAGAAGCTGAAAGATTCTGCCAAGCACTTGGAGCACACCTGCCTAGCTTCAGTCATATGACTGAAATCAAGGAATACCTTCACTGGTTAAGGGAGCAGTTCAGGTAATATTTCTAGAATGAGCTTCTGTGCTATATGTGATGTCTTGTAAATATTCAGATTAACATGTTATATTATCTTAAAAAACCAGTGCTTAGCAGTCATGCAATATCAAGCACTCTTATATGCAAGATACCACGAGAGATTCAGAGATGAGTGAGACACAGTCCCTGTCCTTTGTTCTAGTAAAGTTCAACAACAGTGTTAAGAAAAGTATGTAAAAAAAAATCTACAGCATAGATAAAGAGGGGCCTTGGCAATTCAGAGAAGGGAGGAAGTTTTCCTGGCAGGTATGATCAAGGGAAATGTCATGAGGAAGGCTGATTATTGGAGGGTAGGTAATATTTTAAAAAGTAAAATAGAAAAAGCCAGTGAAAACACAAGTCAAGGTGCTGAGAACAGAATGTACAGATGTGGGCAAGGAGAAATGAATCATACAACTTGGCTAAAAAATAAGATTTGGATACGAAATTGAGATTTCTTTGCTTATCAGAGAATGAGTTTAAGTCAATAAGTAAAAAACAAGTAAGTTAATTAGTCCCCAATTAACTTCATTTGTGAAGAAATTAATTAAGTGGTATAAGCCACTTATATTCCTATATACACAAGCATACAGATACACATATACATATAAATGCATACATACGTACACATACATTCAGAGAGGGGAGCAGCTCTGTAGGTCAATGCAGACCAACTAGTTAGAAAGCTAGTACAGCTGCTCTGGTGGAAGCCTGCATAGAGGAAGGGCAGTAAGAAAGGGAAAATTGGAAGTGATCATAGAAGTTATAGCCATTGTGATTTTAATGTTGAGGTAGAAGGAGCCTTCCTTGTCAATTTTCCTGATGTCTTTAAGGACAATATGGAAAAATATGAGCCAGGTGATGCTGTCTTGGAAAAAAAATTTCTAAGCTTTGCACACATCATAGTTATTAGGGTCATCAACTCCACAAAATGTTTTTCCTCTTTTCACTTTCTGAACTGAAGAAAGACCCAAAGCTGTCTTAAAAAAAAAAAAAAAAAAAAAAAAAAAATTCAGGGTATACCAGAGTAAATTATATTTTCCCAATTATTTTGAATCTAACAAAAATCTCAAGGAAAACAGCAAAAATTAAAATAGTTTGCCAAAACAAAGAAAAAGTTTAACTAGCCTTCTTTGGAATGTAGAAGATATTTAAAGACTGATATCTAAAGAGTTTTGAGGCAGAAAAAGCTTATAATATATTAATTTTAGTTTCCAATTAATTTCACTTGTGAAGAAATTAATTGAGGGGCTGGGGATGTGGCTCAAGTGGTAGCGCGCTCACCTGGCATGCGTGCGGCCTGGGTTCGATACTCAGTACCACATACAAACAGGGATGTTATGTCCGCTGAAAACTGAAAAATAAATATTGAAAAAAAAAAAGAAATTAATTGATATTAACCACCCATATTACCTTCTTGGAAAAAAAATTTCAAAGACAAATTCCAGTTAAGAGGTGAATACAAAAATCAAAAACACTTGAGTAGGGATTTCATTATAAAAGAATCAGAAGGAATAATATAACATTAAAACCTAGCCCAAAATCTAAGTAGTTGTAATAAATATAATTATAAAGACAGAACGAACTTATCCTCTGTCTTGAAAGAGAAATATAAGAATAATTTAATAACACCAGGTTTTTAACTGTTTATATAAATAAAAATTAGAATGTAGAAAGTTAAAACAGTTGTGAAAAAAATGAAAGCATAGTAAATTTCTCATTTTACCTGGAAATCGTATTTAGAAACATTGATTATGTAAATTTTTAAAGCTTGAAGATAATGTTTAGTACAATTTAAGCATATGTCCATCTATTGAATGTATAAATAGGTTGTGGTGGAGCCCATATAGATAAATATAAATAAATAAAATAATCAAGGATGAAATCCAACATAAAACAAGTTGGCAAAAGACCCATTGTCTGTTTTGATTAAGTCTGAGTATACAAATTTGTTCAATAATAGTATCCAATTCTACGTTGCTATTAAGAGACTTAAAAACAGCCCAAAGTAATGATGTTCTTTTCCTGGAAGAAAGGGTATACAAAGTGTTACAAAATTAAGACATTTCAATAAAAACCCGTCTCTTTAAAAATTGAAAAAACTGGCAATGAATCATATTACACTGCATATGAGTCAGTGTGAGTAGCTGGTGGCCCATTGAGATGTGACGTCACTGTTCAATTTGCCAGGGTCCCTAACTCATTACTTCTTGACCTCCTTATGATATGTGCTTGTTCCATATTAACTCAAATAGCAAATGAGTTAATAATCACAAGAGCCATGTGATCATCTTAATAGGCACTAAAAATGCATCTGGTAAAATTCTTATTCATTTCTGGCTTAATATATATACTTGATATAGTTAATGAATACAATTAATATATAAGTTCTTTCTGAATTAAAAATAGAAGAGTAGTTCAAACCAGTAGCCATATCACAATTAATGACAAAGTATTATTAAATGAACCTCTGCACCAATGGCAGATTCTCATTCCCATTATAGTTGGCATCAGGCCCGCAATCACTTGACCCAGTGACTGGACAAGGGATCAAGCTCTTAGTGCCATTTCTAAAGGTACAGCTACTGGTCTCCCAAGATCCTTGAACCCTTTTATGAAGAGTGAGAGTCTTTCTAAATATTTTAGTTAATCCCCATATCTTGAATAATTTAAATTTCACTAAGGAGAGCTCATTTCTGAAATCATGCTGATTAGCAACTTCTATTTTCACTGACATAAACCCTTTCCTGACTTTCAGCAGGGGCTAATTACTACAGCCTCAGGTGTAGCTTTGGATCACACACATCCCTGTGGTGGCCACCTGTGGGGCATGGCTTTTTTAACACTCTACTGATCCTCTCTGAAGTGTGAATTTTGAGCAAAGCAGCCTAATGGCCCCAAGATCTCAAGCTTGACCCGCACAATATCACACTGTCTAGATAAAGCATTTGTAGTAAAATACTGATATGCAAACAAACTCTGGATTCTAGAATTAGTAACTCTAATTGGAACAGGGAGTCATGGGTAAGTACTAAGCAGTAAAGGTGTAGGTATTTGTGGGAATCAATTAATGGAAAACACTGGAATAACACATGTGATAGAAATGACTGCTAAGAGCCTCTATTACCCACTGGATTACACTAGGAATGTGTTCATGTTACACTAATATGAATGATAATTAAAGAACTTCTCTTTATTTTTTTAATCACACTTAAGCACTTCCAATTTAAAAATTAGTACAAGTTCATATGTAAAATTTGGAAACTATTAAAAGGGTAATGAAGAAAATAAGAATCACCTCAAATCCTAGTTCCCAGTTATAGTTAACATTTAGTGTAAATGCTTTCAATTTTCTTCCATTCCTATACATGTAGTTTTTATAAAATGATTGTCCACAGAATTACTATGTTTAATGTTTTTTTTTTCTAATCACAAAAATAATGTATGTGGAATTAAAAAACAGAAAAGCACAGAGGAAAGAAAACAAATCTCTTTAGGAATTATGTTTTATTTGTAGTCTTATCCTAGCAGCCAAAATAATACCACATTAAACAGACTGTGTTTCTTTCTTTTTTTTTTTTTAGAGAGAATGAGAATTTTAATATTTATTTTTTAGTTTTCGACAGACACGACATCTTTGTTTGTATGTGGTGCTGAGGATCGAACCCGGGCCGCACGCATGCCTTGTGAGTGCGAGCTACCGCTTGAGCCACATCCCCAGCCCCCAACAGACTGTGTTTCTGCTTAATAAGTATTCCATTAATAAAGAGATTGTTTCCCTGTGCTGTACTTAGAAAGAAAACATTCTAGAACCAAAAATGTAGCCATGGCTTAAAGGAAAAGAAGGAAGTAGACCCATTCATATTAGAAAATGACTCTAAAGCTTACTCCTTGAATGTATTAGCTTTTATTGCAGAAATTGACCTTTCTCAGCAAGAAGTCCATTGCCCACCCAAATTGTGTATTGCATGCCAAAGAGTTAAGTCAGATTACTGCTATACTTCTCACAATCTAAATTCCACATCTCTATTTGTATTTCAATGAAAAGGATTCATGGTGCACCAAGTCATTAAGGCTCTGAGATCTTTGCAGCTCTTAATAGCAGCCCAACAGGGAAAGCCATTGTAGAGCAAAAATAGTCATAGGATTAGAGAATAAAGGCTTATTTGCAATGCCATTGCTGCTGTGTACACTGCCTCCTGTGAAGTGGCATGAATGGATTTAGATATAAATCTAAGGCTTTGCAGACTAAGAGCCCTCATCAAATAGTATTTATTGGGGGTTATGGCTGAGATACTGTTTTTCTTTGCAACCAGATGCGACAGGAAATTTGATTGAGAATAGGAATTTTAGCACACTCACACATATTAACCTTTTATATAATGTCTCCTTAACCTAAAGGCCTTGAAACTGTATACTTGGTTTGTATACTTGGACTGGAGTACAAGAAATTTATTGAGAAAGTTTGATTTTGATCTGATTCCTATTATGATCAGGTACCTAACTTCTGTTTTTCCCTCCAGTTTTCTGAAATCTACATCGGAGGTTTGCAATGATAGATGTGATTTCCATTTTATTCTTACCTTTCTTTATCTGGCTACAGCTAAAGCAGATCAAACTTGGAACAAGTTATAATTCAGAAAATGCTTTCCACTTTGGACCACACACACAAACACAAGTAGCTACTGTTTTCTGTATTTGTGACGCACTAGTGAATCCCTGGAAATGAAACGGAAGACTAAATTTCTGGGTTGAAATGAAGTTCAGTCTCAGAAAGTAGTGAAGATTAAATATTTTTTGGACAATCGGGCAAACTCTTTTTCTGTAGGAAACTGTCCTCTGAGATTCAGCTGAGATGTGGAAATGAACTTGAAAGCAAAAAAGCTTTTAAGTGGGAGGAGGGGCAGCCATTGGCGGAAAGGAGAATAGGTGAGGGCATCAGGAGCCTGGAAATCTGGGGACAGGCCTCTGCAAAGGCTGCTTGGGGGAACCTCTTGAATGCCCGGCAGTTGACCTTTGATCATCTGCCCAGCTATACTGTTGATTGCATAAAGAAGGTAAACTATCTAATGCTTACTTTAGGGAAAAACAAAATTTCTACATTAATTCCCCTGGCCCAAGTATATATTGTGTAAAGATTTGGGAGAAATGAAGTTGTATTGCTAAGTAAGTATGAGGAAGGAAACTTAATCTCCTCTTTATTTTAGCCATCTGGCTTTAATTACGCTGTATGTGGTGCTTATCCAGATCTATAGTGTAGAAATCCAAAACTCAGACAGTATGAGACATTTGGAAGCTGTTAGGAGAACTCTAATTAACTGAAGACACAAACTGCAAATTCCTTTTATAGATAATAAATTTAAACTGACTTAGTTGTCTCCCCTGGATTTATCTGAAGTCTACAAATTGGTGATTGTCCTCTATGAAAGAAAATAATATAACACTGACAACCAAAAAGGACAATCTTCATATTCCATTGCAACAAGTTGAAAAACTTGGGATTAAAATGATGAAAAAGCACTGATTGATATTAAGCTATGAAAGAATATTGAACAAAGGAAAGAGATAAAGGAAAGCAATTATTTTATTAAAAAGTGAAAAGCAATTAAAATAGTTTGTTCTAGCCTTTTATTCAATAGGTCTACAAATTTTTACAAAATTTTCTATTATATTTCCCAGTAGTCTTGTGGTTGTACATTCCATATATTCCATATCCTACTTAAGAATAGGGATAGTTTTTAGATTTGGATCCTACCCCTTCTTTAATATGTATCTATATTCATACTATATTTATATATGTATTCTGTATGCATACGCATATACTCACTTATAGACATATGTATTTATCCATGTGCCACTGATGCCTTGTACCAACAGAAAATTAAATTATATGTACTATGGGGCCAGGGATATTAGCTCAGTAGTACAGCACCTGGCTAACATGTAGAAGGCATTGCGTTCAGTCTCAATACCTAACACACACACACACACACACACACAATTATATGGAATATAACTGGTCTGCCTATGATGTCTTAAATTTTAGAAACTATTTTCATATAGGGATGGAAACAGAAAATTTTTTAGTCTTATCACTTCTACTTATGCAGATCTGTTTCCCTGGCTAGAGCTTAAGTTTATTTGAGGAAAGGGATCACTTAAATGTGCATATAATTGTGTACATATTCTTCCTTGGAATGCCTAACTGTTTTCCTCTAGGCCAATCTGAATACTGAACATGGTACACTTCAGACTTTGGCTGGAAGGAAATGTTAGCCATCCTTTGAAAACTATCTCCTAACCTCATGAAAGTGTTTCCTTTGCTTCTGCAGTCCACAATGACCTCTCCTTCTTCTCAACGTTGGTAGCACTTAAATTTATACAGCTTATTTGATAGTTCTCATCAATGGTCTTATCGCATTTTCTTTTCTTATATAAATCTTGTCTCCCTAACTACTTCATTATTAGGTCTTGTACTTCTCTGTGTCATCGTTGCGCCCAGCACGTACATCAAAGTATACTACTTATGAATATTATGTGTCATCACTTAAGTGATCGTTTAATTGTATCTCTCTAGTATATTTCTTTGGCACTTCAAATATACTCAAATTTGTTTACTTTCATCTTAATGGGCAATAGAAATTAAAATATTTTTTGAACCTTGTTCAGTATAAATTTAGCAAAATGGTTCTGTTCTTTTTAAAGAGATGTGTGTTTAGACAATGCTTTTTAAAAATGCCATTGTTGTATTTGACTCTATTTGAAAATAAAATAATGTGAAAACCCTGCAGTAAAGTTTTGAAATAATCACAACATTTTTGTCTTGAAAGTTTAAAGCAGAATTATTTTTGTGTTTCATGCAAAAAAAATTAGTTATTTAAAAGTATGCTGCTTTTTCTGTAGCTACACCATATTAAGGGTTCAGTTTCATTTCAGAAGGCTTCTTTTCTTTGTCAGCACTGTGAATTGAACCCAGGGCCTTGCACAAGCTAGACAAGTGCTCTGTTAGTAAACTACATCCCCAGTCCTTCTTTTTTGTTTTAATTTTGTGACAAGATCTTGCTAAATTGCCCAGGCTGGTCTCAAACTTGCAATCCTCAGTTTCCCATGTATCTGGAATTACAGGTGTGTGCACCACCATGCTCAGCTCAAAGGACTTCTTTATATGGCTTGAGATTGTGTTTTCCAATCAGTGACAAGATAGTCTAAATAAAGTTATATGACTGAAGCACTTTAAGCATTGTGAATGGTAAATATTTTCACCAAGTATCCTGAAAAAAATTTTAATGCTTCCTCTTTATGTAGTGACCAGCGTTGGCTATGGATAGGTTTGAATAAAAGGAGCCCAGACCTACAAGGATCCTGGCAGTGGAGTGATCGTACACCAGTAAGTTAAAACCTTCTGTTGGGGTAGTATAGAAGTAGTGTTTATTTCAACAACAGGTAAGTCATAAGGAATCTCTAAAGAACCTGAATTACCATAGTCTTGAGCAAAAAGTAGGAGGTATCACACTCCTGGACTTCAAAAATGTATTAGCTGGGCACGGTGCTGCATGCTGTAATCCCAGCAGCTCAGGAGGCTGAGGCAGAAGGATCGAGAGTTCAGAGCCAGCCTCAGCAAAAGTGAGGTGCTAAGCAACTCAGTGAGACCCTGTCTCTAAATAAAATACAAAAAGGGCTTGGGATGTGGCTCAGTGGTTGAGTATCCCTGAGTTCAATTCCTGAGTTCAAAAAATAAAATAAAAAGTAGTATATAGCTATGGCAACCAAAACAAAATGGTACTACCATAAAGAGATACATAGATCAGTGGAAAAATAGAAAGCTCAGAAAAAAAATCCATGCATTTACACACAAATGATTTCTGACAATCAAGAACACAGTGAAGAAAAGATAGTCTGTTCAATAAATAGTGCAGGTAACACTGAAAACCCACATACAGAAGCATGAAATTAGATCCTTATCTCACTCCATCTACAAAAATCAACTAAAAATGAGTTAAAAGACTTAAATGTAAGACCCAAAACTACAAAACTTCTAGAAGAAAACATAAGAGGGAAAGTTCTATGATACTGGTCTGCACAGTGATTTATGGAATATGACCCAAAAACACAGGCAACAAGAGCAAAAATAGACAAATGGGATCACACCAAACTGAAAAGGTTCTGCACACCAAAGAAAACAGTCAACCAGGAGACAGCCTACAGAATGGGAAAAATTATCTGTAAACCATATATCTAATAAGCATTAATATCCAAAATATGTAAGGAACTCAAACAACTCAATAGCAAGAGAACAAATAAACCAACTTAAAATGGGCAAATGATCTGAAAAGACATTTCTCAAAAGAAGACATTCAGATGGCCAACAAATATATGAAAAAATGCTAAACATTACTAATCATCAGGGAAATACAAACTAAAAACACAAACACGTATTACCTCACACCTGTTAGAACAGCTGATATCAAAAAGACAAAAGATAGTGGGGGGTACGTAGTGCCCACATCTAATACCAGCAATTAGGGAAGCTGAGGCAGGAAGATCACAAGTTTGAAGCCAGCCTAGGCAACTTAGCAAGACCCTCTCTCAAAATAAAATAAAAATAGGACTGGAGATATTGCTCAGAGGAAGAACCCTCTGGGGTTCCATCCCCAGTAATACTCAAAAGAAGAAAAAAAAGAACTACCTTATGATCTAGGAATTGCACTATGGGTATATATTCCAATGAAATCAGTAATCTTTTTAATATTTTTAGTTGTAGATGGACACAATGCCTTTATTTTATTCATTTATTTTTATGTGGTGCTGAGGATCAAGCCCAGTGCCTCACATGTACTAAGCAAGTGCTCTGCCACTGAGCTATAGCCCCAGCCCCCAAAATCAGTATTTTGAAGAGATAGTTACACTTCCATGTTTATTGCAGCATTATTCATAATAGTCAAGATATGGAATCAACCTAAATGTCCATCAGTGGATGAATGGATAAAGGAATTGTGGTATATATACATAATGGCATACTATTCAGTCATAAAAAGAAGGAAATCCTGCCACTTGCAACAACATGGATGAACCTGAGGTGAAAATATTCATTGAAATAAGCCAGCTAGAAAGACAAATGCCATATGATCTCACCAATATGTGGAATCAAAAAAACTTGATCTCAGAAAAGTAGAATGGTGGTTATCAGGGGTTAGGGGATTAAGGAGATGTTTGTCAAAGGATATAAAATTTCAGATACTGATAACAGGATTAATTTCAGGAGATCTATTATTGTGAAACATGGCAATTATAGTTATTAAAAATAATGCTGATAGTGGATGTATAGTGTTCTCACCACCAAAATGATAACTATGTGAGGTAAAGTATATGTAAATTAGATTCAGTCATTCTACAATGCCTATACTTTAAAACATCATGTTGTATAAGATTAAAAAAATTACAATTTTACTTGTCAATTAAAAAATATAAATATATCCACATACCAAACTATCATTAAAATTGTGAAGCTGTATGCTTACTGAAATGGAAACAGATTCACATATATGAAGTATATGAAGTGGGGGGAAAAAACCAAGGTTCTAATTTACTTTTACTTAAAAATATATATAGTTTATGAATGGTCCAAAAAAGAGAAAAATATAGATACATAGATGTGGTGGCCATCTTTGGTTAGTAAAAGTATTTTTTTTTTCATCAAAGCTTTTCTTTATTTTGCTTTTAATAATTTTTTTTTTTTACTTCTTTTTCAAGAGGGTAACGGGGATTTAACCCAGGGGTCCTTAACCACCAAGCTACATCCCCAAATCTTTTTTTTTTTTTTCATATTTTTAGTTGTAAATGGACCCAATACCTTTATTTTTTTATGTGGTGCTGAGGTTGAAACCTAGTGCCTCACACATGCTAGGCAAGCACTCTGCCACTGAGCTACAACTCCAGCCCTCAGATCTTTTTTATTTTTGATTTTGAGACAGGGTCTTGCTAAGTTACTGAGGGCCTTGCTAAATTGCTGAGGTTGTCTTCAAACTTGCAATCCCCCTGCCTCAGTCTCCCAAGTCACTGAGATTATAAGTGTGCAACATCATACTGGCTTTAATTTTTTTTTTTAATAATGAGAAACTTTTATTTTTATTATCTAAAAATAGGAGTTATATAAAGAGAAATTATCTTTATTGAGAGAAACAATTCATTGGGGGGAACCTAAAAAATCTTCCAATATTATTTCAAATGTTTACATTATTCTGAAGAGATATTTTAAATAACACAAACAGCAAAATTTTCAAATATTCAATATTTGCTACACCTTACCTTTCTGTTAATTCATTTTGTATTCTTTCTAAATGTTAGACTCCTGACCTTTTTTTTTCCTGACTTTTATTTTCAATTTGGAGCATATTTGAGATTAGTTGATCAAATAACCAGCATTTTAACATATGCAAAACATGAAAGAGAAGACGGAGGAGGTGGAAGAAGTAGTTGTTGTCATTGTCTTGGCACTCTCACTGTAGCAGTAAAATTACTACATCATTAACCTCCACTTTTGAAACTGTGCCTTCCTTTGTTTAGAAACTTATGACATTGTCTAAGTCTTCTCATGATTTAGCATCCTGATTTTTAAACTGTTTTTTTTCAGTTGCATATGAACATGCTCCGTTATTAAAGCTGCTTAAATTACATCTAAATTGCAAATATTTATGCATCATTCTTAAATTCTCAAGGCTCTCTTGTCTTTTCAGGTAACTACTATTATCATGAAAAATGAGTTTCAGCAAGATTATGACATCAGAGACTGTGCTGCTGTCAAGGTCAGTCTAGTGCTGGAAAATCTGCATTGAAAGTAAATAAATAAATCCGGGACTGAGATGGTAGCTCAGTGGTAGAGCACATGTTTAGCATGTTTGAGGTCTTCGGCCTGATCCCCAGGAAAGAAGGGGAGGCAGTTGTTTTCAATGCTGTTTTGCAACAACATTGGGAAATTAGATTAATGCCAGGATGAGGTGTTTGTACATTTTTTTGATAACAACAGGACAATTAAAAAAGTCTCTGAGGATGGAGGATGACATGAACTGAGAGTATGAGGAAGATTTATCTTGAGACAAATTTCAAAATACAGCAGATAGGAGTGGAAGACATAAAAGACCCATTAGGCATTTACCTCTGCAGAATGCATTCCTTTATCCATTTCATAAGTGACATGTTCAGGGAATCTGTGAAGGGGAATAAAACAGTGATAGGCTACAAAACATTGTCATTGTCTTCAAGGAACTTCCAGTGTAGTAGGAGATAAAGACAAACAAGCAGATGATACCATCAGGCCAGGGCTATGATGGGCAGAATACAGGTTACACACAGGAACGGGGTTGTTATGAAAGAATAACAGTGGTAATGGCAGTGATGGTGGGGATGGTGAGCAGCAAACACTTATTGACTCCTTTAGAAGTCAAGTACTGTGCAAGGCATGTCATATATATTATTTAATTTAATACACAACCTTGTTAGGTAGGAACTATTACCATAGTTATTGTGTAGAGAAAGAAATTTGAGCTTTGAGTAACTTACTCAGGGTTAGGTGGTAACAGGACTGAAATGTTGGTGGTAACATGTCTGAGTCCAGTACTCTTAACCACTGTATAATATGATTGGAAGGTGTACTGGTCTGTGGAATATGCTCTATTTTAATTTAGATAGTTTTAAATTCAACCTTGACGTAAGATGTGTCCTATCATAAGTTGAAATTAAAGAAACTTTGAAGGAGTTGAAGGGGAGAAATGAATATTATAAAAAGGAAAGGGCTAAGAAGTAGATTCGAGAGAACTGCCAATTAAAAAATAAAAGAAGACAAGGAAAGAGGACACATCCAGTTAATATCTTCACTTTGTAGCCCAAGAAAATGCTACAGGAAGGTTGGGGCCAATAAAAATTGAGAAAGTCTTTGGAAAACACTATTTTCAAAGTAACTCTTCTTGTAATAAACTCTTATAGTATCATACCATTTGTACAGAATTCCCAAAGTAGCACAGAAAAGGTAAACACTTCAGAGAAGTGGCTGACTGGAATTCCCAGGGAGCCACCCTGGCCATGAGGCATTGGGAAACATCCTAGAAATGTCAGAACAACAATAAAGGAGTATAGCCCCTGAGCCTGGACTTCTGTGTCATCTTCTGATCTGTTCCAGTCACAGCCTGGTGCTTGAATACTGCTGAAATAATGTTCTTTTATAACTTGATCTTTTTCCAAATTTTATAAGTACAAGATTCTACAATTTCTTGTCAATAAAATCAGGGGGAAAAGAGACAGGAATTAACATGTTGGACATAAACATGGCCTTATAATTTATTTCAGTCCCCTTGGAAGGCTTTTGCTCAGACAGTTACTATTTAAACATTCCATTCATTCATGTGTCATTTATTCTACAGAAAGCTTAAGTGCCAGGGCTGAAATAGGGACCAAGGCCACAGTCTGTACAGTTTAGTGTTTCATAAGGGCAGCAGCAACCTCAAAATATTCTGCAATCCTTTTCCTCCTTTAGGTTATATACAGGCCATGGCGAAGAAGCTGGCATTTCTATGATGACGGAGAATATATTTATTTGAGGCCTTTTGCTTGTGACACAAAACTTGAATGGGTATGCCAGATTCCAAAAGGTAAGTGGTAGCTATTCCTTTTCATGATTTTCTCATGGTAATGTTGCAAATGCTGAGCTAGAAGTATATATGACACCGCTTTAGTTCACAGTTGTAATTTTTACATGTCGTGAGGTGCAATTAATATATTATGCCACCCCCCTACTGCCTAACTCCCTCTCCTATAAGAAGTCTAGCTTACAGAAATTTGGTAATAGCTTACTCTTTGGTCATAGAAAAAAATTGTATAGAAGACAAAATTTAAGGCTCATTTAAGGGAGATTAGATTTTGGTATGAAAGATTATTTTAATAAAAGGAGAGATGAAGAGAGAATCGTTCTAATTTTTATTTTGATGCAAAATGAAAAACAAAATGAAGATAATTTGGAGAAGAATTAGGCAGGAACCAAAAAAAAAATCAAAATTTGGCAAGTTATTATAAAATTTAGAAGCAATTGTCAATGAACTCCAAAACTGCTAATACTTCATGTAAATTCAGATTCAGGAACTTAGATTTATAGCAGAGCCTTTGATGACAGAGAGAAATAGATTTTTTTTTAATTTAGTATTTTACAAGGAAAATGTTAGGAAATTATTATTTAAAATGAGAAGACTTTACCCCCCCCCCCCTTTTTTTTATTGTTAGTGCTGGGGATTAAACCCAGGGCCTTGTGCCTGTGAGGCAAGCACTCTACTAAATGAGCTATATCCCCAGACCCTCCAGTTATTTTTAAGCACACATTGTAAACACAATGGAAAATACAAAGGAAGTGAATTTCTGAACTGAATGTAGCTGTTTCAACTAAAGGTGTATCCTCCTACAGATTCTCAAAGAACTCCAAAGATTGAGTCATTGTTTTGCCTATTTTCCTACAAAGGACCACCACATATGACCTCAGGCACAGTAACTGGCAAGTCTCTTTCATGAAAGAGGACAGTCAGGCACTAGTAAGAGTGCTTCTGTGCTTATGAATGTTTGTTGATGTGGTTGTCCTGGTGTGGTGGGGAGGACTATGCCCTGTTATTCCTGATTGTTTGATTAAACTTCAAAAAGGAGCAAAGGAAAACCAGTTTGGAAGGTCTTTAAGGAAGTGGAAAAGTAACTAATATATACAACCAATATGCACAATGTCTCTGGTTTGAAGCATTCGGGTAAGCCTCCCATTTGTGGCATTTACCAGCCTGCTACAGAGTGTCCTTGCTCACTCCAAGGCACCTGCACTGGTAGCGGCTACCCCCACCTCCTGTTTGGGTGGAGATGCAGACCAAGAGTGGAAACCAGGGCAACTTAGAAATGACAGAACTGTAATGTCAGGAAATGTTATGATAGAGCATGTGCTAGTTTAAAGGGAACTGACTGTCTTGGCAAATCTAAAGTCATCCAAACAGATCTAAATAATAACTCCCCCTCTTCCCCCATGCAGAAACAAAATAAAATGCTAAATAACTAAATATCATGCGAATCAACTACCAGTCATTTAAAGCAATCAATGATTGCTCAATCCAAGATTTAAATGTTATGTTAACTCCCCTTTGACAGTACCTAACTTTCTAAGTTAAAAGGTATTGCATTCGTCTGATTGGATATTTTTCTTGTTTACCACAGCAGCCGAAATCTACTCAACTTACATTAATTGGCATTTTTGGTTTTCTTAAAGAAATTTTCCTCTTATTGGCCTAAATCACCATGCCTTTTCTCTTCTTGCCTTTTTATTACCTGGTTCTAAGTAGTCCCCTCTTCTCTAAAAGGGATATGAACCTATGAATTTTAATTAGCCATGATTACTAGGTATTCTTTTAAAAATTCTTTTTTTTAATTGAAGAAAATATCAAAAATAAAATTCATAAAAATGTTTTTAGGGAAATTATCACTATCAAATACAGCAGCTATACTTCTTGCTACCTTATATACACATATGTATTCATAGTCTCATATAAAAAAAGACTTTGACTATATCATAGACAAGAAACTGTGTTCATTTTTAAATCAATTTGCATTTCTATTGATGAAAACTACCCAATCTGAAGAGAACTTAGAAAACCCAAGGATGCTGGATGTGTAGGCTGTCCTCTCTCAGGAGGGTCATCTGATGACTAAAGCCTCGATACCACAGCAATATTAAGAACAGCTGTTTTACCCTGTAATTAAATAAAGTGAATTATGTTTTAGAGTTGAAACCACTGTGACCTGTAGCCAGTATGACTAGGGGGAAGGAAGCAACTAGAATCCTGTGAAGACTGCTTTGTGCATGGGGCTGTGTGGGTACCACTTTAGGGGTGATAGCAAGGTCTTCAAGTGCTTTGTGAGTAGACTCATTTTTATAAAGTAGATAATGAAGGCTCAGGGAGTTAGTGAAGCACCTCAGCCATAGTGTGTGAGGGCCCGCACACCACTGTGAAGCCCATGATTCTGTGAAGCATATCATATTTCCCATTTCCATTCAGGAATCTGCATTGACTTTTATTGTTTTCCTCCTAGTTTTGTTTCACTTTCTCAAAAGGTTCAATATTGACAGTTTGTCCAACCGCATCTCATGAGTCAGTAACCTCTAACCCCCTAAGTATACAGTGCAGTTAACTCAAATTCCATTAGATAGAGAAGTAGTTCCTGAATAGCCTCATCCTACAGGGTGATTACCTTGATGCAAACCCCTTAGTGCTTCTGTGTAAATTATACAACATCATCATTTACTTATTTTTAACTTTCTAATTATTAGCTATGTTTTGTCCATGTCTTCCTTTTGACTTCCAATACAAAGCAAAAAAACTGCTAGTAATTCATACATACGTATTGTGTGTATGATATATTATATATATATATGGATTTGTACATTTTATTATCCATATGCATTTATATATTTTTTTAAATATATTTTTTCCCTCAATGCTGGGGATCCAATCCAGGGCCTTGCTTGTTCTAGGCAAGTACTCTACGATTGAGCTACATCCCCAGCCCTAGACTGCTTGGAATACTTTATTAATATTTAGCAAGTCTATCTTTTGCCACTGAAGAAGCTTTAGTACAAGCCCTACAAAATTCAACTAAATGACATAACTTGAAATCAAATGATTTGCTCAGAAATGAATAAACCTTCATAACAGTGTAATTAACATTAAAAGGCCCTACTTATAGTAAGCTGATCTGTGATCAGATACCAAACTCAAGCCACTTGCTTTCTTCTTTATACAGGCAGCACTCCAAAAACACCAGACTGGTATAATCCAGGTAAGTTAAGAAAACTGAAATTTAGCAAAAGCTGCTTTTATCCTTTTGACAGTGTATATCGTTAATTATTTAAGTGCCAGTTTCTTCTCTATCATGTCTTCAAGAGAAATAAAATTGTCTCCAGGCAAGGAAAGTGGGTGGATGGTGTGGAATGAGTCGATGAGGCTAGATTTTTCTTCTCTGTGAATACAGAAAAGTGGCAGAGTCACTGGCTAAGGAATCCTTAATTCCTTGCAGTTAGCACTTCCACAGTCAGAGAGAGCCAGTAATCTAGATGGGTTATTGTGTTAATCCGCTTTCCCTTACTGTAATAAAATACTTGATATGATTAACTCGAAAAGAGGAAAGGTTTAGGCTCACAACTTTGGAGGTTTTAGATCATATTCTGTCAGCCTTGTTGCTTTGGGGCCTGTGGCAAGATAGCACTTCATAGCAGAGAGCCCTTGGTGGAGCATACTGCTTACTCCTGGTGGCTGAGAAGTGAAAAACAGAAAAAGGAGGCTCCAGAGTACTAATATCTCTTCCAAGGGCACACCTCCATATGACCAGAAGACTTCCAACTGAGCACCACGTCTGAAAAGGTTCCACCCCTCCCAATAGCATCATGGGCTAGAAACCAAGCCTTTAACACATGAGCCTGTGGGAGACACATCCAAACCAAAACAGTTACTATTTGTAAAGTTTTAACCGTTACCCATACTTACAGGGTACAGTTTGGTTGGCGTGGTCCTAACTCTGATCTTCTTATTTAGAGCGTGCTGGAATTCATGGGCCTCCAGTTATAATTGAAGGAAGTGAATATTGGTTTGTTGCTGATCCTCACTTGAACTACGAAGAAGCCGTCCTGTACTGTGCTAGCAATCACAGCTTTCTTGCTACTATAACGTCTTTTACAGGACTAAAAGCCATCAAAAACAAAATAGCAAATGTAATTTAAAAGAATGCATTTTAAATATATTTCTTATTATATTTATTCCATTAAAAATACTTCCAAAATCTACAAAAGTTAAATGTTCCTCTAAAGTAAATTTGCCTCACAACATCCATATTAATTGTTCAGTGTTTGAAAAGTTAAGTGAGATTGCTTAATGTTTTAAAATAAATATCAGTTTATGAGATGAGCATCAGTAGATAATATAAATTATCCTAATTCATTACTTTATTAGAAGTGAACTTATATTAAAATTTCTGTTTCTACTTATTAATAAAGTTATAAAATAACTTTTAGGGAGAGAAATAATTTGTATATTTTAAAATTTATCATTAATTGCAATAAGACACTGTATGCCCATTTAATGTATGAGTCCAATTAATGTATGCTTCTAATTACAGCAACTCTATTTTCTAGACCCCAAATAGGTTCTGTGAATATATAAAATAGGGGCTGTCAAATTACTTTTTGGTGAAAAGTCATGATTCATGTCATTTTGAGACCAAATAATGGAATGTCTAGAAATTGAAGTTATTTGTGATTAATATTTAAAGCAAAACTTTCCTTGAAAATTCAGCATCTCTAAAGATAGGTGTTTGTGGTTATTTATTTATTTTTTTTGCAGATATCAAGTGATGAACAGAAGTGGTGGGTGAGAACTAGTGAGCAGCCACTAGATCGTCATTTTATATAGTACGTGACATTGATTCTGCCTTTGTGAATTTATCACTTACTGCAGTCCCAGATTGCCCTTGACTAATGGACTGCTATTTATAAGTAGTTTTGAATATTAATCCATAAACTGCCTAGATTAAAGAAGCCAAGTCCCTTCTCATATTAATGTCAATAAAAAAGTGGTATAAAATAATGGCATTAATATTAAATTTAGAATTAAAATAACTTAGAGTAAAAAGCCAGAATGGAACATCTAATTACCTTATGAGTTGTTGAATCTCTTATTTACTTTCAGCTCACGACATCCCTGGCACCACTTTCCTATGAGATTTGGGGAGGAATGCTTGCACATGTCTGCCAAGACTTGGTTTATGGGTAAGTTAAGTCCAAACCTTAATGCTGATCATGTCATATGTGAACTTCAGGATCAGTTGCTAGCTTAATCTTGTTTTCATTTCAATTATGTATCTGATAGCTTCATCTTATTTTGATATATTGTTAATGACAATTGCCCAAATTCCAAATCCAAAAAGGTACTTTTCACTGTGAATAATCTAACTTCCTTTATCCTAAAGTATTTATTTATGAATAAACTTACCACTCTCATAAATGATAAGCATTTAGACACACTTACAAAGGTGAAGAGACAGTAGTTGTAAAATATGGTTTATAACCCTTACTCCTAATTAAACTTCCCTTTCAATTCCTCCTGTTTCTTGCCATCATTCTTTGAAGGGGGTGGTAGTTATACCAATTGTGTTCTTTTTTTTACTGGCAATATTGGTGTGTTAGAACCTACTAATATAAATAATAATGGAAGACAGATGGTAATGGAAGGATGATAATGGAAGGCTAGGGAAGAAAGGGAATATATTTTAACGTTTGAGAAAGACTGATATAAAGAGCCTTTCTTGCAGCTAGGGATTTAACTCAGTCTGTGGTAGAACAGGTTCAATCCCCAGCACCAAAAACACAAAATAAAATTTAAAAGGGCCTTTGTTTACTACGTTTGTTTTTAAAATGTGCTGAATGAAAAATTTTCACCATTGCAATCTTGCTTTTTATTTCTCAGACTTAAATAAACCAACAGACTGCACAACCAAATTGCCTTTCATCTGTGAAAAATACAATGTTTCTTCATTAGAGAAATATAGTCCAGATTCTGCTGCTAAAGTTCAGTGTTCTGGGGATTGGATTCCTTTTCAGAATAAGGTAAAAAGAGAATTGCTACACTGTACAGACAGTGGTTGCTTTCATGCTGGTTTATGGCCTATGGTGGAAGGCCAACCCATCAGACATCTTCACTAAGCGTCTCTGCATGCATCAGTATCCTGCCTGATCCTTTCTGTTGCCAGAAACCATGGGTGACATCAAGAGTTAACTCTGAAGTTAGTCATGCATGCAGGTATTTCAAAATGCAGCATTTCTATTCTGATGCTACCAACACTTAAATTGCTAAAGTGGATCTGTCAATGGTTAGTAATACATTGACTAGTCAGGACTATCTCTATGGCACATAAGAAACTGACTTAATTTCTGGCTGCTGTTTTCTTTTCCCCCTCAAGGAGAGCATCCAGACAGCATCTGACAATCAAATAAGATCAGCATTTCCCAAACTACTCTTCAGAGACTACACATATGCTACAAAATATTAATCATTGACTTTGCCTCCAAATGGGAATTTTATGATTAAAAAGGTTTGGGAAATGCTGCATTCTATATCTGCCTCTTTGAGATGCATAATCCATTTTGGTATACATATGTGTTAGGAAATGTGTTTGGCTACTAAAAAGAAATTGCTACAGTATGTTAAAACATTTATTCTCTCATATGAAAGATGTTTAAAGGTAAACCAGCTGGGTTGGTGTGGAAACTCCTAAAGTCTTCAAATTCAGGCTTCTTTGTGTCTGCTCTGCCATCCTTACTATAAGGCTTTCATGCTTAAGTTCAAATTTTCTCTCTAGGGTCTTTTCTAGAAGTGACTGGGTGACTTTGCCTATATTTTATTGGCCACTCCAGTCTATAAGAAAGATGAAAAATAATTTTTTGTAGGATGATGTTGCAAGGAGCACAATTTGGGGCACAACACTCATACCCAGTGATCATATTGTCAAAAAGAAAAAATATTTGACACCTGAAAGCATCTTTAGTAAGGGTAGCAGTGTATTCTGACTGCTAAAAATTAGGACAATTTGTTTAATTCTCCAACATACTAGAACCAGGTTAATTTGCATAGTTGACATAAAATTGAATTAAAATATCCTGCCAAGAGAAAAAGAGATGCTTTCTTTTCAAATGTGTTTCTTGATATAGGGAAGTAATGACTTTGAAATCAGAACAGAATCTAAATGCTAACCTTACCACTTGGTAGCTATTTCACTTATGTATTAAGTTACTTAACTTTCCTGTGCTTCAGTTTTCCCATTTGTTGTAAGAATTAAATGGACAAAACTACAAAAACTGCTTAGCATATAGAAAACACTCAAGAAATGAAAGATTTATTTTCTTTTTTCCATATTTTTGTTAGCATATTATAATTACATGTAATGGTGAGATTCATTTTTATGTACTGGTACATGCACACAATGTAACAATATAATTTAGTCAACATTGAGTACTTTATAAGTCACAACAACCCTATCTAATGGTTTACAAATGAGGTAACCAAAAGAGAATAAGTGACTTGTTCAAAGGCACAGAGTTACTGAGTGATGTGACTAAGAAGTTAACTGGAACCCAATATCTCCCCCTTTGAGATTTTTTTTTAATGTGATAGTTTGAAGACCATTCTTTAGTTCTTTATTTTGAAAGTATGAACCTGAATCCTTATGGTACTACTTTGCAAATTTACATATTTAACAGACGGAATGTCAGCAGCCCTCTAAAAGAGAGGCATTTACTTACTATGTGAGATTTCTTGTGTCTGTAATCTTATGCTTCATATGTGTCTTTGTTTGCAGTGCTTTCTAAAGATCAAACCCAAGTCTGTTAAATTTTCCGAAGCAAGAGATATCTGTCACTCCTATGGTGGCACCCTTCCTTCAGTGTTGAGCCAGAGTGAACAAGGTACCAGCAATTTTTTTTGAGAAATATGTTTTATTCTAATCCGGGAGTAAAGTAAGTTTTAAGAGATTGTAGGAAATTAATATATAAAAATAATCTTATTAGCCATCTATGGTGGTTCATGCCTATAATCCCAGTGACTTGGGAGGCTAAGGCAGGAGGATCGTAAGTTCAAAGCCAGCCTCAACATTTTAGCAAGGCCCTGCCTTAAAATAAAAAATAAAAAGGCTGGGGACATGACTCAGTTGTCAAGCATCCCAGGGTTCCATCCCTTGAACCCCCTCAAAAAATTTGTTTTAATTAAAGTACATTTTTATAGAGCAGATAAAAGATTATCTTGATAGTTAAACAAAAGGTATTCATTGATATTTTTAGCACAAGTTTATCTTTAATTTCAATAAATCAAATGCTTTTTTTAAAAAAAAATCTCTTTCTAACAGATTTTATTACATCATTGCTTCCGGATATGGAAGGTAGTTTATGGATTGGTCTGCGCTGGACTGCCTATGAAAGGATAAACAAATGGACAGATGATAGAGAACTGACATATAGCAACTTCCACCCATTGCTGGTTGGTCGAATGCTGAGTATACCAACAAATGTAAGATTTTTTGAATTGATGATGTATACAATTTTGTGAAATACCTGAGTCTCTCATAAATTATTGGATTAAAAACAAGGACCTAGATGGGCATAGTAGTGCATGCTGTAATCTCAGCAATTTAGGGGGCTGAGAAAGAAGGATGGCAAACTCTAGGTCAGCCTCAACAACTTAGCAAGACCCTTAGCAACTTAGCAAAACCCTATCTCAAAAATTAAAAAAGGACTGAGGATGTAGCTTAGTGGTAAAGCATTCCTGGGTTCACTTCCCAGTAATACGCACATACACAAAAGAACAAGGACCTATTGTATGATTCCATTTATATTATACCTATGGAATAGGCAAATTGATAAAGGTAGAAACTAACTGAGTGGTTGCTAGAGGCTAAGGAGGATGGAAGAGGTGGGGGTAATGGCTATAGAGTATGGGGCTTCTTTTTAGAGTGGTAAAAATGTTCTAAAATTGATTTCAGGGTGGTTGTACAACTCTGTGGATACATTGAAAACAATTAAGTGTACACTTTAAATGGGTGAGTTGTATCCTGTATGAATTATAGCCCAACAAAGCCCTTAAGAGAACAACAACAAGCATCTCATAACTCCAGCCTTCAGGTGGATAACCTAGTTTTTCACAAGAGCATCAGATGCCGTAGTACTTAATTAACAAGCATGTAAACTTGTCAGGAGTCTGTTGTAAACAGATGTAAATATGTATATTTTACTTAACACTTAGGGGATGTGGACCCTCAACCTCAGCTTCCTGAGAGAAAAAGATGTATTCAAAAAAATGTGATCATTTTTTTGTGAAGAGCTGCATGTATAGAAGCCATATACTTACTTTCTGGATGACATTCTCTTTCATAGGAAACAAGGGAAGGAGAGAGGGCAATGTGTTGACAGTAGTTACACCAACAGGACATTGCTGCCCATTGTTTCTGTTCTACCTACAGGCTGAGTCAAGACCATGTTTGTTCTCACAAAGGGCAAAGATTGAGAACCTAATATGAACGTCCAGTTTCAAAAATATATCCTGGATAATAATCAATTGATTTTCCTAACACAGTGCTGCTTTGTTTAAGGTTGATGTTGATAGCAAAGGGAATTCGGAATTTTGTCTAACAGTGTACAAAGTAAATATCAAAATAAGACTTGGTTATAATAGAAAATGTGGAAGTTACACAAGGGCAAACACACACACACACACACACACACCACACACACACACACCACACACACACACACACACACACAGAGTCAACCCTGATTCCACTTAAATTTAAACTTTGTTTTTATGGCTTTTAAACTTTCAGCCATAATCCATGTTAAGACATATATTTAAATCAGTATCCAGTACATAGATGTAGATATAGTACTGAATGAAAACACAAGTTTCAAGTAATAATACCCACCCTGAGAGATTGAACATCCTGATATTTTCCTTCTATTATCTTCTAGTCCATTTCATTCCACTCTTTTTTCTTATCCTATCCTATCCTGTTCTGTTTTATTATCACAAAGGCCAGCCAAAATCCACTGAATTGATTTCATGACCTACTTAATGACTTACCATATTTGAGCCCTGATTTAGAGAACCACAATATATATTTCAGTATTGTTTCTACAGGTTGGTTCCCTGGCACAGATGAGATCACAGTATAAATACTAATGAGCTCAACTTTCCTCATATAGTATTATATAATAAGTAATTATAGGTGCTATTAAGAGATCAACTTGAGGGCTGGGAATACAGTTCAGTGGTGAGCATTACCAATGAATGTGCAAGACCCAGGGTTTGATCTCTAGCACCAAAAGAAACCCCAAAAACAGCAGCTCAGCAGGCTGAGATAGGAGGATCTCAAGTTCAAAGCCAGCTTCAGCAACATGAGGTGCTAAACAACTCAGTGAGACCCTATCTCTAAATAAAATACAAAATAAGGCTGGAAATGTGACTCAGTGGTTGAGTACCCCTGAGTTTAATCCGTGGTACACACACAAAAAAAAAAAAAAAAAAAAAAAAAGAAAGAAAAAAAAAAAACTACTTGATAAGCATTTTAATGTTTAAACATTATTTCTTGATATGCCACTATTTCCCTAACCAATGCTGGGTATTAGGTTGTTTCCAATTTTGCATAATCATAAATAGTGCTGCAATGAACATCTTTGTGCATAAATTTTACTTATAATCCAGATTACCTAATTAAGATAAATTTAGGAAAAATTCTGGTTATCAAGTTGCTTTCCAGAAAGGTTTGAGTTTATATTCCTGTTAGTAGTATATTCTGACTGCCCTTCTATCCTCATGAGCATTTTAATAATATAACATGTATTGAGCCATTAATATATGCTAGACACTCTGCTACTATATCACATACATTGTCTCATTACTGTGCACAATAGGTGTAAAATAGGTATGTTATTTCTATCCTGTCTTAAAAATGTGGAGAACAGATAAAGAGTGTCATTATCTGCCAGAGATTATGGAGCCTATGCATGCAGAAGCAAAATTTAAATCCAGGTCCAAGATTCTGCAGAACCAGGGTTCTTAGCTACTCTACTATATTGCCTCTAATGACATTAGCCTTTTAAAATTCTTGATAATTTTGTAGCTTAAATAATTTCATATTTTCATGGACATTCCTCTGATTTCAAATAAACTTTCATAAATTAGATAATAATTTGTGTTTCAAGTGTGAATATTCTTAGTCTTTGCAAAGTTATCTGTCAAAACCTTCCTGTATTTCTGATTGATTTTTTGGCTTTTATAAACTCAGGCTCACCCTGTGCTTCTTGCATATATTACAAATATTTCCCTAGGTTGTTTTTTAAGTCTGAATACCAGAATAAATATTTCTGGAACATTTTGAATTTTTTTGGAATATGGTCAATTCTGTCTTCTTTCTTCTTTTTCCCTCCACTGTGTTCAGATTAGAAAGTTTGTCATGTGTTACCTAAATGTATACCTGTATTTTCTTCTAGTTTTGTGTTATAGGTTGCCTTTTTTCTCTGATAACACATTATAACATTGATATATTGCATATACTGTCAGTGAATACTAGTCCTTTTCCTAATCTTAGCCACTTGTTCTACATCATTTATTGAATATACTTCCATCTGTTGAAAGCAATACAGGATGCCTACTTCATCATATATTAAGAGTGTGTATATATGAGATATTATAGTCATGTGCAACATAATGACATTTCAGTCAACATTAGATTACGAATATAGTAGTGGTCCCATAAGATTATGATGGAGGGCTGGGGATATAGCTCAATTGGTAGAGTGCTTGCCTTGCATGCAGGAAGGCCCTGGGTTCAGTTCCCACCACTTCCCGACTGGCCTCTGCCAAAAAAAAAAAAAAAAAGATTGTAATGGAGCTGGAAAATTCTTACCTAGTGTGTTATAGCCATGGTAACATTGTAGCAACACACTATTCACACCTTTGTGGATGGTGTTGCCAACAAACCCACTGCACTTCCAGTAATATGAAAGGATAGCAAATGGCCAGGTGCAGTGGTGCACGCCTATAATCCCATTTACTTGGAAGTCTAAGGCAGGAGGATTGAAAATTCAAAACCAGCCTAGGCAACTTAGTGAGACCCTGTCTCAAAATTAAATTTAAAAAACAAAAGGGCCTGGGGATGTGACTCAGTGGTTGAGTGCTTACCTGGCATATATGAGGTTCTGGGTTCTATTTCCAACACAGAAAGAAAGAAAAAAAAAGTTTAGAAATAGAAAAATGGTTAAGGAATAAAGATAAAAGAAAGAAGGTATTTTATATAATGTGTTTGGGTTTTAAGTTAAATGATACTCAAACAAGTAAAAAATTTTTAAATATTTAAGTATGTGACTTTAAAAACTATAGGAAGCTAATGTTGATTTATTATTGAAGAAAGAAATTTTTTATAAATTTAGTGTGACCTAAGTGCACAGTGTTTATAAGGTCTGCAATAGTGTATAGTCATGTTCTCAACCTTTACTTCACTGCTCACTCACTGACTGTCCCAATTTCCAGTCCTGTAAACTCCATTCATGGTATTTCCCTCTATAATTTTAATATTTTATATAAACAGTATTTTTACTGTACCTCTTCTATGGTTAAATATGCATATACCCTCATGTCACCATTGCCTATAATATTTAGTACAGTAACATGCTGTTCAGGTTTGTAGCCTAGGAGCAATAGGTTATGTCATATACCTTAGCATATAATAGAATACACCACTGGGTTTGTGCAAATGCACTCTATGATGTTTGCTCAGTGACAGAATCACCTAATGTGAATTTCTCATAGGGTGTCCTCCCCTTCTTCAGCAACACATGACTGTATTTAGAATGGTGTTTGTCATTGAGAGAACATCATAGAGTATACTTACACAAACTAAGACAACTATGACATCACTAGTTGATACAGTCTTATGGGACCACTGTCACATGTGTGGTTTGTGGTTGACCAAAGTAGTGTTATACAGCATATAACTGTACTATAATTTTGCCATATTTTAAAAAGTATAATAGGATTAGTTTTCCTTTACATATGCCATTAAAACTGTCTTTGGCTATTCATGTCCATTCTTCCAGACAAACTTTAGAATCACAAAAATTAAACTCCTGATGAGAATTTGACTACATTTTAGGGGAAAATGATATATTTTTAATTAATATTCCAATTAAGAAATGTGGTATACTATACTCTCCATTTATTCAAGTCTTCCCATAGATTACTCTGTGACGTTTAATAGGAGTTCTGTCACTTCCTATTGACATTAAAAATGGCAGTTTTTTTTCTTGATTTTTCTACTGATATTTGGAAAGCTATTGTTTAGGGATTTTTGTATTTTTCCATAGGTATCCATCTAACTAAATGCTCTTATTCTTCTACTTTTCTTTAAAACTAGATTTTCTTGGGTTTCTAATTAGATAATCTGCAAATAACAGTTATCTTTTGTGGAAAAAAATATTTTTTTTAGTTGTGGATGGACACAATATCTTAATTTAATTTACGTTTTTTTTTTTTTAATGTGGTGCTGAGGATCAAACCCAGTGTCCCATGCATGTGAGGCAAGTGCTCAAACCCTGAGCCACAACCTCAGTCCAAATAACAATTATCTTAATTTCTATACTTACCCCTCTCGTTTTCATTTCATGCCTCCCTACATATGCCAAAACTTCCACAACTCTGGAAAACAACAGGAGTAATAGCCACCACCCTGGATTTGATCTTGATCTTAACAGTATTGTCTGCAGTCTTTTGTTGTTAAATATGATGTTGAGGGGCTGGAGATGTGGCTCAAGTGGTAGCGCATTCGCCTGGCATGTGTGGCCCGGGTTCGATCCTCAGCACCACATACAAACAAAGATGTTGTGTCTGCCGAATATTAAAAAATAAATATTAAAAAAATTCTCTCTCTCTCTCTTTAAAAAAAAAAATATTATGTTGACTGATGGGCTTGGTGGTATAGTGCTTGCCTAGTATGTTCAAGGCCCTGGGTTTGATCCCTAGCGCCTCAAACACACACACACACACACACACACACATATACATATATATGTTTATATATAATTCTATTATAAGCTTATTTCAAATTCTTAATCATGAAAAAGTATTATATTTTCTAAAGCTTCTTTTTATCATCTGTTGAAATTATCATATAGTTTTTACCTAATAATAGGTGTGATGTTCTTAGCATAAAATCTAGTTGTTTGGGGGCTGGGGATGTGGCTCAAGCGGTAGCATGCTCATCTGGCACGCGTGCGGCCCAGGTTCGATCCTCAGCACCACATACAAAACAAAGATGTTGTATCCGCTGATAACTAAAAAATAAATATTAAAATTCTCTCTCTCTCCTCTCTCACTCTCTCTTTAAAAAAAAAATCTAGTTGTTTGGAGTGAATAGTTTTACTGTTCTAACTGAATTCGATTTGAAAGAACTTTATTTGAGAATGTTTTCACCTGTGTTCATAGAGTTAATTTTTTAAGCCATGCTGATCATGTGAGCCTCAGAAGACAAACCAGGTAGTTTTCTATCTTTTCTGTGTTCTGGAATTATGACACTACTGGGGTATTATCTTTCCCTGAAAGTTTGAAAGAACTATGTACAAAAATGTCAGAATCCTTTTAAGACATCAGTCTTTAATAACAAAGGAGTTTGTTGCAGTAGTTGATGGCCCAGCTCCAAAGTGAGATTACTAGGTTTTAATTCCAATTCAGCCACTTACTGCACTTTGGAAGCTTATTGAATTTTTCCTGGGCCTCAGTTTCCCATCTGCAAGTTCCAATTCTATTGCACCCACCTCCTAAGTTCATTGTGAGGATTACATAAGAATAATTCCTTCAAAGTTTTAGCACAGTACCTGACAGACACATCAGGATTTTTTTCCCTAATAACCATTATTGTTAATTTCCAATTTTCTCCCAAATCACTGGTACAGTTTGGTGTTTCTGTTTTCCTTTATGATTGGTATTTTTCAAGTATCTATTTGGGCTGGGGCTGTAGCTCAGTGGTAGAGCACTTGCCTAGCATGTGTGAGGTATGGGGTACGATCCTCAGCACCACATAAAAATAAATAAATCGAATAAAGGTACTGTGAAAAAAATTATTAAAAAATAAAAATGGTTGGGGCTGGGGTTGTGGCTTAGTAGTAGAATACTCGCCTAGTACGTGTGAGGTGCTGGGTTCAATCCTCAGCACCACGTAAAAAATAAATAAACAAAATGAAGGAATTGTGTCCAACTACAACTAAAAAAAATACATATAAAAAAGGTATCTATTTCATTTAGATTTTCAAACATATTAGAATAAAGTGGTATACAGTATTTTTAAGTCTTCATATTGTATTTTAAATGCATTTTACTTTTTCTTATTTAGGTTTTAGAAAAATAGGTGCATGTTATTAGTTTTCTCTACTCTCTTTTTCACTTTTTATGCCTATTGCTCAATCCATGTTTATTCATGCTACTTCCACATTTTCCTGTCTGGCTTTTCCTGGAGTTACTTTTTTGTTCATTTTCTAGTTTTTTATATTGAATTTTTAGTCTGCTTTTCCTTTAAAAAAAAAAAAGAGAAATCATTTAATAATACACATTTGCCTCCACAAAAAGTTCGGCCCATATTCCTTTTTCGGATTTTTAAAATTTTTATTCTTTATTATAATTATTTTATTTCAATTTTGGTTTAATATTTATGGAGTAGCTTTTTTTTTAGAATTTCTTGCCCCTGGTATAAGGTTACTTTTAAAACTTTTTGTAAGTGTGATGTTTCAAATATATAAAAAATATAGGAACACTATACTTTGCATAATTTTTATGTCTCAAATTATTAATTATAGAATGAAATCTAGGTAAACTTTTATCTTAATATATGGAAATTTTTGCAGTGACTCATATAGGACCCAACTTAAAGGTGAATTCTCTATTATGAGGTATAGATTTCATCATTACAAAAAGCTCAGAAACATTGAATAAATTTAATTAATCATGTTTTTGCCTATTTGAACTATTAAGACTGAGAGAATGTTAAGTATTATTGTAGCTATTTTTATTTTATATCTAATAATTTTTCTTTATCTGTTGGAAGATATACTTACCATATTGCCACTATTTTGTTTTTTAATTTCTCAAATTAATTGTTTTTTTCTTAGACTTTGAAAGTTTAATCAGGGTTTTCATAGAAATTTCACAGTAAATTCCTTGATGGGATATTTTTACAGGGGGACAAAACCAATTTGGAATCCAGAATTTTCTTGCTGGGATCTTCAGACTGTTAGTTTAATAATCCCATGTCCATATTTGCCTTTTTGTTCAGTTCTTTGATGAAGAGTCCCACTACCACTGCGCTGTGATACTCAACCTCCCAAAGTCACCTTTCACTGGGTCGTGGAATTTTACTGCCTGCAGCGAACACTACTCTGTATCTCTCTGTCAGAAATATTCAGGTATCAATTGTTATCTAGATATCTAAGGCACTTTATGCTGTTAGAAATATATGGTTCTTTTTTACAAAAATCTTATAAATGAATTCATATGAATTTATAATCATGGGTAAATTATATTGCCTCATTGTGGCAGATTATCTCAAATGGAATGTGATTTTTTTTCAAGTGGCATTCCCATACTTAATAAAATATAAAAATTAAATATAATATGGAATTTTTTAATAGTAGTTGTCTACTGAGTGTAAGTTATGGGTAAATTATGTTCTTTCTACTCTGGTATATTTTTCAAATTTTAGCTTTCATTTTGAGGAAAGGAGAAGAAAAAACAATATTTTAAATGTAATTCAGTACTGTGTAAATATTCACTGTTAAATTCAGCACCAATTTTAAAGTTACAAAGCACTATAAATGGATCACTATGACTTCCTCTAACCCAAACACAAATAAAATGGGTACTTAAAAACAGAAATTATCCATAATTTGTAAAAGATATTACATTGCTTTTCATTGACCATAGAGAGTTTTTAACAAGTACTTAAGAACAATAACAAAAAAAAAATTGTTACACAATGAGAACCTTAAGTATATTTCTTGTACTTCGGCAGTTTTTTTTTCTAAATTGATCTTTACCCATTTGTCCCGCGCTTTTTAGTCACTGCCTTATTCAGATAAATACTATAAAGCAGGAATTCAAATATCTCCTCTTGTAAGTGGCTTTGTGCATTGTTTCAGGGTACTTTGTAAGGGTACTTTGTAAGGGGACACTTTTAATACCTTACCTGGTGAAGCAGTTCAGACAAAGGAAGTATTTGGCACCAAACTGAAATGGTAATCTTATTGCCGACTACTTTTAGAACAACTAAACAAAATCTCGTTCTGATTTTAGAAACCAAATGTTGCAGGTCAGACATTTTGCCTAAGGTACATAGCAAAACATACCTAATTCTCTTACCCCAAAACTTAAAACAAGCAAATAGTCAAGAAATACCTAAAGCAGATTAGTCAGGGAAACATTTGAAAACTTGTCCCATGTCTTGCAGTGCATGTGTGGGATGGTTGTTATTATTGTTTTCTTTTACAGACACTGAAGACAGACAGCCCTTGCAGAACACCTCAAAAACTGTAAAGTATCTTAATAACCTGTACAAAATAATCCCAAAGACACTGACGTGGCTCGACGCCCAAAAGGAGTGCCTGAGGGAGAACATGCACCTGGTGAGCATCACCAACGACTACCAACAGGCATTCCTCGCTGTGCAGGCAGTCCTTCAGAACTCTTCCTTCTGGATTGGACTCTTCAGTCAAGACGTAAGTTTTCAGTTCCAACCACAAGGATTGGATGACAGATGTGACATTTTTATTGTGCATTGCATTTCTTGTAGACTAAAAAAAAAAAAAAAAAAACCAGAGGTTTTAAAATCTGACTCCAGTAAATTTGATGTATATATGTTTTGTGTGTGTGACAATGATCTTTCCACAAGTAAAAGATATAGTGCCTTATTGATTAGATGAAGAAATTGTTCTAGCAGATAAAAATACTTTAGCACTTTGTATTTGTTCTAGCCATAGAGTGAGCTAGATTCAGGAGCTGCCATATCTCTTCAACCAACAGAAAGAAAGAAGAAAAGAATGTAAAAACCAGATGAGATTGTGCATATGGAAGCGCTGTGGATGATATTGAAGGAAACTTTCCATCAGTTTCAAACTCGGCAGAAAAGTTAAGCCATTCTAAAAAGAGATTAGAGTAGTGTATCACATCTCAAGTCCTATTCCTGGGCAGATGACTTGGGTACCTCTCATTTGTTGCACTGCCCAGCAGAGTACTGGTCTCCTATTGATTCCCAGCATTGACATTTATGCAACATGAACAGGGATTGGTATGCAGCTAACTAAGCTTTGGCTCCAGTCAAATGGAGGATTTTTTTTTTAAGCTATCATATTCCTCTCAGCATTGTAGGCATATATGCCTCTCTTCTTGGACACGGTATACGCCACTATACCAAGACAGGTCTAGGACTGCATGGAGAAAATGGAAATGAAGACAATTTAGTCCTGGAACAAACCGAGAATAGAATTGGTAAATGATGGGAAAAAAAGACTTATTGCCAGAAGCTCAATTAAAAGTAGCATTTAGAATTGACTTTCTGGGTTTCTGAGGATTCTGAAATTCACCCCCAAATCAAGCCAGAGCTGCTTTTCCAACCTCCCAGTGTCCACTCTTTCACAGCATTTACTTGCTGTCTTTTTTTTTTTTTTAATTTTTTTTTAATATTTATTTTTTTTTAGTTTTCGGCAGACACAACATCTTTGTTGGTATGTGGTGCTGAGGCTCGAACCCGGGCCGCACTCATGCCAGATGAGCGCACTACCGCTTGAGCCACATCCCCAGCCCTACTTGCTGTCTTTTCAGTGTTTACTGTGCTGTGAAACCTGTCTTTGTTTCTGTTGCAAGGGTGGTAATAAGTTATTACATTTCCTAGTTTCTCTCGCCTTCAATTTGAGAAAATTTTTAAAATGTAGTATATTAAAACAAAAATATTGAAGTCACCATTTAACGGGAAAGTTGCAGTTATTCAAGTACTTAAAAATAAATGTGATTTAGTATTTTGATATGTATCCTTCAACTTATTTTTCTGTCAGTATATATTTATTTTTTAAAACAATTGGGGTCATATTGTTTTATAATGTCTTCTCCCACTTAATGATTTTGTTCTTTTTTTATTCTGTTTTTATGTCACTTATGCTTTTCTTTTCCTTAATTTCCCCTTGATTTTAACATATCCTGTGTAGCTGTATATTATATATCTTCATAACCTTCCCTAAATCTTAAAGAGTATTTCTTAGGATATTAATAAATAATACTTTAGTTTGAGAGCAATGGAAAGATATTGGAAGACTTTAAAGAGAGTGGTAACAATATAAGATTTTTACTGAAGTAAAATGACACTGGGTGAAGGGTGGAGGAGGGAGTGAGCAGTATGCAGATGTGAAGAATAGCTGTTTTCATATGAATTCATACAGGATATGTTCGTCTGACCAAGGCTTGTTTACAGTGTTGGAAGTGTAGCAGTTCTGGGTTAACATCCCTAAGTTGTTAGCTGGCCAGAAGAACAGAGCAAGACACAGGCCATCTTAGGGAATGTCAGGAAGGAACAGGGATCCACATCTACAGAGAATGTCAGCCAGAGGCAAGAATATTGGGAGTTTTCAGTGAATAAGAAGAGCATAATCCTTATAGGAAGTGATCAAAGGAGGTAAAAATACCTACTACCCCCTTCTCATGGCCCTTCCATTTCTAAGAATGCAAGAACAACAGCCTTCCCTTGTGGGTGCTGAAAGGTTATTCCCTTGGAAAAGCCAGGTTTGGATTAAGATCAATTAAGGCCAAGAATTCAGTAAGGAAATATTTGTCACTTTAATTAAGAGATCTTATTTTCAGAAAGGAGACTGAGAGTGGGATGATTTACTAGGAAGGAATGGAGGTTCCAAAGCCTAGGGCCAGGAACTGAGGGAGGTACAGCACAGGGGAAAGAGGGCAAGGCAGTGTGGGTAAGAGTGTAGCAAAATCACACCCCAAAGGCCACATTGAGGCCTTGGGGGCTTAGGAATTGGTTGCTATGGTTACAATTGGACCTCTAGTCAAGAATAGTTCAGAACGAAGCAGCTGGTGCTAAGGCTTGATTGTGTTTGCTGTTTATGGTTCACTAAGGAGCCTATGTCTAGCAAGGCATATGGGCTCAGGAAAGCTTGATTCAGTGTTGGACCAGATCAGCATTGGTTAGATAAGGCCCAGTGCCCTAGTGGCACCATAGGGAAACTCAGTCGGTCCTCTACCCCACAACCCATGCCCTGGACTTCTACTCTGTAAATCCTTTCTCAAGATAGGTGGGTGATCGGGCCCCTGTCAGGATGTACAGACAGGTGTCCCCAGGCTTCTTATCCACCCCAGACTAGATAAGGGAGTAAACTGCCTTTAAAACAAGTGTCAAACAGTAGTGAGAAATTTACAAGGCCTAAGGAGTTAAGAGAAAAGGAACTGGACTGGAGTTGTTGCTCAGTGGTAGTACGCTTGCCTAGCATGTGTAAGGCACTGGGTTCGATTCTCAGCATTGCATGTAAATAAATAAAATAAAGGTCCATTGACAACTAAGAAATTTTTTTTTAAAAAAAGAGAGAAAGGGAACTAATATTTATGTAGCACTGTGGTCCAGCTAATCATTGGGTTACATATTCTAATTAATTATCCCATTAATACTAGCCCCATGAAACTGTCATACTATTTAATAGATGAGAAGATGGAAATTTGGAGAGATAGGCTCACAAATCAAAAGCTAGTAAGTAACCAAACTGAATTCAAAACCAGATATGCTTACCTCCAAAGCCGTTCTTCCCACTGCACCTTTTCATCCTTGCCTACAGCAGTTCTCACTCCATTTTAACTTCCGGTTTCCAACAACCAATAGTTCCGATAATATGTGAGGTAGCAGAGTGTCATGGTGAGAACCATAGATTTTAAGGACTGGCAGCCTGGATTAGAATACCAGCACTATGACTTTGCACACATTACATACCCTCAGTTCCCCTCATCTGTAAAATAGAGGTAATAATAGTACCTCTCTCATGATTGGTATGAGGGTTAAGAAAGTTGATATTTTTAAAACACTTAGAAAAGTGCCTGGGACATACTAAGTGTTATGTGACATGTATCTCTGTTCCTTTCATTAAAATGTTTCCTTTAAAAGTAGAGGGTAAGAGTAATACAAAAGGGATAACATGAGTTTTATCATTTGAAATGTATTTCTGCTCCTTTCAGGATGAGCTCAACTTTGGTTGGTCAGATGGGAAACCTCTTCATTTTAGTCGCTGGGCAGACAACAACAGGCAACTTGAAGACTGTGTAATATTAGACACTGATGGATTCTGGAAAACGGCTGATTGCAATGATAAGCAACCAGGTGCTATTTGCTACTACCCAGGAAGTATGTGGATTTCAAATGTTTTAATGCTTAAATTATTGGTCTTATCAATAGTAAAATTTTGAGTGGCTTTATAAAATTTGATTTTGGAATTATAAAGAAATTATAATGTCCTTTTTATAACAAATTTTGTTGCAAGCATTTGTATTGAAGTAGAATTATTTTAAAATCACGCGTTTTTATTTAACATTTTTATCTTCATTTTTATATCAGTTAACACTTTATTGACATGTAAAGTCCCATTTTTAGCCTCATTTTGCATATATTTTGAATTCATGTTGTTTTAGAAAATCTACTTTTGTTGGAATTCTTTCATAATTCTTAACATAACAACTAACAAACTTTTATGATCCACTGTTAAGATTCAGTTGATTGCAAGTAGCAATGACAAGCTCAAGCTAGCTTAAAGGAGAAGGGAAATTAGAACCCTAGAAATAGGGAAAGAGCTGAGCCTCCTAGGGAATGGAGGTCAGGAACCCAGAGATGTTCCCTTCCACCTGTTTTTCCCTGTGTATCTGCACTCGGTTCTTTATATACTTCCTACTTGTCTCTGCATATAGTGATGTTTGGTGTCTCTTCAACTTTTACTTAATAGATGTAAGTGGAGATGAGTTAATGTTTCAGAATTTCACTTTTTGTATTCTTAGACTGATGGATTTAGCCTGAGTCAGATATACAACCTCTAGACCAATTAGAGGAAAATGATTTTATGACTGTCAGGGGCCTACATTTGTGGGTTTGTGATAGAAAGAACATGCTATTTTAGAGACAAAAGAATTTATTGTGAGGTGGGGAAGATACTGAATGGTCTATACTACATATTAAGCTAATTTGATTTATTGTGAGTAGAGCATATCTATATTTACATCTTCTTAAGTGCACGGCCTTTCATAAAATGAACAAAAAAGCAGACTTTCTAGAGGCTATATTTTAAATTATATTTCTGTTTGATTTGGTTAAAGTAATAACTTAGTTAGAACATCAACTATTTCATTAAACTGTTCCTATAGCCAGGCACCGTGGCACATGCCTGTAATCCCAGTGGCTCGGGAGGCCAAGGCAGGAAGCTCACAAATTCAAGGTCAGCCTCAGCAACTTAGCAAGACCCTGTCTCAAAATAAAAAAAATAAAAAGGGCTAGGGATGTGACTCAGTGGTTGAGTGCCTCTGGATTCAATCCCTGGTACCAAAAATAAATAAATAATAATTAAATTAGAGATGTCAGTAATTAAAAATTTGAAAATGAATTTTTAAAGTTATAGTGAAGTGCTTGTTAATTAATAGTTTTGTATAATTTCTCTAAGGTGGCCCCTTGTACTTGATATTTCATAATGCAGGAAGACAGAAACTGCATTTAATCTAAAAACACCTAATTTTTTACATTCTTATATTTTACAATAGGGGAAAGAAAATTTCTTCCCTACAGAAAGACAGTTTTCAATACATAATATTTGAATATAAACAGAAAAACAAGCATCACCAGGCTATTACTACTTGACTTCCTAAATATTTCTTACAAATTAGTTCTAATGACTATGAACAGGGTTTAACATTTACATCTAAAATTAGAATTTTTATCATTTACTGTTTTTTCTAGATGACACTGAAAAAGAGGTCAAACAAGTCAAAAGTATTAAATGTCCATCTCCTGTTCTAAATACTCCGTGGATATCATTTCAGAACTCTTGCTATAATTTTATGATAACAAAGAATAGACATATGGCAACAACACAGGATGAAGTTCATTCTAAGTGCCAGAAACTGAGTAAGTATATTATACTGTTATTATATTTTGTATCATACTAATTAAAAAAAAACTGTTATAAATATTTCTAATTAGCACTAGTAATTTGATTTAAAAATATTTATCTCCTTATTTCCACATTATGAATGACAATATATAAAATTTTGTGTTTGGTTCCAATGACAAGTATTAAATTAATTTCTTTGTTCATCCATTTGAGAACTAGTCTGTCTTTATATGTGTGAACAAGATGGGTTCATCTTAAGGAAAAGAAATAATACTAGAGAACAGAAAACTGGATGTCAAACAAGCTAGACAAAGGGAAAAGTGAAAAAAGGTTAGTTCAAGTGGTCAAAAGCTTAGAAATAGCACTGAGTAACAGCCATGCTTAAAAGAAATGTACATTTTACACTTTGGGCTCTCAAGACTCGAGATACTTCCTATGAAATCCATTGAAGATTTATGACTTCTATACAACAGAACTTTTGGAACTGTGAACTCTGTGGGAAGTACCTTTGGAAAATATCAAGCCATTATTCCCCAAAGTGTTCTCTGTGTAACATTAGTCTTGAGAGATGTCCTGCAAAACAGATGTCCTCCAAAACCTTTTGTTTGACATTCTCCAAGTCATTAGCCTGTTTTATTTTATTTATTTATTTTTTTGAGAGAGGAGAGAGAATTTTAATATTTATTTTTTAGTTTTCGGCGGACACAACATCCTTGTTTGTATGTGGTGCTGAGGCTCGAACCCGGGCTGCACGCATGCCAGGCGAGCGCGCTACCGCTTGAGCCACATCCCCAGCCCCATTAGCCTATTTTAATACTGGCATAAATGAACTAGTTTATCTCTGTTTAAACCAGTTTGCAAAAATTTTATCCATGTAGATCTTGTCTGAGATGGCCCCTTGCTAATTTCCTGAAATACTAGACTTTGGGGCTGGGGTTGTGGCTCAGCGGTAGAGTGCTTGCCTAGCACGTGTGAGGCACTGGGTTCAATCCTCAGCACCACATAAAAATAAACAAATAAAATAAAGGTATTGTGTCCAACTACAACTTAAAAAAAAAAAAAAGATTAAAAAAAAAGTAGTCTTTTTTTTTTTTTTTTTTAGCCCTAATAGGAAGTTGTCTTACAGTCCATATCAGAGGCTTTTTTTTTTTTTTTTTGGTACCAGGGATTGAACTCAGGGGCACTCAACCACCGAGCCACATCCCCAATTCTATTTTGTATTTTATTTAGAGACAGGGTCCCACTGAATTGCTTAGCACCTTGCCATTGCTGAGGCTGGCTTTGAACTTGCGATCCTTCCAGCCTCCCCAGCTGCTGGGATTATAGATGTGCACTACCATGCCTGGCCAAAGGCTTTTTTTAAATTACAGAGTAATCTCTTGATAATATGTCATTAATGTAGGTGGATTTGTGCCACCTGGATGATGAGCTCTAAATGAGGAAAGTTAAATGAATCAATGTCTAAAATTCTTTACTTGGATACTAGTTTTCCACTACACTGTAGGACCACATTTAATATTTAAATGTTTGAATATTTAATTTATTCATTTTAGTATAATGAGATAGCTTCAGTTTTGTGTCTTTCTAATTTTTCAATATTGCATATGTTTTGAAGAATATTAAATTGGGGAATAAAACTTTCTAAATTTGTCAAACAAAATAAAATGTTCTGGATAATTAATTATTAAAATTATCAACTTTATTATTTAACAGATTCACAATCACACATGTTGAGTATTCGAGATGAAAAGGAGAATAACTTTGTTCTTGAACAACTTCTATACTTCAATTACATGGCTTCATGGGTCATGTTAGGAATAACTTATGAAAGTAAGTTGTAAATCTGCCAATTTTCTCTGTGTATATTAGCCCTTCATTATAGCCTTCTTGTCAAACTGTAGAAGTCTAGTTCTTCAAAGTATGTGATTTATCAATATACAAAAAATATAATTATACAGGGGTTGGGGATATAGCTCTGTGGTAAAACCCTTGCTTAACATGTATGAGGCCCTGTGTTTGATTGCTAGTATTGCCAAAAATTTTTAAAAGCGTAACTATGTACTTGATCTAACTTATACACATACCAAGATAGTTTTTATGTCTCTGCTAATGCCATTGTTATACCTTTACCACCAAGCTAAGAGTTAAATAGTGGAAAAAAATTTCTGTCCTCCACTCTTCCTTCTGGAAACTCAAGACTAACTAAAAATGACCACACTCACATATAAATGTCTAGTACTTACTTTATATCTCAACTAACTATGTGAAATGAATGACAACAGAATTACACTTTTATTAATGTTTCACCTTTGGGTTTATAGCACTGGCTTGAGGTAGGCATAGGGTAATAAGAAACAGGAAAACAACACCCCTGGTCTTACAGAGGAATCGAACATTTGAAAGTAGGACTAAACAACACTAATCCAAAATTTGATTGATGAGAAAATTTTAAAGCACTGCATCTAATATAGGAGACACATGACCAATTTAGAAAGTTACTCAGAGATAAACTGAAAACCATGACAGTTATGCAGTTATACAAAAGAAAATCTTTCTGTGGGCACAAAGTATGGAAAACATACATTTCATCTAGAAGGGGGCACAGGACAAGAAGCCAGAAGTAGGGTAGAAAAGGAAGCTAAGTTACTCAAATCTGACTTTTTTTTTTATAGTTGTAGATGGACAGCATGCCTTTATTATATTTGCTTATTTTTTATATGTGGTGCTGAGGATCAAACCCAGTGCCTCACATGTGCAGGCGAGTGCTCTGAGCCACAACCCCAGCCCAAATCTGACCATTTTAAAAAATGTATGCTTTTTTCTTTGGTAACCTAACTGCTTGATAGGGTTGCCACCATTTTCTTTAAATGTTTATTTATTTATTTAAATGTGAGTTAATGAAGATTAAACTGTGAAGCAATATGTAAGCCTTGATCTGATAATTGAGGATGAGTTAGTTCATCATAGTAGGACTTAATTGGCCCAGTGCTTTTCTTCAATAGCACGTGAGTACAGTTTAAATTTTAGGGGTAAGAAAAAAATGGAGAAAAACATGATAGAATAGACTTTGCCTGAAAGTGACTGAAGAAACAACAGTCTTGTATTGAGCATTAGAAAACAAACCCAGGATTCAGAGATTGAAATTGTGTACTCAGATGTTATTTGTAGTTATATCATCAGAAACAACAGGAAACATATTCTAAGTTCTGTAAAAGATGGTGGAATGTGATGGACATCATTATCCAAAGTACATGTATGAAGACACAAATTGGTGTCAGCATACTTTATATACAATCAAAGATGAAAAATTGTGCTGTATATGTGTAATAAGAATTGTAATGCATTCCACTGTAATTTATTTTTTAAAAAATCAATAAAAAAACACATAAAGCACTTTAAAAATAAGTGTTTTCATATCCAAAGACTTCAGGTTATCTAAACTTTTATAAAATGTATAGGTAACAAAAATTTTACTAAAATATATAGACATATGAAGAGACATAGAAGGATTTTTTCCAAACACTAAATTTGGTTTAAATTTAATTTTTCCTGACTTAATTAATATCCATAAGTCACTGTTTTTAGTTACATTAGAATACTTACAGAATATTTAATTGTATATAGCACTTATAAAAGAGCTTTGGTTTTTAAAACCTTCTGATTTTTCAGCAGTGGGGCCTTGAATAGGAATTACCGAGTCAATATGGCAGCTGAGAGACACTACCAGCTAGGTGAAAAAGTGACCTTTCCTCACAGAAATATATCACTGCCTGTTGTATTGTTTAGAAAACTGGTAACTTTTGAAGATCCAAAAAAGGAAAAAGGAACTGGGAAACTAAGGTGTTATAAAGCAACAAGTAAGAACCAAGTCATACGCACAGCCTTGGGGTGTGAGCTCTTGGTGCCGGCCAATGCTTAGGTGTATTGCTTGCTCCGGGAGATGTTAATCAGTGAAAGGTAGAAGTGACCAGGACTGCAGTGGGTATGGTAGATAATGATGGCATCACTTTTCATTCCAGCCTATAATTTTAACAAACTTAGCATCTTTTTTTTTTTTGAAACTGTTTATTGAGACATGCCTGTACCATATAATCCAGCCACTTACAGTGTATAGTTTAATGGCTTTTAATGCAGTCACAGAGTTGTGCAGCCATCACTGTCTCAAAAAGAAACACCTTACCCATTAGTATTCTCTTCCCGCCCCTCCCCATTCCTTATCAGTCTCAGGACTTCAGCAACCACCAGTCTACTGTTGGTCTCTACAAATTGCCTATTCTAGACAATTCATATAAATGGTGTCATACAATATGTGATATTTGGGGGACTGGCTTCTTTCACTTTAGCGTCAAACTTTCAAAGTTCATCCATATTGTAGCATGTATCAGTATGTCTTTCCTTTCTGTGGCCAAATAATGTCCCATTCTATAGGTATACCATATTTTATTTCCATTCATTAGCTGGTGGATAGTCAGGTTGTTTTTACATTTTTGGTTATTAGGAATAATGCTTCTCTGAACATTCATGTGTAAGTTTTTGTGTGTACATGTTTCTATTTCTCTTGATTTACACCTCAGGTATATAATTCCTAATAAAATATATAAACCCCCTGTCAGATAAATGATGTGCCAGTATTTTCTCCCATCACTTTCATGATAGCACAAATTTTTTTTGTTTTGATGTAGTATGATTTATATATTTTTCCCTTCACTACTTGTGCATGTCTAAGAAGGCTTTGCATATTTTAGGGTCATGAAGACTTATTTCTGTGTTTTATTATAAACGTTTGATAGTTTTGGCTCTTACATTTAGGTCTGTAGCCTATTTTGAGTTAATTTTGTGTGTGTGTGTGTGTGTGTGTGTGTGTGTTGCTAGGGATTGAATCCAGGCATATGAAGCAAGCACTCTACCAACTGAGCTATATCCCCATCCCTTTGAGTTAATTTTGTATGTGGTGACAGCATGGGACACAACCTCATTAGTTTTTGCATGTGGATATCCAGTTGTTCAGCATCATTTTTTTGAGAAAACTATAGTTTCCACATTGAATTTTATTATCTTTCTTTAAATCCATTAAGCAGGAGTAGGCATAATTCTGTAGAGCTTATGTCCAGAGAGAAGATTTCTGTCATAATTTTGTAATATATCCATATTTTTTATAAAATAGCTGTTAATTTCCATTGCAATTAAATACATGTCAGAGAAAGGGATATTTCACAAAAAAATAATAAAACATTAAGTTATTGAAGGATGGAATTATAGGTAAATTTCGATCTTAATGTTTATAATTTATATTTTCCAAATTAGAAATAAGCATGATTTACTGTTATAATCAGAAACTATTTTAAAGAGATATACATAATCATCCAACCTTTTAGAAGGAAGGAAAAGGAGACAGAAAAATCGGTTGTTTGAAATATTAACCCTGTTGTAAGTTTTGATTTAATCTCTAAGCATAGTAAAAATATATACCTTTCTAGATAATTCTCTGATGTGGTTTGATAAGACCATGCTATCTTATACACACTGGCGAGCAGGAAGACCCACTGTAAAAAATGGCAAGTTTTTGGCTGGGTTGAGTACTGACGGCTTCTGGGATATTCAGACCTTTAATGTTGTTGAAGAAACACTCAAATTTTACCAGCACAGCATTCTTGCTTGTAAAATTGAAATGGGTAAGTATGCAAAGGTGGGTTTCCATTCCAAGGAAGGAGAGTATAAGGCGAAGCTGCACAGGTGGGAATCATGCACCTGTGCAGTGAGCTTCATACAGTCCCAGGACAGGTGCTGCACAGGTTACAGAGGAGGAGAAAGCCTGGGGCCCGGGTGTCCTGGCCTCTTCCTGAAGGAGTAAAATGTAGACGGAGAGACATCATTAACCTCCTTGTCGTAGGTAAGATAGTGTTAGATTTTTTGGTACAAACAAAAGAGCTGAACAAAAACAGGAATAATGAAAGCAAGGAATGCCTCCGGGAGGAAGTGACACTTGGTTGGGCCTTAAAGGATGGAGAAGAAAAAAATAAGAAAATAAGAAGGAATGTTTGGGTAGAGATTTGACATTCCAGGCAAAATTAATGTCTCTTGACCTTGCCTAATCCTTAAATAAACCCATTTTGAAATGCATGTTTAAATTTTCACCGCTGAAGACTGCTCTCAGCTCTCAACCTGCTCTCAGCTCTCTGCTGTTACAGAGCACATCACAGTTGCATCCTGGCTGATCAACTCCCCTCATAGTGCTGCAGAAGAGCATCCTGGCATCCTCTCTTATCAGTTACTGGGAGTCCATGTAAATTTTTGCAACCTCAGACACCAGCCTCTCTTCCCTATTTCTAGGCCTCCTCCCAGCCCCCATCTGTTTCCCATTCTTGCTCCTTAAGCATTTTTTTCCTCAGGCTGGACTTCTTAAATTGTCTCCCTGTGTAGAGTACATCCAGCATCATATTTGTACCTTTATTTAAGGTACAAGAAGCTCTTCATTTTCTTCTCTTTTTTCATTTTTAATAAAGTTTTCATTTTAGAATAGCTTTATGAAAAGCTGCACAATATATAATCTCAACCACTCACCCCTGATGTCATTAGCATGGCATATCTGTCACAATGAATAAGCCAGTATTAATACATTGTTATTAGCTAAAGTATCTACATTATTTCCTTAGTTTTTACCAAATGCCTTTTTCTGTTGAGGATTCTATCCAGGATGGCACATTGCATTCAGCCATCACATCCCTTAAGCCTCCCCTTGGTGGTGATGTTTCCTCAGATTTTTGTTGTTTTTGACGACCTTGACGGTTTTCAGGAGCACTGGTGGTGTGTTTTGTAGAAGATCCCTTAGTTGGTTTGGCTGATGTTTTTCTCGTGATTAAACTGGAGCTTTGAGTTAGTAGGGGGACCTCAGATGTAAGGTGCTGTTTTCATCGTGGCATGAATGGTACAAGCAATATGTCTTATCACTGTAGATTTTAACCTTGGTAGCTTGGCCCAAGGTAGTATTTATTAGGTTTCTCTACTGTGCAGTAGCCTTTCCTCCTCTCCACGCTGTACTCTTTGTAAAGGAGTTACTGTGCGCAGTCCATACATATGGGATAGACTGTTATCCTCTACCTTCCTGAGGAGGGAGTATCTATATGAATTACTTGGAATTCTGCATAAGAGATCTGTCTTCTTCCATTTAAAATTTGGTCACTTATTTATACATCTTTTATTTTTTTATTTTATGTTTTATATATTTTATTTATATATTTACATTTATTTATGCCTCATTTACTTCTGATTATTTGTTTTTAGTACTTCCTTGTTGCCATACTTCTTTTTATTCTTACTTTTGCCTCACCTTCTAGTCCTAGGGTGCACTCCTGGTTGTTTGCTCTTTCCTTTGGCTGCAGTGTCCCTTTGAAATAGCCTCATCATTGTGGGGTTTTGTTGCCTATTGCTTGTTTTTTCAGCGCTTCCTTACTTTCTAGATAACTTATTTCTCCTTAGTCTTAATTTCCCCTGAATTTCCAGACCTGGTTTTCCAAGCAGGCATGAATACAGATAAATCTCTCCTTCGCAGTCAATCTCATATCCTAGTGGTTAGCAGTTTTGTCATAATTTCAGGTATTGCTGTTTTCTGTCTCCAAATATTACATGAGCTTCTTAAATAAAGACGATGTTTATGCCTTTAAAAAAAATCAACCAGACAACTATAATATGTAAGAGTCTATTATATGTCCTGTGACAATAGAAAAATAAAGTATGCTTTTGACTATCCTTATTGAAATCAGTTTAATTTTTAAATGGTTGCATGCCATTTTATCCAAAATATGTATTTGAAATAATTTAAATTTAATTACTAACACTTATTTTAAATGTTCCAGTTGACTACAAAGAAGAACATAATACTACATTGCCACAGCTTATTCCATATGAAGATGGTATTTATAATGTTGTCCAGAAAAAGCTAACATGGTATGAAGCATTAAAGACATGTTCTCAAAGTGGAGGTCATTTGGCAAGTGTTCATAATGAAAATGGCCAAGTCTTCTTGGAAGATATTGTAAAACGTGATGGATTTCCACTGTGGGTTGGGCTCTCAAGTCATGATGTAAGTCTTGCTTTGTTTTCCAAATCTGTTACTTTGAAGGTTGGAAACTTGACATTAGATATTAACTCAAAGCACAATATCAGATTAAGTCCTAGAACTCCATCATGGAACAAGTAGAAAATTATATTTGAAGAATGCACTGGGGCAAATGGCCACCATCCCAAGCACCCAAGGATCCATTTCTCAACAGTACCTCTATAGCCTCTTTGGGGCTGACCAGTTACAAAGCTGGTGAAAAAGAAGTAAAAGCAGAAAAATTTGAGTTTCAGTACTAATAACTGTCTTCCATTTCTACTAGTTGATCATGAGCATCTTATTTAACCATTGTAACCCAATTTCCTCATATGTAAAATCAGGGTAATAATATTTTCACTGAGATGTTAACACAAGAATTTATGTAAGTTGCCCAGTAAATTTCTCAACACAGGTAGGACTTATATGAACACTTTCTTTTCACTTTTCTGCTAGAAATTAGCACTGCTTAAGATTAATGTCCTGCTGATATATGTATCAGTGCTATTGTTTTAATTTTATTAATTAATGTAGTCTTTCCATTTTGATTTTCTTGGGAAGTATTTTCCTTTTCTAGCCCTGCTGTTTGATGGCCTCTGTAATGTGGAAATTGTAGCCAGACACAAACCACAAACCCATAAAACACAAAAAACAATATTTAGAGCAATATGAAGATTGGGAATATAAATATGTAATTATGATAAGTGGAAGATACTGAATGTCATTTAATTTCAAGTGTTATGTAAAACTTATCCTTTAAAAAAATAAATCCATAAATTTAAATTCTTACCTAAATAATGCCAGAGCAAAAGTACCAAATCACTGCATCAAAAGTAAATTTCTTATTATATAGATCTAATATGTCCAGATCTATAGTATATATCTGGAACTGTGATATTTGTGAGCAAATAATTAGCATTTCATTCTAATATTTCTTTAAGTATGTATATTGTTCTTTATGTCATATTTGAAGGCATACATCTAAGCTTAGATTGTCTCCATTATTCTTAAAACAGGGAAGTGAATCAGGTTTTGAATGGTCTGATGGCAGTGCACTTGATTACATCCCATGGAAAGGCCAAAAATCTCCTGGAAATTGTTTGGTCTTGGATCCAAAAGGAATTTGGAAACATGAAAAATGCAACTCTGTTAAGGATGGTGCTATTTGCTATAAACCTACAAAAGGTAAGATTACTGACTGAAACCAGGTCACATACTTGACTCAGATAATCAGTACCCCACCAATGGGATGTTGGCAATTTACTTTTTAGTTCTGGTATGCTCCTCCGTTGGAGTTAATGATGGACAATAACAGCACAGCTTCATTGCATAGGTTTCTTGGGGTACTTAGCACAATTAAAAATCAAACGCTTTAAGTGGAATTAAAGGGAATTTTAAGACATACCTACCCTTTTGACTTGAGAGAGATTTTACTGTGCTGATATGTTTGTAAACCAAATTACCAAGTTTTTACTTGTGAGTATGACTTCTAAAGATAGTTTTTATATGTGTCTAGGCAAACAAAGGGCTTATATTATCAAAATTAAAAAGAATTCAAGGGGGATGGAGTTGTGGCTCAGTGGCAGAGCACTTGCCTACCAAATGTGAAGCACTGGGTTCGATCCTCAGCACCACATAAAAATAATAAATAGAGGCAGTATGTCCACCTACAACTAAAAGAATGAAAGGAAGAATTTTAGTTATTACCTTCAGAGTAGTTTCAAGCTTACCCCAACTATATTTGTTTCTTTTCCCAGTCTGCCCTTTTAGTTGTTTTTACTTTGGTCTAAAATCGTCTTATTGGCTGAGTATTTTTCTCCTTTATTGTCCAGGTTTTAAAAATATTATCACAAAAAGCTAAGTATAATGTGTATTCATAGATTGTGCTGTGTCATATTAAGATAGATGCTTCTTACCCACCAAAGCAACAGTGACATTTAATTAAGTTTGGAAAAGCAGTGTTTTCTCTATGCCTTATTACTTCTGTGTCTAACATTTTTACAGCTAAAGAGCTGTCCCCTTATCCATACTCCTCAAGATGTCCAACAGTAAAAGAGAACGGGTCACAGTGGATCCAGTACAGGGATCACTGTTACATGGCTGACCAGGCATTGCACAGTTTTTCAGAAGCCAAGCAACTGTGTTCAGAACTTGGTGAGTTAAACTCCATTGATTGTCTTTGACTCAATAATTTCATTCTTAGAAATTTTTCTTAAGGAAATAATTTGAAATAATGATTTTATTTTGGACAATATTTTTAAAGTATCCACCATTTTATAATGGTATTATAGACTATTTGCTCAGTGGATAGAGACATGGTTAAGTATTTTATGATGTAAGAGCTCAATGCAATTTTGGAATAGTCATTAAAAATTATCAGTGTAAGATGTCATGTACCCAGGAATCTCCTCTTCCGTAATGTATTTTCATATGCAGATAAGAATATATTCTCTAGACAGAATCTTTGGCTTGGTATTACATAAACATTCTACAAATTTTATAACTTTAGCATTTATCTTTATGTATATGTTATATACAAAATGCAAATGTCTTCTTAAAATGTGACTTCCATCTTTAATGGATTGGTGTTCCACAAAGAGAGATCTCAAACTTACAACTTTTTAGTAATATATGGGAAAACAGTTTGGTCTCATTATTGTATTATTGTATTGTATTCTTGTATTTCTAATGACATACCTGTTATAGAAGGATGGGAAACAACATCTATATTTGGCTGCAGTTGAGAGCCAAATTAATAGTGGATTAATAACTAGTTCTCTTATATGTAGAAGTCCAGAGTCAATCCAGGGTTGGAATAGTGGTTTTGTTCCACCTTCCTTAGGAAAGCTTAGGGACCCCAGCTTCCTTCACCCCTCGGTTATGGTTCTTATCTCATACAGACTAAGAGCTAGAGCTCCAGTTAGCATATCATTTCTTAATGTGTATTTTAATGGCAAAAACCTGAATAAAGGCAGCCAGAAAAAAATTTTAATTATCAATGTGAAAATAAGTACATAGAATATAAAAGTAGAAGAAGTAAATAAAAAATTCTAGGTGAACCACGCACGCACAGTGGTACACATGTACAGTCCTAGTATGTGGAGGCAGAGGCAGGAGGATTACAAGTTTGAGGCCAATCTCAGCAACTTATCAAGAAGACCCTGTCTCCAAAATAAAATTTTTAAAGGGGTGGGTAATGCACACCTGTAATCCCAATAGCTCAGGAGAATGAGGCAGGAGGATTGCAAGTTCAAAGCCAGCCTCAGCAACTTACTGAGGCTCTAAGCAACTTAGTGAGACCCTCTCTTAAGTTTAAAATTTTTAAAAAGGGGCTGGGAATGTGGTGTAGTGGTTAAGCATCCCTGGGTTCAATCTCCAGTACAAAACAAAACAACAACAAAAACAAGCTAAGTAAACTGTTAAGTAAAAATTATGACAATAGGATAGTTTTTAATATAACTAGCTATGCTTAAATAAAAGGGGTAAGAAGCAAATTTTTTCAAAAAGTTGACTAAGTAGTAAATAAAAAATTACAGATCATCCATTACTTATTTATTAAGTAAGCTTAGTCTGGCCAGGATAACAAAATCAAAGCATGTGATTGATGTCCATCATTCTGAATAGGATCACCACACATCCTCAGAGCACCGTGATAGGACTTTTGTCCTCAGGTTTAGATATTTTAGAAAGAGCAGCAATGATTGTCTCCCTCTCAGAATAAATTTAGCCTAAAGTTAATATGTAAAATGACTTTTAGGGCAACCACCTAGAATATTTTAAAGATAGAAATTATTTATCTGTATCCTTGGGTAGCAATTTAGCCGGGCAAATTACATTTAGCTAATTTATTTGCTAACTCTTATGAAGACACTTGTTTAATTAAAAAGTCTCCTAGTTACTGCTTAACTACATAATGGAAACTTTTGTGTGGGAACAGTTGTGTGTTACCCATGTATATACATGATGGGAACTATTATAAACTGAATATATGCTCTGGAAGTCAGAAGCCGCTTCCTCCTAAGGGAGAAAATAGAAAAACTTAATGTAAACAGAGTGTGAGGATTAAGCATTTAAGCTTTTTTTTTTTTTTTTTTTTTTTTTAGAGTGAGAGAATTTTTTAATATTTATTTTTTAGTTTTCAGCAGACACAACATCTTTGTTTGTATGTGGTGCTGAGGATCGAACCTGGGCCGCGCACGCATGCCAGGCGAGCGCGCTACCGCTTGAGCCACATCCCCAGCCCAGCATTTAAGCTTTTGAAATTGACTGGGTTCAAATCCCACCTCCCACACACTTCCACTAACTTAGTGGAAGTTATTCAAGTATTTCGCTTTTCACACCCAAACAGTGAGAATGAAAATAGTACTTACTTCAAAGGTTGGTGTAGTTTGGGCTGTAGGAATGTATGGAGGGAGATCATGTATGCAGAGGTAGCACAGTGCCCTGCAAATAGTGAACTCCCTCACACTATTCTTATTATTAAAAGATTAAGATGGACTTTATAATTATATAAATTATGTAAACCTTAACAATTTAATTTCCTTGAGTCTCAGTTTCCTTGTCTGTAAAATAGTGATAACACCTTCCAGCATGGTCTATCGGGTTATATATTAAACAAGGTAACATATAAGGCACCTGCACATTGTAGTGTTTGATAAAGGGATGAAGCCTTTCCTTTGTCCTCTCTTAAAATAGTCCCCATTACAAAATAAATACTTTAGCTCAAGTGCAGATAGGCTTTTTGCTGTTGAGGACTGTTTGATTTAATTTGGGGCTGAGTTCCAAAAGTAGCTATTACTTATTTTTGTTCCTTACCCGATGCTGGTGATAACCAGAATCTCTTTTATATGTAGATTTAGGGTACCTATCAAACTTCAAGAATATTCATTCATTCAATTCCATGCTATTTTTAGGAACTTACAAGAAGTGTGATAAAGTACATTTATATGTAATATTAACAGAGGGACAGTGTTCCCCAGTACCCCAAACCTATTTGTGTTTAATTCTATTTTAGAATAAGAAAATTTAAAACTAATACAAATGTTCGTTGAGGAAAGAGTGCTAAAAAATCTACAGGATGACACATATTTCTACCAGTTATTATGACTCCTGTCCAAACACAAAGATTTTTCTTAGGCAGTTCTAAGATTTAAAAATATTGCCAGATAAATATTTTGAAGATATATGAAATTTCTGCATGTAAATTTTCAATGTAGAAATGTTTCTGTTATTTTTGGAAATACTTTTAAATTTTAACATAAGTACTGATTTTTTTAAACAGTCTCTGTGCAAAGCTTGAATTTTTCAGTGATCTTGTTCATCCTAGATATTGTATTCAGATGGCTAGTTTAGAATAAATGACTTGCCAGTACGATTTGTTTTCTTTCAACAGATCATTCTGCAACTATTGTCACCATAGAGGATGAAAATGAGAATAAATTTGTGAGCACATTGATGAGGGAAAATAATAACATCACCATGAGAGTCTGGCTTGGATTATCCCAACAGTCTGTTGGTAAGTGACACAATTGTGTGTGCAGTGTGCCGAGAGGGTTCTATCTTGTCCTAAATACCAAGTCAGCCCTGTTAAAGAATTTCAAATGGTGGCTACGTCAGTGTTTCTCATTGATGGATAATCTAGGTCTGCTGGCTGTTCTGGAGGCTTGTAAATTTTGAATGAATATGTAAGTAATTTATTAATAATGATGGAAAACATGAATGAAATAGAATATGAGGTTGAATCAGCTAAAATTGTTCTACAGGCTTATTTCCTAAGATCCCTGAATCAACATCAGGATTTTTTTTTTCTCCTATAGCAATGCTGTGTCCTGTGTCTCCATAAGGAACCCATGATTTACTTCCCTTAGAGTCCTAGTGTCTATCACTCCTTGATTTTGCAGCTTATAATTCTGTTATTCAGAAATGGGTCCTCTTGTTATTCCTTTCCCTCAGGATATTCTACCATGGATCAAAATTGTTTTATCCCCAGCCCCGCAAAACAAAAAAAAATTAATATTGATTTTTTTTCCACATAGGTTACTAAAATTGCAGATAATTAATTTAAAAAGAATTTGTAGAAGAATTTTTCAATAAGAAATAATACAGGGTGAGGGGCTGGGGATGTGGCTCAAGCGGTAGCGTGCTCGCCTGGCATGCGCGGGGCGCTGGGTTCGATCCTCAGCACCACATAAAAAATAAAATATAAAGATGTTGTGTCCACCGAGAACTAAAAAATAAATATTAAAAAAAAAAAGAATACAGGGTTAGAGTGAACTTGGAATTGATAAAAAAAGAAGTTAAGCATATAAATTTGGTAGAATAGGAAGTATGTTTCACACTTTATGCAAAATTGAATTTTAAATACTTAAAATAAATATGAATTCTAAAATATTAAATACTTCTCAAAAACATGAATGGAATCAAACTTGGCCTTCTAAATGACTTAATGATCCTGTGTTCACAGGCTCACCACAAGGTGGTGCTACCTGGGCTAAAAAAACAAACATGGAGTCAAGGGGGTGACTCCTGAGCCTTCTAGGGTTCATCCTCCTCCAGCAGCATAACTTTTTTCAGTAAATTTTCTAAAGAAGAGAAAATATGATCCCAAGAAATCTCTCACAGGATAAATGTGCATGCGCCCTGCATATTAATCAAAACATCATGTTCTATAGCAGTATCCAATAGAACTTTCTACAAAGATGAAAATATTCCAGTTCTGCATTAAGATAGTATTCACCAACCACATGGCTATTGAGTTCTTGAAATGTAACATCAAGTGTAATTAAATGTCTTATTTAAATTTTTTTCTGTTCATTTTTAATGGATTTCATTTTTAAATAGTGACTCTCATAGGATAACACCATCCTAAGTAAATGAGTTATTTGAGCCACATGTTTTTAATCCAGTAATTTAGTGGCAATAATCTAGTTATATTTAATGTCATTCTTCAGATCAATCTTGGAATTGGTTAGACGGATCAGAAGTGACATTTGTCAGATGGGAAAATAAAAGTAAGAGTGGTGATGGAAAATGTAGCATTTTGTTAGCTTCCAGTGAAACTTGGAAAAAGGTTGAGTGTTCACGTGGCTATGGAAGAGTTGTCTGCAAAGTCCCTCTGGGTAAGTATCTAACTTGTCCTTAAGAAATCATTCAGAAAAGGTCAAAAAATAAATGTATTGTCCAATTATGTGCTAAGTTTTTGTACTTGGTCCTGAAGTATTTATGAAGTATATCCAAAAATCTTCATTAAGTCTTAGAACTTTTCTCCCTGAAAAATAGATTATAATAAACAGTAAATGCATAAGACATCTAGGGATCCCAAAGGAAGCTATTAAATAATCTAAACTTTATATAATTATTTCCTCAGAAAAATGGAAGCCACCAGAGTATTAGGGAGGTAATTTCTTTGAAAACATTTTTGAGATGTATTTTATTTCTTAGTTTGAATATATAAAGGCTTAAAGGTCTATTTCTGAAGTTGACTTGCTTCCTTTTTCCCCACTCCCATAAAACTCATGATTAATTTTAAAACAATCTAAAACTAAATTTAATACTTACAAATGTTCAAGGTGTCTGAAGGAAATCATAATTTGAAGTTAAGTTTAATCATGAATTAATAGATAAAATAACTATAAAATATTTTAACTTCATTTATGGAGAAAACTAAATTTTTCACATTAACATTTTAAAAGAAAGACCTAGCATAAAGCTTTCCATTTTGGTGTATAAATATTAAAGATAAAACTCCAATTTTAGGTACTTGGTATCTTTTTATGCATGCATTCATTTAGCAAATAAGTCTCCTCTTTGATGTGACCTGCTCTACATGCTGGGGTGCACCTGGGAACAGACAGATCAGGTACCTCTTCTCACAGAGTTTACAGTCTAGTAGAAGAAGATAAATAAACAAGCAGGTCAGTCTTTGCAAAAGAAGAAAATGTCAGATAGTTATAAACTGTGTGACTAGGTGGATGGCTGCTTTAGATTAGGTTACGAGGGAAGAGCTGGAGACACAGAAACCGAAATCTGAAAAGTCAGCCCAGCAGAGATCAGGGGAAGGCACAGCAGGCAGAGGAACCAGGGCAGCAAAGCACCTAAGGCTGAATGAGCCTGCCCAGAGCTTAAGGAAGAGCTTCAAGGTAACAGAGGCAGGACAGACTTGGAAGCAAGGTATGGGGGCAACTGGAAGATTGGCAAGGTGCATGCATGGGAGGGCAGGGGAAGTTAGAATCCTATAGGGTTAGGGTATTATAAATTAAGAGTTGTGTTTGGCTGTTTTGAGTTGTCCATATGGGGAAGAGATGGCTACATGGAAATTTCTAGTATGCAGTGGAATATGTGAGAGAGACAGGATGTTGACATAGAGAAGGTATTTAAAGCCATGGGTCAGGGCTGGGTATGTGGCCAGTGACAGAATGCTGGCTCTTGGCTGCACAAGGCCCTGGATTCCACCCCTACCACGGGATGGGGATGGGCAGGATTCTAACTCTAACAGAATGAACCCATATGGGCAGCACACAGAAAAGGGGAATGCTAGGGGCTAAATGAGGTCATTCTTGAGGCTTAAATCATTTTTAAAGCAAATAATAGTATATTTGGCCCTAGATAAGTCAGACACAACAATTTACAGTTTTTAGCAATTTGCTACCAGGGGAGGATAATGTATGAGAAGTGATTCTCCCAAAAGAGTAGTAGTAAGGAACTGAAATCTATTTCCATGCATATTGGGATGCTTATTAGGATGAAACCAACAACTATGTGTAACTATAAAACAAAAAAAAAGGAAAGAAAGAAAAGTGGTGGTAAAGGAAAGTGGAAATAATAACAGTGCTTTAATTTAATTTCTTTGGAAGAAAATTCTTATAACAACAAAAAGAATTTGAATGAAAAGAAAAACATAAATTTGAAAAGGAAGCGTTAAATGTTTGATAATGAGTTTGAATTTTTTGTTCAAGCTGTGATACAATCAAATATTTATTGTCTTTAATTTGGACATGGCTTATGTATGTGACCCACACCTTAATGAACAAAATCAACAAAACATAATCATAATAATCGTAATATAATAACCACAATAACATAATAACATAATAATCATAATAACGGGTACATTCTCTCTCCCGATGTCAAACCTTTCCCTATTCCAGGCCCTGATTACAGAGGAATAGCTATCACGTTTGCGGTGCTCAGTGTCTTAGTTCTCATCAGTGGTCTGATTTGGTTCCTCTACCGAAGAAACCGTTTCCACTGGGCAGGCTTCTCATCAGTTCGGTATGAACAAGGAGTGAATGAAGATGAAATCATGCTTCCTTCTTTCCATGAGTAAATTCTTCTAAAAGTTTTCTTATTTGCACTACTATGTTAGGAAAAATGAGCCACTTAAATTTTCCCCAATGTCATTGTTTACTATGTTCCATAGTAGACGTCTTAATTTCTTTTTTAGTTGGTTCCTTAAAATGCTGGTGTACACAGTTGTCCACTAAATGCCATGCTTTTATCTCTGGTTGATAGAATGGAAAGGACTTAAAGCTGGAACTTGTCCAAATTGTCAATAGGCTAAGTTTAACTATAATGTGAATTATCTCTGTAAGAATGTGGCTGGTAACTAGGATGTGTATATAATTTAATGGCATTTTTAACATAACTTCTTAGAAAATGAAAACTGGCACATTACTAGGTCACATATCTATCGTTTAGTTTTTAAGAGCATCTGACATAACGCAAAATTAGTACCTCAAAGTAAAAACCCAACTGCAAATAATGTCAACATTGTTTCAAAATAGTCAGTTGCAGCATTTGGGAAAAATTATTACACTGTGAGACATGCTTACTTTTTATATAGCAAAATGATGCCTGTTGGCAAGATGCTTCTTATACTACTCCAAAGATATTTCATACCAATATCATTTATATGGAAATGTTTCTTCTATTCATAATTACTCATAAAACAATGGCTTTTAAAGAAGATTTAGTACTTAGCATTTTCTAAGTCATGAGAACATTATTGTTAGATTGATTAGGTACCCTGTAGCCATGTATTTTGTGTTTTCTAATTTAGTACATTTAACTTCCTTATAAAAGGGACTCAACTAGGGATGAGACTGAATTTTACAATTTATGTTTCACATAGCATGTCAACTTTTGACTAGGAATTTTTTTATTACTCTGTTATCTTTTTACATGAGCTAAACAGAGGAGTCTATGAAGGAAATTATTTAACTTGCATTTGAAAAAACAAGAATTTTATAGTGAGACTCTAAACTTTATGATTATTACTAAAGTGCTTAAAAATTTGAATGATTAAGGATACATTATTTGTGGTAATTTTTTCAATTTCCCCACCCAGAATATAGGTGGTATTATTAGCATCCACTACATATGGTGAATGTTTTATTCAGTGTTTAACTTATATTTGTACTTAAGAGTATTTTTGTACAAAACATAGATTTTATTTTAAATTTAGAGTGTTTATACTATCATAAAGTTGTAAATAATTTTCTAAGACAGTTTTAATATAGCTACAATTTTCCTAAAATATTAATTGAAGTATCATTTATATTTTAATTCTCTTGACATGTGATCTATACAATTTTAGTCATTTAGAGTTTCCTCAAATAACTAAACCAACTTGATGTGAAAAGTACAGCTGTATACAGTGGTGATGCCATAATAAAGTTGTTTTATCTTTTAAGTAAAAGTATTGATTCTTTTTGAACAAAAACATCTCTAGTTTGGCTTTCCTATGTTACAAGTATAGTTATAATGAGAAATAAAATGTCCAATTATTTTAATCAATGCATTCTTTAGCAATTTTATGAGCACTTTTTAAAGAATAAATCATTCCTACATCTCTGGATGTTTGATTTTAGTTTCCTTTTGAGATTCCTTCATTAGTATGTCTCTCAACTATGAGAATCATCAGGGATCCCTTCTATGCTCCACTTATTTCCCATTCTTTGCACTCCCTTGAGTGGGTCCTGTCTACCACCTCCCCTCTGAGGCATTTCTTAGCTCATAGTTCAATACATAGTCCAGGTTCATATTTTCAATTACTCACTGGAAGAGCTACATGAATGTTCTTCTCAGCATGTCCAGAAAGCCCCTAAGGGTTTCCCTCCCTCATTTCCTCTGTTCCAGATGTCTCTAAAGAACTAAAAGACAACCCATTCCAGTCTGCCTCACCAACCCAACTACTACATAAAATCTGACAAAATTGGTCTTTTAAAATCAGGCACCTAGAAAGTAAGTCAATAGATGTAACAGTGGAAGTACAGGGGAACCCATACCAAAGTGATACTAATAATCACCTTCCCCCTCCCAGCATTTCCCTTTTCTGATTCTAGGGCAAGATATTTTCATTATCTGGCAATTCTGTGCTGCAAAGGACTACTGTAGTCTTAGAAACCCCCAATTCTGACCACACTGCTGAGATTTTTTCTGGAGAAAGTCAGAGGTTCATATACTTTAATCTTAGCCTTTTTTTAATCCTAAAACCATCTTGGAGAAACAAAGACCTAATTGTTATTAATTAGCTCAACATCTTACTTAAGACAAATTTAGTTCTCACAACATTTTTTTTAAAACTACATGATCTGAACCATTGTATGTAATTTCCTGTATAGTCTAAATTAAAACATTCTATGTCTACATCTCAAAAGATTTAGAAAACACATATTTCTATTTCCCCCCAAGCTACATTAATCACAAGCAGGATTTAAGAAACTTCTTTTCCATTTCTCCAACCAGTGTGTCTTACATCCTCTTTCAGTTAATATGAAGACAGCATATTCTGTCTCCCCAGCTAGAAGCCCAGAAGTCATCCTCAGATCCTTTTTCTCATGTCCCCTAAGCCAGCAGTTTTCTCATTTCACATTGGACTTCTCAAAAAGCAGGTTATCTCTAGTTGCCAACTGTATTATTTTAGATCCTTATCCCCCGACCCCTGCCCTGGATTACTTGCACCTGCCTTTTCACTGATTCCCTCATCAGCCTTTTCCCTTCATCTGATTTTTCCCCACTGAAAATACACAGCTGAAATACACAGAGAAGGACTTGCCCTCCATTTTAGGCTACAGTTACTGTTTCAGTCAGCTTTTGTGTCACTGTGAACAACTTAGAG